CTGTGCCATGGAGCTGGGATCGCTGTGCCATGGAGCAGGGATTGCCATGCCATGAAGCTGGGATGGAGCAGGGGCTGCTATGCCATGGAGCAGGGATCACTGTGCCATAGAGCAGGGATCGCTGTGCCATGAATAAGGGATTGCCATGCCATGGAGCAGGGATGGAGTGGTGGCTGTTGTGTCATGGAGCAGGGATCACCGTGCCATGGAGTAGGGCTGGGATCCCTCTCTGAGCTCGCACAGCAAACAGGCTTCAGGAATTCCCAGTCATGGCTGGGGCCGTGAGGATCACAAGATCCCAAGCACCTGCTCTGATGGGCTCGAGCAGCTCCGCAGAAGGGTGCTGATATCCCAAAACACAGCCCCATGGAATGGTTTGGGTGGGAACCCAAGGAAGGGACCTTAAAGCTCCTCCAGCTCCAACCCCTGCCATGGGCAGGGACCCCTTCCACTGGAGCAGCTTGCTCCAAGCCCCTGTGTCCAACCTGGCCTTGCCCCTGACAGCTTCCCTCCCAGCCAACCGAGCCTCCCCAAACTTCCCAGCATCACCAAACCATTCCCATCACAGAAAGGCCCCTCCCGCATCCCGACCTCGCACCGAGGTGTCCCGTCTTCCCCCCCCCCCGCAACGCCACCGGCCACCGCAGCCCCACACCGACACCCTTTGTTAGCAGCATCGGGAGCGCAGCACGGCGGAGGGCGGCTGCATCCCACCCCCAAACACCGATGTCACGGCCCCGGGTGCCCGCGGGGAGGATGCGGATGCGGGGATGCATGGCGGGGGGGGGGGGGGGTGGGGGTGCCGCCGGTACCCATCGCCCTTTGTGCTTGCCGCGGGGCCGGGCTCACCCTTGTGCATGCCGGTGTAGCGGTCCTTGAGCACGGTGAGCTCGTAGATCTTGCCGAACTGCTCGAAGAGCGGCTTCAGGTCCTTCTCCTCCAGGTTGCGCGGGATCTGCCCCACGAAGAGCTTGATGGCATCCAGGTCCTTCATGCTGTCGGGCTGCGGGGGGGGCTCCGCGCCGCCGCTGCTGCTCATGGGGGAGGCTCGGAGCGGCGGCTGCGGCGCTGGGAGCGGCGGCGGCGGCTGCCTCCTCGCCTCGCCCCCGGTGAGTCTGGCCATGCCCCGGCGGCGGGCGGGAGAGGCGGGAGAGGGGGGGCAAAGCAGCGGCTGGGAACGGCCCCGCCGCCAGCGCCGCCGCCGCCGCGCCACAAAGACGCGCACTGCGGCGCCCCCTGGCGGAGAGCGGGGAGCTGAGGCGGGGCACCCCAAAATGGAGCGGGGGGGGGACACACATGGGGTACAGAGCCCTTGTGAAGGGGGAAGGGGGGGGGGGTCTGGATGCTGGGGGTTGAAAAAGGGGGGTTGTAGGGGTGATGGTGCCCCCGGTGCTGCTCATTGCGAGGGGATGAGGAGGGTCCTTTAAGGAGGAGCTCGCTGGTGCGGTGCTAACAAAGGGCATGGGGTGCCCGGTATCACGTCCCCGGGTTTGCTCCCTTCTCCTCCGGCTGAGGAACGGGTTGGTTAAATCGGAGCTCTGAGCCGAGGTTGGGACACGGAGGTGATGCAGGAGCCCCGCTCCCTCGGCCTCACAGCTCTTTGTTCGAGGCCCCGGCTCCCCACGGTTCGCCAGAGCCGGGTCCCCATCACACAGCAGCAGATGGGCAGGAGCCGGTTGCGGCCCCACGCTGCAGCAGCCATTGTTGCTGCCGGCTCCTCCCGGAGGACAAGGACCGCTCCTGCCGTCCCCGCCGGGCTGGCAGCTCCGCCTCCGCTCTACACCGGGGCGATGCTGAGGACCCCAGCGGGCATCTCCTGTGCCGCAGGCACGGGGCTGCCGTCATCCTGGCCCTGAGGATGGGGGGATGATGGGGAGATGATGGGGGGATGATGGATTCCCACCCGGAGCCAGGAGGATGTGTGCATGGTGTGCAGCCACCGCCATGGCAGCTCGGAGCTCGGCCTGAGGCTGTGCAAAGAGCTCCTTCGGCTCTGCCATCGCTGTGGGGCAGGCACAACGCGGCCTCTTTTCCCCTTGCTTGGGCTCTCTGCTTCTGCCACCTCGCTCTGCTCTTGCCCTGGATGCTACAGGCAGATGGAGGCCCCCACAGCAGCCCACATGCACCAGTACTACCCAGATGTGTTAGGCTTGCTTCTACCCCTGCAATGGGAGGAACTGCAGCAGGTTTCGGTGCTGATATGTGCAAGGAAGATCAGGGAAAAGGGGTTGGGGGAGCAGAGGGATCCTGATCCCAGGGAGAAACGAGAAGAACAGAGAGCACTGCTCATGTATGAGCAGTCACCAGGCTCAAGTCATGCCCAGAGTGAGGGATGCCCCTGCAGAAGCAGAGGAACACGCTGGTCCTCGGTAGGGAAGCACTGTGCATCCCTTCCTCTCTTGTGCTCTGGAGAGATTTCAGCCCTTCTCCAGGCTCCAGCTCTGTATCCTTCTTCCTCCATTGTCCCCATCTGCACGTGGAGCTGCTGGAACACTCAGCTCCAGCCTGGCCTTGAACGCTTCCTGAACCTCAGCAGGGGCTGGAGCCTGGGATTGGATCTGGAATCTTCACTGAAATGGCCTTGCAAAGGCCCTCAGCGCCTGGCCTGAACCTCGGGGCCATTGCAGGGCTCTTGCTGTGGCTGAGGGTCCCAAACCAGCCCCGAAATAGCCCCAGAGAACTCCCCCCACTGGTCAGCCCGGCTCACATCCCCTGCAAACACTGCCAGGGCTTTGCCATCCATCGGGACACATCCACTGGGAAGCCCATGACAGGTCAAGCTGCTCTCGTTTTCAACAGCTCAACCATTCTCAAGCCAAGAAACCTCTACAGCAACAGCAGCAAAGCTCTCACCTTGGACGAATCGTACCGTAGCAACTCATGTTTCCAAGCACCTTTCCATGCACAGCCTGCTTTTCCCTGTCAGCTCCTCCAGCACAAGCTGCTCCTGGCTTATGTTAGAGCTCGAGGGACCCAGTGCCTCAGGTGGAAAATGCCTGTTGAGAAGGCAAAGTACATCCAGGAGCTTTTGGAGTCCATGGAAACCAGAACTGGAGGACCTGGAAAGAGCTCAGAGCCAGGCAGACACTTACACACCGCAGCAACAGGGGTAAGGGGCAGATAAAGCATAGTCATGGCATCAAGAGAGGGTGAAGAAGGGACGTGACAGGTCCTCTTTGCAGCCGACATTGAGGGGGCTGCAAGGGGCACAGCAGGGCTCAGACGCACCATTCCCAAAGGAGGAAGGAGCCAGCTTCTGCCCAAACCTGAGATGCTGCTCCACCAAAAGAGCTGTTAAAGGAAGAGCACATTGTGTGCCCAGGATTCCCTTCTGCAGGGTGAGATTTGCTAGTGATAAAACCCGAGTGAAAAGCACCTCTCTGCTGCTTGTGGTGAGTGTCTGGATTTAGACAGGGCTCAAAAGACAAGAGAAAAAGTGAAGAACTTCCAGCTCAGCAGAGAAGGGCTCCAAGAGGGGACATAGGAACAGCAAAGCTACGCGTTGTGTTTGAAGTGCTTGCCTTTTCCTTCCAGCTCCTAAAGGCAGGGAGGAAAGGACAAAAGCCAAGCTGGAGCTCTGCGTTTCCACATCACCTAGGAGACAGAAAACCAACCACCAGCCCCGAGAAGAAATAGAGAGGAGGGGAAAAGTCAGTCAAGGATCCTTTAAAACAAGCTGCTTTTCCTTCCCTATCTGCTCCCCAAGAGCCAAAGGCCAAGTTACAACAGTCCTGGCAGAGAAAACCCCAAGCAACAACATCCTATCTCAAGAAGGGAAAAGTTCATTCCTATAACGTGATTGTTTCTGGTCTGGAGCAAAAGGTTGTGCAGAGCAAAGTGCTCCAAGCCAGGCAGATGAAGAGCTTCAGGGACAAACACCTTCCCTTTGCAGGAGATCCATTGCTAGAAGCTTCCATCCTCTCCTCTTTACCAGCCCCTCTTGCTTTTCATCTTCCCATTACCTTCAGTCTCGGAACACTAAGGCAGAAGTATCTCACAGGAAGCTTTAAAGCATGAGCAACCTGGCTCTGGGACACAGCCTGGTGTCCTCATGCTCTTCCTCTTATGGAGAAGCAGACTTAGCTGCACACCAAATGAGAGGAGAACACCTCAGCCATCAACTCCACCCATCTCCACCGAGCAACCACAGCACTGAGCTCTCCAAAACTGGCTTGAAGAGGCAGTTCTATGAGGACAGATGATATCTTCCTTGCTACCCTTAGTGCAGGGACAAATCCCACCTTTAGGAAAGCCTCTAACTTCAACTCACTGCTCCACCCCACATCTTCCACACAGCCCTGAGCTGGTGCAGCCCCTGCACCTCCACAGAGCAAGGGCCTCGGTACCTCCTACTTCACCAAGGTGTTGCAAGTGTCAGATATATTTAAGAGCATGAAGCATTCGGATACTATGGAAACCAGGGCAAGAGAGAACCCAAAAATAGATGGAAGACGCAAGCTGTTGAAGAGTCTGGAAAAGTCTTGCTGAGGAAGGCTGCAGCTGAGCCCAGAGTGGGATCCATTTAGAGCTCAGGCACAAAATAGCCTCTCTGCTCTCTTCCCAGAGCTTGTCATTTTTCTCTGCCACAGGGAAAGGAATATTCCTTTTCCTCCTCAGGTCTTTAATTTCCCCTCTATTTAATAGGCCTCCTCATCATCAGTTCCCTGGAATGATTCGCAGTCTCCTTTGCCCTTCCCATCACCTGGAGCAGCCCCGTTGGCTGCTTCTGTCCAGCAGGATTATTGGGAACGTTGCATGAGAGCAAACATCACAGAGCCTTCTCCTTCTGAAAGGGAAACCCAACAGCAACCTGCAAAGAAGGGTGCCTGAAACAAGGAGGTGTGAGGCTGTGAGGTACTACCCTGGCCATTTTATAATGCAAGCACCTTTATTGTGTGTACCTTCACCCTCTACAGCCAAACCAGTTGCTACAGTACAATCCCTTTCTTCACACAGAAAAGCTGAATGACACACAGAGGAAACAAGGAGGAAGCCAACAGGAGGTGTACAACCCATCTTTCTCAACACTGAATCCAGTGGAAGACAGCACCAGGTAAAGCATCCCACAAGGCTGAAGCCATCCACGCCTCTTGTCCCTCACCAGCACAGATCTCAGGTCTGCTTGGGACCAGATGTGCCCAAGTCTCACTTCAAGCACTGGTGCTGGTTCCCAGTGCTCATTACAAGCTACTCCTTGGAAATAGAAGAGTCTTTTCAGCATGACCACCTCAGGGAGGAAACCCCAGCGAGGTGAGGGGAAGGCTTCAGGTGGGAATCTTTGCCTTTATACTCGTCAGTGCACTTAAGGGAAAGGAAAGAGATTGAAGGTGTCCAAGATTCTTTGTGTTAGAACTTCTTTACTGCAGCATCGACCTCAGGAATGATCTCCTTCAGCTGGTTCCACTGCTCTGCAGACAGGGCAATCCCTAGAGAGAGCAGGAAAGGCTTCAGAGGAGGCAGGGGTTGAGCATCAGTTTCCTTTCAACTGCCCAAGGGAACCAATGCCAACTCCAGCTCTGTTTAAAGGAGCTGCTAACAAGAAATCACTCGTGTGGCTTAAACCCTTGAGAAGAACTGGCTCCTTCTGAGGTCCAGCAGAGATCTTGATGTGCTGGGCCTCTCCCTTACAAAGCCAGTGCAGCAGGGGAATCCTGGTGTGTGGTCCAGCCAGATGTCAACTTGTTCCTTGGTTCAGAATCACATGAAAGAAGTGGGGCCAGAGTGTTATTAAATTCTCTAGATAAAGATCAGGGCCCAAGAGCTCTTGCGACAGCAGAGGCAGTATTTCACTGAACACCCCCATTTCTCCATCCTCTCTGTTTTAACTGACAGATCCCTTACATTGTGGGTGTGCTTTTTCCAGCCTGGAAGGAGTCCACAAGGCTCCTTTCCCTCCCTGCTCCCAACGGCACAGAAAAGCTGGAGGGCTTTGCTTCCCATTTGCATTACAGGCTACGCAGTTTCCTCTGAGGGAGCAATTTAGACTTGTAACTTCTCCAAAGGAAATTCATTTCTGGAAGGAAAACCACGCTCCATGGGTAGGAAGCAAATCGAGCTGAAGCCAATTTGCCTGCCCTGCACACGCAAACCTATAGCGAGGACCAAAAGGTTCAATAGGAAAGCCCACATCAACCCAGTCTTTATCAGGCACAACACCCAGGGCAGGTGAAGGGAGAGCAGAGCCTGAGAACTATGAGGCAAGTGCCAAAGTTCCAAAGCAAAAGGCCTGAGTTGAGCCTTAACTCCGCAGCTCCAGAGGAGAATGTGTCTTCCCTTCTCCAGTACTTCCATCACCTCCCCAGGTAGTGCTGGCCTCTATAGCACATCACCACACAGCTCGCCTAAAGGATAAGGAACACCTAACACAGCAGGGTCCTGGGAGGGACCTAGAAGGGTCTTATCCTTCCTGTCCCCACCTCAATTGGGAAGAGTGGATTTACTTTTGGAGGGGGGTGTTCTCCCTGCCATTATAAGGGAAAACACCCCCAAACATCACCGGTACCTTTCCTCCCTGGCTTCACGTCACCATCCTTGCCAGCGTAGAACTCCCTGATGTCCACCAGGCCCTTCCCCTTGAAGCAGGACACTCGCACATAGCGCATGTACCCAATCTGCAGGGACACAGAGCCCGTGGTGAACCTGCCCAAGCCACATGGGCCACTCAAGAGCCGGGAATGCTGTCTTACAAGGGGAGCAGGTAGAGGGAAGGTGGATATAGAGAGATGGAGGAAGAGCAGCTCCCTGCCCTCCGTACCTGGAACATGGCCCCCTCCTCACCACCTTGTCCCATTGGGGTTTCTATCGCCTTTGAAGACTTGGCCTCTGTTTTCAGCTTTTTCTCTGCCTTCAAAGCCGCTTCTTTCTTTCTTTTCTAGACACAGAGATCACCGCTTTGAAGAGCGGGGTGAGGAGCCGCAGGAAGGCATTACCCGGGCCTCCACAGCGCACACGGTGCCCGTCACACCGCCGAAGCGGCTCGCTAACCTTTTCCTTCCCATCCTTTCCCTTCCGGTCGCTCTCCACGCTGTTCATCCCCACCAAATCCTTGCCTTTGGGCATCCTATGGGCAAGAACCGTGCGTCAGAGACACCGGGAGCAGGCGGGGACCCCCGGCCCTACCGGTACCTCCCGGAGCTCTGCCCGCGCCGCCGTCCCGCCGTCCGCCTCAAGAACGAAGCCCCGCCCCTCCCCGCGGCCGCTCCGCCAATCGCGCGGCTCGCTGCTCTTCCCGCCATGTCAACGCCTCTTCCAGCCAGCCAATCGCGGCCGCGCTGCCCCGCCTAGCCCCGCCCCGTCAGGGCCGGGCCGTGAGGGGAGCGGGCTCTCGCCATGGCCGCCGGTCCCTCTCTGCAAGCCGGCCTAGTGCGAGGTGCGCGGTAAGGGGCTCGGAGCTGGATGGGCTCGAAGGCTCCTTCCACCCATTCCACGGCCGCTGTGTTTTGCAGGACTCGGCGAACACACACCTCTAAACACGAACAAACAGCTCCCAAGTGTTCCAAGAGTCATTTGTAACGGCAGAGGCTGGAGCTTTCTTGCATTAGAAGCTTTAACTGCTTCCAAGCAGCGCAAAACGTTGGGATACATGGGAATTGCCTCACCTTGGGGGGGGGTGGAATCTTGCTCAGGGTCCCTAAATGGGGTCCATCCTACTGTTTGGCTTTGGACTCTATAGAAGGGGTGATGTAAGCCAAAAGGGTGGAAATCCATGTTTATCCCTTCAAATCAGGCCAGGAGATTCCAGGGCTTTGGGAGCTTCCAGCTCTCCACCCAAATCTGTTCATCAAACCCACTCATGGGGTTTATTGTTTTTTTTTTCCAAGGGATGAAAGGGACAAACGAAGAAGGGAAGGAAAAACGTGGAAATACTTAAATATTATTACATTTATAGTCAGGAAAAAAAAAAAAAAGGGAAAATAATCATAGGTCAATCAACTGCATTGAATTTTCTATTAGCTTTTAAATAGTCACTCAATATACATTTGTTCTTTAGGACACACGAGAGAGAAACAATGGAGGCAACACTGCCAGAGCCATCAACTCTTTGCTCCCGAGCTGCAGCTCTTCCAGATGATCACCATGGAATTGCTATCCAAGAACTCCAAATGGAAACAAAACCAGATCAACCTGGAGCCCCCCCACCCCAAGGCCCAACCTGCAGGGACACCGAGGAGCAGCCCCATCATTTCGGATCAGTTCGATCAAAAGTGAATGGCTCTTCAATGGAAAACCCGCTTTGTGCTGTGACCACCACGAGGGTGGGTGATTTCAAACCACCCCCACCCCAATTTGGGGTGGTTTGAAGCATTCTGGAGAGGTCGTGGTGATGCCTTCAGGCACAGGGAGTGGGATACCCAGTTCTGCTTTGGCTTCAGGGCCTTTCCTCTTCACACGGAGTACAAGAGTAGAGAGTTCCTATTGCGCAGTAGCACTTACTTCAGAGCAACAAAGCAGCCTCTTGTTTGGGAGATGGACTACAGCAGTCCAAGCTACCCGCACAGAGTCCCCATTAGTGCTTGTGAGGGTGGGAGTGGGCAGAAGGAACAGCTTCAGTGCTTAAAACCTGTTGGAAAAGCAGGTTTTTGGAGGTGCAGGCTTAGACAGCACCAGGGCAGCAGGTAACACCAGGCAGAGAGCAAAGCCAAGGGGTTTCTGGCTACAAGCATCCGCTGCCAGTCGCTCGTGTGCATATGGACATGTTTTCCATGCTTCTTCCTTACATGCCATGGAAACTCCTGATCAAAAAGGCTCCATAAAAACAGGGGCAACAAGAACCAGCTACATGGAGCTCTGCTGCAGTGTTGTGAGCTTTTATCTCACCACAACAGCGGTTGTTTCTGCCTTCGTGGCTTATGGCAGTGGCAGAACTGAGCACTATGGCTCAGCACCTTTTTCCTTGGGTTTTCCAAACCTAGCAGAATAGCAGAGTCTATTTATTACAAGCTTCGCTGTCAGCTTCCCAAAGGAAGCAGCACTGGGGCAATGGAGTTTGCTCTGCTCCAGCTATGAGAAAGCTGGAATTTGATGGGAGTGGAGAGTATTTCAATGCCCACGCATTTGGACCGAAAGCAGAAGCCCTTTACCATAGTAAAAACTACTTTCTCTAGCAGCCAGCTACACAACGGGCATCCAGATTACAGGATGAATCGTGATGTGCCCCTCAGGTTTATGAACTCTCCTCCTCTGCCTCTTTCAACCTTTCATTTAAAGGGCTGCCATTGGCTCCAGGCCCTGCATCAGGAGTGTTCCCTGTTGAGATCTGCTTTAACGCTACAGCCCTGACAGGGACAGAGCTGTTACCACACTGCCTTGGTGGAAGCCTTTGACTCTGAGCTTCAACTGCAGGTGACAATTCTTGAGCACCCAAGCCTTATCTCTGAACAACATTTGGCTCTCCAGCCAGGAGCAGCAGCAAAGTTAAACTCAGCCTTGCTCAAGGATAAAAGTAATAGAGTGTGTGTTCCAAGAGATGCTCTCTTAGGTATTGCTCTAGAAAGAGCCATGTTTAAAACGACATTCATGAAACTCCTTTTTGAGGTTTGTTTTGCTTTTTAATGGCTAAAGGGACCTGCCTCCCTCCATACACACTGGGGGCAGCACATGAAAGGACAGCAACAAGCACTTTGGGAACGTGCAGGCCAGGAACAGTGTTTCCGAAACTAATAAAGAGCTGAAAAACATGAAATGAGACCCTGAGATGCAGATGAACATGGGAACCCCCCCCAAAATCCAGACCCCATCTGGAAGTGAAAGCTGAGGAATGGAGAGTGAAGGGATTACAGACCAGAGCTCAGCAGGAGCTGGGTTGCTCTTGTTATTACTACGACCAGTTCATTTAAATACATGGAACAGCACAGAACAAGGCCCTGCAGCAGTTGGACCTGTAGAACACCTCTTCAAAACCAAGCCAGAGGTTAGTACAGAGCGATGGCAGCCGTGAACTGCTCAAGGACCAGAGAAACCAAGTACCCAGCACAATGCATCTTCCACGGGAGACAGGAGGGAATCTGCCCTGGCACAAACCCTACTGCAAGGAACCTGCTTGACCAATCTTGACTCATCCTGCCAGTAACAGAAGAGATCAGTTCCAGTGCAGCTCCTTGAAGGGAGGGAGTTATTGCACAGTCTAATTGCTCAACACACCTTCCTAAAGCCAGGCCTGGAAGATAAGGTGCCATAAGAAACCATGCTAATAGTATTCTCTTTAATTTCACATGCACTTCTTTTTGGTTAAAACAAGTGCTCTGAGTCCTGTTTGCTGGGCAGAGGTCATACATCACTCTACTCTGTAGTATGACATGTGTGTCCATGAAGGTGCTGGACTCGCTTTTACACTCACAGAAGCTGCTCAGAACCAGCCAGTGTTGGATCAACCTGCAGAACTCCTGATGTCTCTGAGCCTTTCCCTTGCCAAAAGCAAAGGAAACCAGACATGGTGCAAATGCAGGGGAAGAAGGTGAAGAAAAGCACTTCAAAGGTGCACAAGAGTTAAAATGTCATGTTCTTTCTGCCTTCCTCCCCTCTATAGAGGAGCAAAGAGGAGACAGAGGAAGAAAACCAGCAGGATTCAACGGAAGGCAGAAAAAGTTCCTGATGGGCTCACCGATGGCTCAGTGCTGCTGTCTGGGTTGGTGCCTTGGGGCTTCACTGCTGCTTGGTTTTAAGAGATAATCTCTGTATCATCCTGTAAAGGAGACCGAAGTGCTGGGAACAGAAGGAAAATAAGTAACCATCAGTCCTTCTCAATACTCATAAAATGACTGTGTTCTACAGAGAGGCAACAGGCACAAACTAAACGTGAGGAAGAACCTCTTTACAGCGAGGGGGACTGAGCACCAGAGTAGGGTGGCCCAGAGAGGTTGCGGAATCTCCTTCCCTGGACATATTCAGGAGACATCTAAGGTGTGCAGGGAGATTGGACTGGATGACCCTCCTAGCCTCAACCATGCTGTGTTGTGGAAGCTTACTACAAGGCTTAACTCAATCCCACTGGGCAAATGCAACACCTTGTCCGGATCATACGGAGCACTCACCCTGAGGACAGGGTGCACTTGGTGCAACAGGAGTTATTACAACTTGGAGCTGTACAGAAGTATTTGTGCCTGTCTCACCCCCCCCAGAGATGATGCAAGCACTTGATAAAGTCTTTTCATTTTTTGAATGCAGCTCTGTTTGTTCTGGAGGGGAACTAAAATGGCAAGAGATGGCCTTCGGGTACTCAAAACACATGCACATCAAAGAGCCATCCTGGACTACTGCTTTTAGAGTGGAGTGGCATTATTGTTTCAACTGTGGTGCTGGGAGGGTGCGAGCACCAGTTACTGCAGCTAATGTGACTTGTGAGGGAAATACTACACCCACTTCCTGCTTATTCCCCTTTACCTGCACTGCCACATAGGCAACACCAAGGTAGGCGGCGATGCAGACAGCCAGGAGCAGGTCAAAGATTGCTGGCTTGACCCTGTGACAAAGAAAAAACACCTTAAATTGCTACAGCTACAGAGGGAGGCAACAGCTCCCCACATCCAAGGGGGCTCCGTACCTGTATGCATTCATCACCTGCTTCAGCTGGTCGTAGAACACAAACTCAGGGTCCCTGTGAAAAGAAGAAAACCTTCAGGTTGTACAATGCATCACAACGCTGTGGCAAGGACAGCCCAAGCCCCTCATTCCCAAGGAGTTCATCCAGCCAGAAGCAGGGAAGCATGACCACCTGCATTCCAGTTCTGAACTGGTTTTAGTTAAGTCTTTCCTTTCCTACCATCAGAGGCCCAAGGGTACAATTCAGAACATGCTGTTCAGCTGTCTCAGAGCAGCCCATGGAAGATGCTTCACCACGGTCATTAAACTGCTTCAACCCCAGCAGGGTTGCCTCCTTGCCATTAAAGTTTTCCAGGGGACCCGAGTCTTTCCCTGCATCCCAAGGAAAGCAGCACTCGAGAGTGGGAAGCATGGAACCAAAACAAGCTCTTCACACAGAGGGAGCTGCTGGGACTTGTTACTGTGGTGTGAAGATGAGAAAGAGCTTTCTTTGGGACAACAGAGAGCATGAACCAAAGCCGACAGGAGAGAAGGAAGGACCAATCACTTCCAGCTCCATGCCAAGAAGTTGGACACGAAAGCATTGGAGGGGGAAGCCAATGTGCATGCTTTCACTCCTTGTCTTACCTTTTGTCTGCCTTTACGTGATGCTGTTTGACATCCTTCAGGTAGCGACCCATGTAATATTCTAAGGTGTTGAGGAAGGTGCTGTCTTTATCAATGAGCTGCGCAGCCCTGGGCTGACTGCTCAGCCAGTCCATCACTGATTCCAGCTGCTCCTGCTGGATCTGCTGCAAGAAAACACCACCAAAGCAAAAGGAGTCAAGCACCGGGACCAGGGCCCCTCTCACAGATCCTTCATTCCTCCTTCCCCCAAATAAAACCTGTGCTCACCATCTGGTCCGTGAAGATCTGCAGGTCTGCAGGTGCGCCCTGCAAGGGAATAAAAACCCTTGGTGCAGGGCACCTGCTTGGGCGGGACAAAGGTGGCAGACAGCCCAATGGGCAGCTCTTACCTTGTCTGTTAGGTTGTAGATGACCCTTGTCAAAGCCTCAGCAATGATCCTGGTATTCCTGGTTAGTGCCTTAGTGTCTACTCGTGACCTAAAGCAGAAGGGGATTATAGACTTGTTGGTGGCTCTAGAACTCCTCTAGAACCCCCCTTTCCCACTGCAGCAATCCAGAACCCAACTCCCAGTGGTTTTTCACCCATCAGACCAGCAGCAGCAGTGCTGAGGTTGGATGGGAGGTGGTCTCCCACCTCCTGTCCATGATGCTGTTGCGCCGGCTGTCCCGGTGGCTCTCCAGGTGGGAGATGGTGAAGGCGGGCAAGCGGCGGATGGCGAAGCGCTCGTGCTCCCACGCCAGCATGTCCTCAGCCAGGTTTATCTTCTTGTGCACCATGGAGAACTTCACCTCTGGGAACTGGCTGGTAACAACCTGAGGCAAAGGACAAGCCATCCAGGGTGTCACTGCCCACTGCACAGTCCCATCTCACACTGCTCAGACCCGGCTGGTTTGTGTTCCCCAAGGTGCAGTTACTTCCACCTCTAAGGTGCAGTTACTGCCATTAAAAAGTTGGTTTAACGTCAGAAAAGAAGTGGTGAATGCTCCATCCCTGGCAGTGTTCAAGGCCAGGCTGGACAGAGCCTTGGGTGACATGGTCTAGTGTGAGGCATCCCTGCCCATGGCAGGGAGTTAGACCTGGATGATCTTAAGGTCCTTTCCAACCCAAACCAGTCTGTGATTCTCTGAAAAAGCTGGTTTAGGGTCACTACAGGGGAGCTTTTGCAAGCAGCAAGCCATAAGGAGGTGCAGTAGAAAATGCAGATCTGGTCTGCTTCAGCTGGGACTGTGGCACAAGGATTTGTCTGCACTTCAAACCAACAACACACGAAATCCCTCCATGGCACAACTCCTCCTTCATCCCTTCCTCTCTTGGAGAGCTGCAGCTCCCCACAGTAAGTCCCAAACTCCCCATCTACTTAAAATGCTTCTCATTACCGTCTCCAGCTCCCTCAGAAACGCATGCTGCAAAGTGCCCTCCTTGGGAGGCTTGGAGACATGGAGGTGGAGGCTGTTGCCTCGACCCAGAGTATCAAGGCAGAGAACAAACGCTACGTTGTCCTGCAGCAGGCTGGAATCTGGAAGACACAAACCCAAACCCTTATTGCTCTGCTTTATGCTGGGATTTCCATCCCCAAAAAGCAGGGAGATTCCCCCAGGAGGGTTGAGATTCCAGTTAACACCATTGTATTAAGAAGCCTTGCTAGAGAACACAAAGCCCCCTCCTCACCAGTGTGATCCAAATTGTCTTCCAGCCACCGCTTGGTTCCTTGATAATTAAACTTGCCACCTCCAGATGCAAAGAACAGCAAGTTGTACCTGCAGGTCAAAGAGGACAGGAGAGTGTTAGCACATCACACTGCACACTACAGGACTCAGCCTGGGACACCGAAGCAGGAAGAGGGCAGTTCTCACCCCGCGTGCGTACGTCTGTAGGTGTAGAGCCGGGAGAAGAGCCGGGCGAGTTCCAGCAGCACCGAGATCCCGCTGCCATTGGAGTCAGCCCCATGTGACAGCCACTGCAGGCCAAAGGGAGACCAGGTGACAACCCTACACTGACCCTTGTAGCACAACAACCTTCAGGATAGCCCACCCCATCTTGCTTTAAGGCCAAGAAAACCCAGCGGGGCAGAGGCCATATGGGAGCTGCAGAAAGGAAAGATACTCACTGGAGCCACTCCGAAAGAATCATAGTGGGCAACTATCACAACAGTGGGCAGGTCTTCTCCACCCAGCCCCGTCAGCCTTCCCTGCAGAGGAGAGAAGTCAGTGTCATCCAGCATCACTTCTGTCCCCTGTACAAAGACTTCTACACTCACACTGAGCCTGAAGCAGCCTCTCTTCCCAGGACTTAAGACACTTCTCTGGCTGAGAACCCCCCTCACTTCCCCTACCAGTCCAAATGAAGCCCCAACAGAAGGTGGTATCCCACCAGTGTTGCAGTTTGAACCCATCCACAACTCACCTCCACGCTGGGGATGAGCCAGTCGTTGATGGCTTTGCTCTGAGCCCCGCTGGTCACCATCTGGAAGCCATTGGCAGTTGCTGTGTGCAGCAGGACTAGAACAAACCAGACAGAAATGTGCCCCTGGGGAAGCTTCATCCCTTATTTCCATCGTTTTGAGCTTTGGAGGCCAGCTTCAAACCACCTAAGCCCTCTCAGTTGCTGCTTGTGCACTGACATGGAAACCTGGTGACCAAGCACTTCCATTCTGTCCTCAAATCCCAGCATTTTGAGCTGGCTAAACCAAACCCCTTTCTCCAGCAATCCTGAAGTTCACCACACGCAGCAGGCCACTAAAGATAGAAAAGTTCTTTACAGGGAAATACATGGAAGCAGTGAACTGACCTGTGGGCAGACAAAAAGCTTCCCAAACCCCACCACACTGTAGTCATTTAACATCTTCAGTGCTGGTTTTTAACCTGAGTTTCTCTCTCACTTGCAAGAGTGTGAAGCTGAGAACTCAGCTCCATGCAGCTGTATTTCTAAACTCAGCCAGGCAATACTCTAATACTCTCTTACAGTGTGTTTTAATTCCATTAAACCTCAAAGTGCTTCAATAAAGACAGAACATGAAGGCAGCAGACCACTGGCTCACGGTGCATGACACAACAGACTGCTCCCAGAGGTGGGTCCAGGCCTGTCCTTCCTCTAAACCTTTCCCACTTGTCCAAACTCACCTTCTGCAGCCGAGGCAGAGCCCTGCGAGGCAGAAGCAGCCCGGGTTTGCTCATAGATTGACAGCAGCTCTTCATCTTCCACTGCAAAATAGACTGGCACGATGGTTTCCATCGCGAGCATCTCCGGCTCGATCTCCATGAATTGCTGTGGGTTGAAAGGAGACAGAGACTCAGCAGCTGCTAAAGGTGCAGGAGGGCAGAGCAAAATGAACCTCCAAAGCAGAGAAAGCCAAGCTTGAAATCAGAGCACGTGCACTAAACCAGGAGCTTTCAGTCCTGCAGCAACCCAAACATCTCCCCCCCACAACTCCACTCCATCTCCCATGGGAAGAGAAAGGGAACCTGCTGGTTTTTACCCTGACGACATCCTGCGGGACAGAGGAGATGGCTCGGGGCAGGATGATGACCACAGCACCCGCGGACTGGCGCAGAGCTTTCTGGTACTGCTCGTAGGAGAAATCCACCAGGCGCATCATGACGCAGCGGCGGCTCAGCACGTCCGCCTCGACCGTGCGCGCCTCCGTGTTGAGCACCGCGCTCCTGGTGCCTGCAGGACAGCAGCAAGAGCCTTGCTAAGAGATTCCAGCCCAGCCCCTTCTCAGGGCCAATGTGGTGAGCTTCTGAGCAGCCAGGATCTGCAGAGAGCCAAGCTCATCCCTTCCCCTCCATCCAAGAAGGGACAGAGATCTGGGGGTTTGCCTTGCATCCACCTGTGCAGCCACGTCCTGCCTGACTCACCTCCCTGAAGCACTACACAGCCTGCCCCAAGGTTCCTCTTCACCACAACCACGCACGCTGGCCTGGCTCAGGCACTGGGATGTTTCTGTGCAGCCAGCTTTGAACTGCTCCCTCCCTCCTGCTCTCAGTCCCAGCATATCAAATCCCTCACATGAAAATGCAATCCTCTGGGAGAGCAGCAGCCTGGAGGCTTTCCAGCAGCTCCAGAACTCTCCAAGAGCAGACCACAAGGACATCTTGTATAAATAGAACCAGAGAACGAGTTGGAAGGGACCTTAAAGCTCCAACCCCCTGCCACAGGCAGGGACCTCTTCCACTGGAGCAGCTTGCTCCAAGCCCCTGTGTCCAACCTGCCCTTGAACACTGCCAGGGATGGGGCAGCCACAGCTTCTCTGAGCACCCTGTGCCAGCGCCTCAGCACCCTCCCAGGGAAGAGCTTCTGCCTAAGAGCTCATCTCAGTCTCCCCTCTGGCAGGTTCAAGCCATTCCCCTTGGCCTGTCCCTACAGGCCCTTGTCCCAAGCCCCTCTCCAGGTTTCCTGCAGCCCCTTTAGGCACTGGAGCTGCTCTAAGGTCTCTCCTTAAGGAACCTTCTCTTCTCCAGGCTGCCCCAGCCCAGCTCTCAACCACACAAGGAGATGGCAGGAGACCCACGAGCGCATCTGCCTGGGACCCAGTGAGGCTCTCAACAACGTGGAGGTACCTCCGGGAGAGTCAGGAACCCCGCTTGGCTCTGGGTTAGCGAGTGCAGGAGGAGGAGACTGAGAGCTCCAGCACTTCAATGATTCACAGAACAGGTTTGACCGTAAGGAAGGTGTTGCACAACCAGCAACAGAACGGAGGAGCTGGAGGTCACCGGTAGCATAAAGGAGCAGCTGTACAAGGACAGACTCCCGAATGGAGATGCTGCTAGAGCCTGAAGAGCCACTGAGGGCTCAAAGGCAGGAGAACAGAAACGAGCTCAGCACCAAGCTCCCCAACGTGCCACAGAGCTGCGGAGTAAACCCCACACGCAGGAGCCTGCAGGGCACAGCGGGAGCCCCGGCCACCCCCGGCTCACCCTGCGGGGCCCCCTCCTGCTCCCGCTGAGCCTGGGCTTTGCCCGAGGGGGCCCGGCTGCGGCTTCCCCGCGGCCTGCGCTTGGCCGCCCTCCCCGGGCCGCCCGTGGCTTCGCGGCCTGCGCTGGGCCCCTCCCCGGGCTCTGGGCTCTTGGCGGGTCCCCACCACCGCTGAACGGGAAGGAGGGAAGCAGAGAGGAAGGGACGGAGGGAAAGCGAGGGGGGGATTCGCCCTCCCGGAGGCCCGAGCCCGGTGTCTCACCGTAGGGCTGCCCGCCCAGCTCGTACTGCTGCATGCGGTACACGGTGAACTCGTGCGCGGCCTCCGCGGCGGGCGGCGGGCCCAGCAGCAGCAGCAGCACTGCGGGCACGAAGAGCAGGAAGCTCAGCGGCAGGCACGAAGCCTTCAGCACCGATTCCAGCACCTCGCCCGCCTCCTCCAGCATCGCCGCGGCACCGGCACCGGCCCCCGGCCCCGCCGCTGCGGCCCCGCTCCACCGGCCACGCACGGCACGCACGGCGCCCGCGGGATGCTGGGAGATGTAGTTCGAGGCGCCGCCGCAAGGGACGCTGGGAGTTGTAGGCGCCTCCGTTCGTGCTCCCGTCGGGGCTGCAGGGGGCGCTCCGACCGGCGAGCACCGGGACCCCCCCCCCCCCTCCATCCCGGTCACGGCCCCGTTGCTTCCCCCCCCTCCCCGCCCCCGGTTGGGCATGGAGGGCGCTGCCGGTGCCGGTCCCCCCCCGGGCCATGAATGAGAGCTCGGGCGCGGCTGTTCCGGCAGCTCCGTTTATTGGGGAGAGCCGGGAGCTGCCCGGTGCCGCGGGTGTGGGAATGGGGAAGGGGGAATGCGAGGCACGAACCGGGCTCCATCGGGCCCTGGGGCTGGTTTGGAGCTTCCCACGGCTCCCACAGGAGCTGCTCAGCCCCGGCCCCAAAGCGAAGGGCTCCAAGCGGGGGCAAAGCCACCTCGGAGCGGGTCCCCATTGGCCCTTGGAGCTGCAGGACCTCGGGATCTCCGGTGCTAAATGGAAGGGGCAGAGGCATCAGTGGGGCGGGGATAGGGATCTGTGTGTGGCTGCTGAGCTTGTGGCTCCTGAGCTGCCTCCTCTGCTTCTTCCAGCCCATCGGGAGGTGGAGACCCTCAGAACATCTCCTGTGCCACCCCCTCCTCCGGACGGGCCAGGATCAGACCCTTCCATCCCCTGGAGGAGCCTGCAGCCGCTCCGCCCCGCTGCAGTCCCTGGGTGACGATGACTCTTGCAGTGATTGCTGCAAACACCGGTGTGGGGAAAGGGATCATCCATAGAACAGGGTCCGCTTCCAACCCAACAGAGGGATGTGCCCGCATCCTTCACTCCCACCCCACCAGAGCCGTACCCCGGGCTGAAGTGACCGGAAAGCCAACAACTGGGATGGAGCCACACTCAATCAACCCGAGCTGCCTGGGTTGGCCTCAGCCAGGCCAGGCCCAGCAGCGGGAGGTCCTGGTGGGCTGTGGGGCACCTCCTGCTCGCCGCCCTCAGAGGCTGGGCAGGTTGCTCATCATGCTGGAGTTACTGGAGAGCGGAGCGCGGGGCCGGGCGCTGCGGAAGCTCTCCCGGTACCGCAGGGAGCTCTCGGTGGATGAACCCGAGTTGATGTCCGTGACGACCAAGCAGCTCCCGGGCTCGCAAAGGCCGAGGCGGACGCAGCAGCAGCACAGGAGGCTCCCCACGGCGCGGCGAACCTCCACGCTGCGCAGGGAGTAAATGACGGGGTTCACCCCCGAGTTCAGCATGGCCAGAGCCAAGGTCCAGTCCAGGCTGTGGAGGTGGGCGCAGCTCCGGGGCTCGCAGAAGACGTCCAAGAGCAGCAGGACAAAGAGGGGGCTCCAGCAGATGATGAAGGCCCCCAAGATCATCAGCACGGTCTTGAGCAAGCGCAGGGACCGCTTGCGGCTGTGCCTCGAGCTGGTTTGCCTCGAGCTGGCCTGGACCAGCTGGAAGATGGAGATGTAGAGGCCGAGGATCCCCAGGAGGATGATGCTGAACATGACCACAGAGAAAAGGATGTAGTTCTTGGAGTAGAGAGGCAGGAGGACGGAGCAGGCGCTCAAGTGGCACAGGCAGTTCCAGCCCAGCAGCGGGAGCAGCCCGATGACGAAGGCCAAGAGCCAGCAGCACACGATGAGGCCCCGTAAACGCAGGGTCTTGCTGGCTTCGTTCTCAGCGATGGGCCTCACCATGGCACTGTAGCGCTCGATGGCGGTCACCAGCAAGCTGAAGGTGGAGGCGGCCAGTGCCATGAAGAGGGTTCCTTCCCGCAGGAACCAGAGCTGCGGGGAGAGCTGGAAGGTTTTCCTGCCCGAGAGGCAGAGGTTGCACAGGTAGGCAGCCCCGGCCAGCAGGTCGCTCAGCGTGATGCTGGCGATGCAGGAGTAGACCCAGCGGCGCGCTCGCAGGCACCGCAGGATGGCCAAGAGCACCAGCAGGTTCTCCAGGATGATGATGCAGCTGATGACGGCGAACGCTGTGCGCGTGAGCCCCGTGCCCTCGTCCCCGGCCTGCCTGTTGCTCAGCTTGCCCGTGAAGTTGTAGTGCTGTAGGATGATGTTCACGTTCCTCAGGGCAGCCAGCTCCAGGCAGGAGCTTTGCCTGTCGAGCAGCTCAAGTCTGAGCTCGCGATACTGAGCAGAGCCAAGGGGAAGGGAGAGATTCGCCAGCCAGCTCCGCTCCGGACCATCCATCCTCTGAGCTTTGGGATGCAGGATGGAGCAAGGCTTGGGAGCAGAGCAGAGGCACCAGGGGGCTGTGGCTGGAGCAGGCTGAGCCCAGCAGCTCTGTACAGCGTGGAGATGCGAGCCAGAGTCCTGCCTGCCGGCAGCACTGGAAGGAAAGGGGAGAGGAGGGTGAGGTGTTTTGTAAGTCCAAGCATGAGCATGGGCTTCCTGTTGTTTAATGCAGTTTCCTGATGCGAGGCACAGCACTGACATCGTCCCTAACATCATCGTTTGTGGCTGTTCTCAGCTTTGCTCTGCTTGGGAAGGTGGGACAGGAATGAAATGATGTGTCAGGAGCTGCTTTGAGTCAGGGCGCGCTGGGTTGATGGGGAAACACCTGCCTGGTCTTGGGCTGCACAAAACCACTAAGAGCACCCAGAGACACCAAGAGCTCTGCCTTTGGTGCCATTCAATTCACCCCTGAGCCTGGCAGGGAGCAACTGCCCCTTCACCACCCATGGGATGTACCCAAGGCACATCCCTGTCCAGGCTCCCCATGGGCCCAGCTCGTCCATCAAGACACATCCATCCACATCCTGCCCTGTCCATGCAGCAAGTCCAGGCAGCCCAGGGCCATAGGGACCAGCGGTCAGAGCCCTGCAGCCTCCACCAGCACCTCTCCAAGCACCCACCAGGGATGGGTCAGGAGCTTCCCAGCACCCAGGACAGGGAAGCACAAAGCTGCTGCCCCTTGCTGCAGCGCAGCCTGATGTGATTGAACAATGTCAATGCCCACCATTGACCCTGTGCCTGCAAAACTCAACCGGAGAGGAAGCCCTGCAGGATGCTGCTCCCAACACAGCGCTTCCATCCTCCTGATGCACTCACCAGTGGTACCCGGCCGAGGCTCCTGCTGCCCGCTGAGGTCCAGCAGCTCTCCAGATGCGTGTCTATGGCCCGGCAGGGAGGAGGCTCCTTGTGCAAAACAAGAGAGGGTTCTACCTACCCCAGTGGGAAAGGGGAAGTTACAACATCAGCATCAACCACATCCCTGTGCAGGGGGGGACCCCACCCAGGGCAACTGCATAGAGAAAACACGCCCCGAGCACCTTGAGCTCAGGTTAAAGCTGTGGCTGCTCCCTGCTCTCACCCCCCACCACCCCCCCCAAAGCCATGGAGAGGTCCCCAAGTGGAGAGCAAAGAGAATGGCTTGAGTTGGAAGGGACCTTAAAGCTCCTCCAGCTCCAACCCCTGCCACAGGCAGGGACCCCTTCCACTGGAGCAGCTTGCTCCAAGCCCCTGTGTCCAACCTGCCCTTGAGCACTGCCAGGGATGGGGCAGCCACAGCTTCTCTGGGCACCCTGGCACAGCGCTGGGGGCAGAAGGGTCAATGTGACCCTCGCCCCTCAGCCCTGCTTCAGGCTGAGCTGCTGGGGATGCTCAGCACAGCCCAAAGGATGCGGGGATGGAGCCACGCACCCTTGCCAGGGCCCAAGGAGCTGCTCGAGCTGTTGGCAGCGCGTGAGCAGCTCAGGAAGGAGAGATCAGACAAGAACCAGCTCCTTGTCAGGGACATCACAGGGGGGGCAAAGCAGAGAACCCCAGCCTGGGTTGGCACGGAAGGGACCTCAAAGCTCATCCAGCTCCAACCCGTGCCGTGGCGACACCTTCCTCTTAGAGCAGGATGCTCCCAGCCCCTGTGTCCAACCTGGCCTTGGCCACCACTGCTCCCATCAAAACCGAGGTGCCCTCAGCCACAGGAGGGGGTTCCTGTTGTCGAGCAGCAGCTCCCTGCCCATCTCTATCTGCACGGGCACAGGCTGGGCTTTATCTTGCTTTATCGTGCTTCTCCTCTGCTGCTCTTTCAGTTGAGATGCTCTTCCCTTGAGATGCAGGGGCAGGGGAAGGACACCCCCTCCTGCAACGCTTCCCAGCGCTCGCCCTCAGATGAGGACCATGATCTGCTTTAGACTGCCTGATAGTGCCGAGGGCTGGGCTTGGGGGGACCACAGGAGGCAGAGGGGGCACCCTGGGTGCTGAGACAGGGGCTGTAACAGCACAAAGCTGGACCCCTCCAGTGCAGGATCCTGCCAACAGGGAGGGAAAAGCACCTTGTGTCCAGAGGGAAGCGTTGGGATGCAGCCCAGGACAGCCTGAGACCCTGGAGCATCCCATCACTCCCATCAGTGGGGACCATGAGCAGATACGGGGGGCAGAAGCAGCAGCTACCAAGAGGAGATAACACATTGATGACTTGCTTGAGGTTTTCCTGCTGTGCTGCTGCTCGGACCCGATTAGAGCTTGTCTGTTCATCCTGATTAAATAGAGATCCCGGGTGGCTCTGCCTGCGGGCTCATGGAGCAGGGCAGCCCCATCCCTTGTTCCACAGGGCTCCCACCCCATCCTGGCCCCGCTGTGCAGCCCCAACCTCAGCCGAAGCATCCCTGCACCGATGGTGGATGTTGTTGTGCCCCAGGAAGGGTGGAGTTGGGCTGGTTTGAAACCCGTCCTGGCACTTGGTTGGTTTCATTTCAGAGATCACAGAACCCCAGCCTGGGTTGGGTTGAAGGGACCTTAAAGCTCCTCCAGCTCCAACCCCTGCCACGGGCAGGGACCCCTGCCACTGGAGCAGCTTGCTCCAAGCCCCTGTGTCCAACCTGCCCTTGAACACTGCCAGGGATGGGGCAGCCACAGCTTCTCTGGGCACCGTGGGACAGCGCCTCAGAACCCTCCCAGGGAAGAGCTTCTGCCTAAGAGCTCATCTCAGTCTCCCCTCGGGCAGGTTCAAGCCATTCCCCTTGGCCTGTCCCTACAGGCCCTTGTCCAAAGCCCCTCTCCAGGTTTCCTGCAGCCCCTTCAGGCACTGGAGCTGCTCTCAGGTCTCCCCTTCAGGAGCCTTCTCTTCTCCAGGCTGCCCCAGCCCAGCTCTCTCAGCCTGGCTCCAGAGCAGAGCTGCTCCAGCCCTCGCAGCATCTCCATGGCCTCCTCTGGCCTCACTCCAGCAGCTCCACATCCCCCTTGTGCTGCTGCTCCAGCACTGGGTGAGTTCACACGGGGACGTGAGGGAGGAACCGGTCCTCGCCCAGGAAATGGGCTCCGGGTAAACAGGGAGGGGGGGGCCATGGTGGGGACCCCGGGTGTGGTGCCAGAGGAAACCAACCTGAGCCCAGCACCTCCCTGTGCTTGGTGCTGCAGGGGCACCGCGCGTGGTGGCGGTGGCAGTGATGCTGGTGCTTCTGCAGTGATACCAGTGCTGCTGCAGTGATGCCGGTGCTGCTGCAGTGATGCCGGTGCTGCTGCAGCGATGCTGGCGCTGCTGCAGTGATACCAGTGCTGCCGCAGCGATGCTGGTGCTGCCACAGCGATACCGGTGCTGCTGCAGTGATGCCGGTGCTGCTGCAGCGATACCGGTGCTGCTGCAGTGATGCTGGTGCTGCTGCAGCGATGCCGGTGCTGCCGTACCGTGTGGAGAGCATCGGTTCGTGTCCCGCGCACCACTTCCTCCACCTCCTCCCTCTCTGGTGGTTGTACATAACAATACCGAGCGGTTTAGGGCCACGGAACCGCTGTCTGGTTTCTGTTGTCTGCTGCAGAACCTGGCCCCGAAGTCAGGCAGCTCCTCAGACACTGCGCCCTTCACAAGAGCATCGCGATGGAACCCAAAGATCAGCCACCAGCCCAGGCTGGTGAGAGCCAGGGCTAGAAGGAACGGGGATGTCCTGAGCCCCAGGGCCATGACACGAGGATTCGGTCACTGCTATGGAACAGGGGCAGCCCAATGGTGGCTTTGCTCAGGAGCACCAGGAGGGACAAGTGCAGCAGGATTGGTGCTCAGCTGCGTATTTAAACACATCCCACATTGCCCAGGGCAAGGGGAAGCGCCAATGGCAGCGATTTTGGGGCAGAGCATCCAGAGTGGGGCAGGCAAAGGCTCCCAAAGGGATGGCCCCAGGTGAGGATGCGGCAGTGGCATGAATAGGCCTGAAGGTTTCCCCCTTCTCCCCTCCACTGCCATGGGCAGGGATGGCAGAGTCATCCCAGGGGCTCCCAGCATCCACAAACCAGGAATGCCGCGAGCTCCCAAAGGCACAGCAGAAGCCAGGCTGGCGGCCAGAGCTCGAGGACCCCATTGGAACCTGGTGGATGTGATCCACCTGCAGGGAAGAAGAAATCCGTGACCTGAGCAGCATCCCTGAGGCTTCAGGATACCCCTGGTCCTCGTGTGCTGCTCTATCAGTGCCCCCGGAGCACAGGGCTGCTGCTCTGTGATTAGCACTATCAGCCCATCGCACGTGGCTTCCTGGCTGCCGGGTCCAGCTGCTCCCAGGGTATAAAACCAGCTCCTGCTCACTGGGATGCTCCAACTCCCCCCCCGTGCCTCAGAAGGAGCATCCATACGGCTGCAGGACGGGATGTGCTGGCCCCAGGCACTGCTGCTGCTGCTGCTGCTCTCAGGGGCTGATAGCAGTAAGAGGGGAGCTGGGAGGTGCTGCTGTGGGTCTGCCCCACGGCACGGGCTCAGCCGGCAGTGGGGGGTTGCATCTTGCAGGTCACATCGTGGGGGGCCACGAGGCTCAGCCCCACTCCCACCCGTACATGGCATTCCTGAAGGTAGGAGATTCGGCCTGCGGAGGCTTCCTGGTGGCACCGGGCTGGGTGATGACAGCGGCGCACTGCATGGGGTGAGTACCTCATGGAGCCCCCCGCATCCCCTTGGAGCAGGTTCCTCTGCCTCAGAGCACGAGGAGAGGGTGAGGAGGGGGAGCCCCAACGTGGGTTCTCCCCCTTCTCCGCGGGCAGGAACATCACAGTGATCCTGGGGGCTCACAACATCCACAAACCAGAACGGAGCCAGCAGGTCCGGGGGGTCGACAGGTACCACCAGCACCCCGGGTACGACCCCAACACCTACCTCAACGACATCATGCTGCTCAAGGCAAGGCTCTCGGTGCAACCCATCGGCTGCCTCTGCCCACGCCGGAGGCAGGAATGGGAGGGACCCACGGGCTCGGAAGCGCGTTCCCTCCTCATAGGAGCATCCCTACTCGCTGTGTGCGCTCACAGCCTTCCCCAAACCCCTTCCTTCCCCCAGCTGACGGCAAAGGCCACTCTCAACGACTACGTCAAGACCATCCCCTTGCCCAAAGGCAGCAGCGACCTCCCCACGGGTACCAAGTGCGGTGTAGCCGGATGGGGCCTCATCGACGAGGAGCAGGCGACCAACAGGCTCTTTGAAACCAGGGTCTCCATCTACAGCCGCAGGAGCTGCGTCCGCTTCTTCCCGCACCTCGACACCGGCATGGTCTGCGCCGGCAGCTTCCATGAGCTCCGGGATTCCAGCCAGGTACGGGAATGGGGCAGGAGGGGGCTGTTGAAGCAAGAGAGATGCTGGTTCCCAATAGAGGTGATCGGATGCGTAGATCCAATGTGGGTCAACGATTCCCTGCTCCAGAGCCACAACCTTGCTGGTATTCCCCAAGGGAGGGACCAATTCCTGCAGGGAAGAGGCCTCTCAAGGCTGTTTCTCATCTCGTCCCCAGGGAGATTCGGGTGGGCCCCTGGTGTGCAATGGGGTGGCACAAGGCATCGTGTCCTTCGGGTACGACGCTCCCCCCGGGGTCTACACCCGCATCTCCAACTACCTGCCCTGGATCAGGAAAATCATGAAGTAGCCGCAGCTCCGGTTCATCCCTGCCCCTGCTCAAGGCTTGAGCCCCCTCCTCAGCATCCCAAGGGACCAGACGAGCGCACACCAGGGTCCTTCCCTCCATCCCGAGGCTGCCGCTCGTCCCGTTCCCTGCCCATCCCGGCAGAACCAGCATCATCCCGGATGGCACCTGAAAGAGGCTGTGCTAGAACAGAGCCCGTTTCCATCACAGGTCACCCTGTCCCTGCTTGAGCCTCGCTGCACTTAACCCCCAGTAAAGGCAGAGCTGCATCTCCCACCGCGTCCCTTCTCTTGTCTTCTGCCTTGCCCTTGGGAGCAGGGCGGGTTGGGGATGGTGAGCATGGGGCAGAGCTCTCTGCACCTCCATCACTGCAATGGGATGCTCAGGCCAGGTTGGACGGGGCTTGGAGCAAGCTGCTCTAGGGGAAGGGGTCCCTGCCCGTGGCAGGGGTTGGAGCTGGAGGAGTTTAAGGTCCCTTCAGCCCAGCCCAGGCTGGGATTCCATGATGTCCTGGGTAGAGGCACTGATACGGTCTCTGAAAGGGCTGATAACAGACCTGGGTTCACAAAAGTCCCTGTCCCGATGCCACTTCCTCCTTGCCTCCCACGACAACAGTGGGAAAGCCCAACTCTTTCCCTGCAGGAGACAAAGCCAGGTCTGTGCTCAGCACTGCCTGCTCAGAGCTTTCTGCCCCTCTCAGGACGGGAAGCTCAGCCCCAGCAGTGCCCTGCGAGCAGGGCTGACAACGGCCCCATCCCACAAAGGATGCTCCACATCATCCTCAGGCGGGCCCTGCGCTGGAGGCTGTGACCTGCACCAGCCTCTCCTTCCAGGGCCTAAACCCCAAGCCCTGCTCTCGCTGTTCCAACCGGTTCCTGGTGGCACCTCTTCTCTAGGAGCAGGACACGATGAGGGGCAGAGGCACTGGTAGATAAGGGTGTGGGGTGATGGTGTCCAAGAGGAGCCCAGACTGCTTTGTGCTGGGGAAACCCAACGGGGGGGGGGGATTTTCAGTGCACAGAAGCTCAGGCAATGGGATGTGGGATGCTCGGCCTCTTCTCAGCTCCATCCGGATGCTCCAGGAGCTCCCTGCTCTTACTGGGATGAAGGGAAGCTCCATGAGCAGCCTGGGAAGAGCCCAGGGCTCTTGGGCTCACACGCTGGTGGCTGCTATCAGTGAGATCAGTGAGCAAAGAGGGCTTAATCTGTGCTCTCACGTCAGGGTTTTCCTCGAAGCCGGGGCTGCTGCAGCCTTTGCATGAGAACAGCTCAACCCGGGGCTTGCCCAGGCGGGGGCAGTGGGGAAAAGGAGCTTATGGGCCCCAGCGGCCCCCGTTCCCCATCCGGATCCGTCCCCTTGCGTCAGAGCCCAAGGCAGGAACCGCTGCGGATGCGCCCATGGGCGGCAATGGGGAGGCAATGGGATGCTTGGGGCTGAGGGAGGGAGAGCAGGGATCTGCCACCCCGAGGGACACAACGGGCTCCAGGGAAGGGGCAGGATCCCAAATGCGTGGCCCTGTCTCCATCAAGTGGGAGCCCGGGGACGTGTCTGTCCCCCTCCCCATCTCCCACAGTGGTTCCAAGAGGCAGTGGTTGGTTAATGGTGACCGATGACATCCGGGAAGGACCCCTTGGAATGGGGTTTTGCTGCACAAAGCAGAGCCCAAAGCTGGGACCTCGTGGTGGAACAGCCCTGCTGGGGCTGCCATAACCCATCCCGTGCCCACACCTGCAGGTCTACCTCTATCTGCCCTCACACAGCGGGGTCTTAGAGATGCCCTCACCCCGACTTAGCTCCATGGGGCAGGAACCTCACCCGGTGAGGAGGAGCAAGGGGGGTCCCTCCCTGCCCCTGCAGCATCTCTGGGGCTGGTTCATCAAGAGACAGATCTTGTTCTTGCAGAGCTCCTGATAACATCAACTGCTTGCAAGCGCACGACAACCACCACCATGGGCTGGAGGGGAGGAGGAGGCGAAGCCATGGGGCTGGCTACGGTCCCTCCAGCTCCCAGCTCAAAGGCAAGGAGTTAAAACCTGGCCTTAGAAGGGCATGGGCCAGGCGCAGGGTGGAGGTGGGTTGATGCCCGAGGGTGAATTCCCCTCTGGGATGGCTGAGACGTGCAGTTTGCAGCGGCATGAATCAGATCAGTCGGATTTCTGTGGTTTCCTGGAGGCCCAGCTCGGGCTATAAAAGCCCCAAGTGGGTGCCGAGGGGACCCCGGCAGCACCTCAACCTCCACGGCACCCACCATGAAGGACCTGCAGCACCTCCTGCTCCCCATCATCCTGCTGCTGACGGGCCCAGCGCCTCGAGCCAGTGAGTCCAGGGCTGGGGAAGGAGGAGTCCCAGGAGCGCATCCCGCATCCTCCCATCTCAGCCTCGGCTCCATCCGTTGCAGGTTCTGCCTGGAACCGGAGTGACAGAGGCCACGAGGCCAGGAGCCAGCCCATGCCCTACATGGCCTATGTGCAAGGAAAGAACCAGCAGTCCTGTGGGGGCTTCCTGGTGGCCCCAAGCTGGGTGATGACGGCGGCTCAGTGCTTGGAGTAAGTTCTGCCTGGGGTGGGACCTCCATGGGGTGGGTGATGGCTCCTGGGTGGGGCCAACGCCTGGGGTCACTTCAAGGCTGTGGCTGAGCTCTTCCCATCCCTATGGCTGCTCAAGGGGCAGGGCAAGGCCATGTCCTGCGCTCCCACCATTCCTTAAAGCAGTGCCCAAGGCCAGGTTGGACACAGGGGCTTGGAGCAAGCTGCTCCAGTGGAAGGGGTCCCTGCCTGTAGCAGGGGTTGGAGCTGGAGGAGCTTTAAGCTCCCTCCCAACCCAACCCATTCCATGATTCCATGACACACCTCGGGCTCGGTCTCCCCAGCTACAAGCCTCTGATTGTCATCCTGGGAGCCCACACGGTGCAGAGGAGAGAGGCAAGCGGGCAGAGGTTCGAGGTGCAGCAGTACCATCGGCACCCAGGCTTCACCAGCCCCAGGAAGGGAAACGACATCCTCTTGCTGAAGGTAACTACGTGCCGGAGCTCCTCACGGTCCCATCTGCCGCAACACGGAGCCTCATCACTCCTCACCCGAGCTCTTACTTCTGCCTTTGCCCCCTTGTCGCAGCTGAAGGGCAACGCCACCACCAACCACCACGTCCGGACCATCTCCTTCGACACCGACAGGGAGCTCGGGGGCACCAAGTGCAGTGTCAAGGGCTGGAGCCACACGACGCCCACGGCCACCCTGCGCCAAGTCTGCGTCACCATCCTCAAGCCAAGGCAATGCTTGAACTGGAACCCTGGCCTGGCCCAGAACCTCATCTGTGCCCTCAATGAATCCTCCGAGTGGCCCAAGAAGGTCAGTCCCTGGGCTAAAGCGCTTTGGGTACCACCTGCAAGCGCTGCTTCTTGTCCCGTTCCTCCATCCCCATCCGTGCTCCCTCTCCAGCATCCCTCTCCCGCTGTCCTGGCACAAGGGTCTTGCTCTCCAAGGCTCAGCCCCTCGTGGTCCTGCTGACCGCAGGCACCACGTTGTGCTCAGCCCACGGCGAAGCAGAGGGGAGCCTGGTTTTCCCACAGCAAAGAGGGGTTTGCTCTACATGTCCTCGTTGATCCGAGTGCCTCTGAGCACAGAATCCACCAGCTTGGAAAAGACCTTTCCCATCATCAAGTCCCAACCATCCTGCAGTGCTCTGCAGGTGCAGAAGGGCAAAAGGGATGCTTTAACTGGTCCCTTCTAGAGGGGTCCAAGCTGCTCCTGGGGAAGCTCTGCAGCCTCCCTGTTGGCAGATGCCAAGGCCCCATTTCCTAGGGGAAATCCCACATAAAGCAGTGATTTCCCCTCCTCCTCTTCCCAGGGTGATGCTGGGGACCCGCTGGTCTGCAACAACAAAGCCTACGGCATCTTCTCCTACCGGCACCAGAACTGGCCCGGGTTCTACACACACATCTCTCCTTTCCTGACCTGGATCAACAGCGTCATGAAGTCAGCGTGACCCTGCTCCTGCTCCTCCTTCCCTCCTCCCTAGGAAGCACCTTCCACTGTTCCCTATGGACACGGCTGGGATTCCTCCCTGGCAAAGCCAAACCTTGGCTCCCACTGCCTCCCGCTCCCATTTCCCCTTCTTTAAGCCCTGGGTGAGGTGAAGCAGCCCTGGGGGCTCTTGGGGAAGGAGAGGGGAGGGGGGGGATCCAAAGAGCAGCCTCCTCCCTACCCATTGCCTTTAGGACACCATTGCCTGGGGCTGCTTTGCCCAAGCCCTGGCCCCAATCTCAGCTCCTGCTTCACTTCTGCAGCTCCCGGGGCCAACCTCTGCACCCCGCTGCCCCCTTCCTCCCCTCCTGTTGTAGCTGCAGAACACGTGAACCAATAAATGGTGTCTGCCTTGGAGAGCCTCTCTCCTTGCTGTGCTTTGGAATCCTCTTGGATGCTTCCTCCAGCCGGGAGCAAGTCACTGCTCCAACAGCTCCAAGAGGTTCTGCCCTGCTCCTGGAATAGGGGTAAAACCTGGCTCTGGGGCAAGGAAAGCCTCGTGGCCTCCTCCCCCTTCAGGCTCCCACCATTCCTTAAAGCAGTGTCCAGGTTGGGCTTGGAGCAAGCTGCTCCAGTGGAAGGGGGTCCTTCCCCTTGGCAGGGGTTGGAGCTGGAGGAGCTTTAAGGTGCCTTCAACCCAATCCGGGCTGGGATCAAGGGGCAGCAGCGCAGGACAGAATCCCCCCACAAAGCTTCCAGGGATCATTGGGTATTGGAGCACCAGAGAGAGGGAGGGAGGAGCTCAGTGGGGACCCATAAAGTGGGAGCAGGACCCATAAAGTGGGAGCAGGACCCATAAGGTGGGAGCAGAGCCACAAAGCTGATCCAAGGCCTGGAAAGCCAAGAGGAAAGGCTGAGAGAGTTGAGGGCTCAGGGGAGACCTTGGTACCACGTTCCGGTATTCCAATGGACACGAAGAAGATGGAAGATTCCGAGTGGACCCAAAAGGAACAGGGCTCACTATGGGAACAACCACCACTAGAATCATCTCCTAAGGGAAGTGGTGCATTCCCCAATGTTGGACATTCACATTCAGCTGGACACGGTGCTGGGTCAGGCAGGTCAGGCTGAGCCTGGAGAGGTTGGACCTTGAGGTCCCTTCCACCCATGTACCATGATTCTGGGGGCAAAACCCCAGACCAAAGGGATTAAGGGAGCAGGTACTTGCCAATCCCAGTCGTTCCCATAGGTAGGAAAAGCTGTGAGCAAAGTGACTGGGGGCCTGCTGAGGATGCTCAGGTTGGTGCCGTGGGTTTCCATGCCCACAATGCCCTCTATGGGTTACCAACAGGACGTGTTCTTCAAGGCCTTACCTAAGGCACTGCTGAAACGACCCAAAACAAGCCCTTTAGAGGCAAAGCCCCATCTGCAGGTTGGAAGTGAACCGGTAGCTACGCTGGGAATAGCAGCTCATTCCCCAAGGCTCTTCCCACCATGCAGGCTGCTCTGAAGCAAGTGCTGGGAAGCTGATGTCAGGCTTCCCAAGGATGCTCCCATCCAACACCCTCTTCTGCTTCCCCAAGAGCCTCACTGAAGGCCTCCATGACCCAGCAGAGCAGGAGGGACCTGCTTTTTGGATGCTTCCTACCAACACCCTTTATTTCCATGGCCAGGAGCTATAGATCCAGAGCCCAGATGAAGGGAGGAGCAGCAGTGGTGGCTGGGAGCAGGGAATGGCACCCACTGGTGTGGTGCAGAAGAGCCGCCAGCCACATCCTCACCCACCTTGGGCTTATCCAGATGCTTCCCCAACCCAAATCCCAGCCTGGTTTGTATTGGGAAGGACCTTTAAGCTCCTCCAGTTCCAACCCCCTGCCATGGACAAGGACACCTTCCACTAGAGCAGCTTGCTCTAGTGTGATGCAGGATGATCCAAAGCTCCAGCTGCTGCTTTTCCCAAGAGCCCCCCAACCACAGCTGGGATAAAGCATTCCCAGCAGGACACCGAGCTCCCAGGGCCTTCCCCCTGTGCAAGGGGAAGGCTTGGAGCGAGGGGACAGGTACCTGCCAAGTGCAAGGGCTGGAGGGGGTCTTCCATGGCTGGAGATGAAGCTCAGGTCCCTCTGGCTGCAGCTTCACTCGCGTGTGACACCGAACCTCCGTGGCTGCAGCCTCCTGCAAACACAAGGACATTCAGGCCTCTCCCGAGTGATTTCAGCTGGAATTCCTGGGGAATGACCCTAGGGAAGGAGGGTGAAACTCCAGGAACTCCATCCTGGGAAATCCCGTTGGCAAAACACCACCGCATCCATCGCAACCCTGCGTCCCCCAGGCTCCTGAAGGGATGGATTGAGCGGTGGTCCATGCGTCAGTCTGTGTTGCTAACAGGCAAGACTGGAAGCAGGGTTGCTTCCCCACATTCCTCCTAGTGGCAATGGATACCCTGGGACAACGCTCTAGGAAGAGGCAATTGGACAATTCTGCTCTCGAATCCTGGAAAACTAAGTCCCCACAGCTTCAAATCCGAGTCAGCCCCTGCCCACACATCAGTGCTGTATGGAGTTACTGCATGTGTTACCTTCTAGTGACCAAACCACTTGGTTTTATGCCTGAATCCTGGTTTCCCAAGCAGGGCTTTTAGCCTCAACGGCCTGCAGGTCCCACAAGGTCCTGTTGGAGCCAAGCAGAAAAAGAAAGGAATGAAGAAACACAATCCAGGACCACCAGGGCTTTTAGGAACAAAATTTATTCCAATTTCAAACAGAGAATTTTATTTCAGGAGAAAGATATGAAAATCCATGGTGGCTTTTTGTTTTTCCATCCGAGATTTCTGTCCTAAGGGGGTTGTTGCCCAGCAGTCGGAATGGGATCATTGCAAGAAACAAACCCACTCCTGGACTGGAATGAGACACTTTGGAGCCTGAACAGATCCGGACAGTGGGTATCTTATTCAGCAACTCCTTTCCCCTCCCCTCTGCCCTCCCTCCCACCCCAACACGCACAACAATACATGCACTGCAAAGGACAAGGTTTAAAAACAGCGTCGGAGAGAGGCTCCTTTTCAAGAGGCTAATGGTGAAATGGTCTGCAATGAGAAGGTACAAGTCTAACCGAAGAAGTTCCACCACATTGGCACTTGGCAAGAGTCTCTGGCACTACTAAAGAAGGGGCATTGGCACGAACCATACTCTTCAATAACTGGGTGCTGCAGAACACACTGGATCTCGGCTGGACTCTCACGACCTGGGCTCTGTACAGAACGACACAACGGGCAGCACACTCGGCAAGTACTCTAGATATATTTTTATATATATATAGAAGTGGGGGGGGGTTTAACCTTTTTTTTTTTTTTTTACTTTTTTTTACTTTTTTCCTTTTTTTTTTTTTCCTTTTTTTTCTAAAAAAAAAAAAAAAAAAAAAAAAAAAAAAACCAACCAAGAAAACACATGAAGAAAACCCAGAGTGGAAGGCAAGGCCGACAACTGCGGGGAAGCAACAACAAGAAACCAAGGAATCCACCTCCGGGAGAGGGGAGAGGGGCAAGGAGCTATGTGACACGCTGAAGCGGGAAGGGGCTGTTGCTCCAATCCATCTGGAATGGCAGAAGGAAAAGCGGGATGCTCCTCGCCTCACGTTTCAAGCTGGCTCAAAGTTGGTTCCTTCAGCAGAGCAAAGAGCAGAGGTTGGCCCAGAGACCGTTATCCGCGGGCTCAAGATGCGAGCTTATCCCCCGAGAACCCAATTCCACCTCTTTCCTGAAGGTCTCAACCTGTGGAGCGTTCCAACTGGCCTCACTTATGGAAAAAGGGGGACAAGAGGCAAATTTGGTTTCGGGTTTGGCACTTTTGCTGGGCCAGGCCTTTGCCAAAGCGCCAGCCAAGAGAGATGCGCACCAGCGCTGCAGCAAGGCGGCGCTGGCCAAGGCAGAGGCACAACGAGCTCCCTCGTGCTCAGAGGAGCACGGGCCAAAACCGGGATGTCCTCGCATGGAACAAGGCCCGTGGACAACTCCGGATCACACACACGAGGCCGACCCGGTCCCTGCCTCCTCCCAAAGGAGGGTGCAGAGCCATCGCGGAACGCTCTCCCCTTCCCTCTGCAGTAACCACCACGCCAAGTCGCTCACCGGGCCGACAGCTACACCAAGGAGTTCCTCAGCAAGGTACTCACCCCCCCCTAACTCCTCGTGCTCACAGCCTCAACAGCTCCCACACAACAGAGTCCCTCTGCGAGAGACAGAAGCCAAACTCCCTCCTCCTGGGCCAGGGCAGCAGCGCTTCAAGAAGGGGAGGATAGAAACCCAAGGAGTTTCTGATTCAAGTGGCAGTGCCACCATCATTCACCTTGGAAAAGAACGTCTGGGAAGTTACTCCCAAGAGCCTGTGTCTCTCAGCGCCAGCTTTGGGCTGGCAATAGCTGTAGTGTGAACCATTTCCAAGAGGATCACAGAAGAGGCTGCTGCTGCCATCTGCTTGGGCTGAGCAGCACTTCGAATACACCCGGGTGATTATAAATTCCTCTTTATAGGACAGTTTCTACAAAATGGATCATTTTGGCATAAAGACAAAAAAGAAAACCAAGCAGTAAAATTGATGCAAAGCTGTCTGACACATGGGAATCCCTCTCCTTCCTCCCAAGTGTTCCATGCAGGCCAGAGCGTGGCTACTCTAAAGAGATGCTGCGCTTCCCCCAGCATCACTGCTCAGCCACGCTGGCTCTTCAGCTGTTGGTCCCGTGGCTACTGCTCCACCTCGAGCTCTCTCATGGCTCTGAGCAGAGCTTCCTTTCTCCTGTAGTGCTCTGAGACATCAGAGGCTTCCCTCACAAGAGGGACCTAGAAACAACAACGCTGTCCCTCCATACTGTAGTGTTCTAGATCGAAGCATCTCAGACAGTTGAGATTGACTCTTAACACGGTGTGCAAAACACTGACGTAGTGCTCTGTCTACAAAAGAGACAAAATATCAACAGCCCCCTTCAACAGTGCAGCTCATGTCTTCACCTTCAGGCCTTCACGGGGGCAACCTGCTTGAGCCAGAGAATTTGGACCCGATGCTACTGGTTGGAATTGAAAGAGAAGCATTAATGATGCTAAACAACACGTAGCCAGCGGTGGGTCAGGTTCCCCTGCTTCCTATCCCTGCTCCTTGCCACTGCAGTTACTTTCCAGGCTGGCAGCAGCTCTGCAGCACGTCTGTTCACTTGCCTCAGCTCTGCGATGTGCAAAGGCTTCACATCCTTCCGCTTAGTGCAGTTCCATTTGGCATCTAGAATCCACAACTGCTGCTGCTCTACCTTCCACCCTGCACCAGCAAAGCCTGCTCTCTGCTCTCCTGCTACCAGCACAGCAGAGCTCCCTGCTCCCACCACGACACAGCACACGTCCCCCTGGAGCAAGGTTGGGTGCGAGTCTTCCGACGAGGATCCCTACACTCCTCTCTCAAGAGAAACCCAGCAGCATGTGCTTATGGGGAATGCATAAACAGGAGAGGGAGAACTGCTCTTCCCCTCCATCCTCAAGCTTTTCAGGTAAGAATCCTCCCTCCATCCCAAAGTTGGTCACGAACCAACTCTGGTCCTTCCTACGAACCTACGAGCTGGACAGGACCGAGGAGTTCTTCCACAGTCAATTGAACACACTGGCACAGAACAACAATCAAGGCTTGTTTGCTACTAGCAGCAAGAAAAGAACTCAAGGGTGGCACGAGACTAGAGAGATTTCCCATCCAGCCCAAGCGTGATGCTGGAACGCCACAGCTCCTGGGCGCGCCGTGGGGATGCGCTGCCCGCAGAAGCCGCTCCACGCCACACACCACCGCTCTCTACTCGACAAGACCTAAGTCTGCCCTCTGCAAACGGAGCCCTTGTGGTGTGTGGGGAAGGGGGAGGACGTGGGGACGTGTGTGAGAAACCAAAAGGAAAAGCAAACCTAAAATTCAAACCAAAAGAAAGAAAACCGAGAAGAGAAAACGAATGAACAGTTACAGTCAGGCACTTCCCCAGGCTCAGCAGCTATTGCTCCAAGAGCTTCCATCATTTGTAGTCCATGAACAAAATACAGCAACACGTAGCAAACTATGTATAGAACATCAATAATTTAAAAAAAAAAAAAATAATAATCACAGTCTCCATACCTTTTATCATTGATAAAGAAACAAAATAACTCAAAACTAGAACATATCAAGAATGGCAAAGTGATGGCTTTTGGTGGTGGTGGTGGCGGTTTGCCTTTTTCTTGTGTGGGGTTTCTTTTTTGCACAATGGTTGGAGAGCAATTGCTCCTCCCCAACGTTTCATCACAGTGAACCATGGAGCGTGTCCTGGGGAAGGGAAAGGGTAGGGCAAGAAGCAAGCAGGGTTAACAACTGACACCAGAGGCACCCATAGCACGAGGCAAAGGGCCCAGTAGCATTCTGCACTCCCACAGTCCAGTGAATGCACAATCTCAGCTGGAAAGTTGGGGGTTGTTTTTATATATATATTTATATATATACCATGGGAATGAAAACGGGGCAGAGGGGGGGAAGAAAAGGGGCAGGGGGATGCAAAAAGTGGCGAAGCAACGAAGGAAAGCTCAAGATGAGGCTGCTTTGAGTGAGCAGAACGTAAGAAGTAAGCAAGGTGCTGAAGAGATGAGGCATATCCCCGTTAACTTGTGAAAGAAAAGCGATCTTGTTAAAATAGGAAATCAGCTACTCTGTGGACAGAGACATGAGACTCCAGGGGTAACACTGAGCACGTGCCACTCCACAGGTCAGACAATTTGCAATCATTACATCATCAAAAAAAAAAAAAACAAAAAAAAAGGAAAAAAAAAACAAAAAAAAACAAAAAAGGAATTAAAACTTTTGTGGTTTTCCTGTCGTCTGGAAACTTTCTTGTTTTGTCTTTTCTTCCCAACGAAGCCTCTCAAAGGGGCTGAGAGCAGAGCGGGGTCAAACCAGGTTGTATTCCTTCAGGTTGAGCTGTAGGATGGTGTCCTTGACAGCTGCGAAGACGAAACGGATGTTTTCCGTGTCTGTGGCACATGTGAAGTGGGAATAGATGATTTTGTCGCTGTCGGGATTTAAATCCACAAACATCTTGAGAATGAACTCCCGGGCTGCCTGCGCATCCCTCTGCGGGCCTGCAGCGAACAGAGACACCGGTTACCCACTCACCCAGCAACCCCACACACTGGGGTGGGTTGGAAGGGACCTTAAAGCTCCTCCAGCTCCAACCCCTTGCCACGGGCAGGGACACCTTCCACTTGAGCAGCTTGCTCTGAGCCCCATCCACCCTGGCTTTGAGCATTACCAAGGATGGGGCAGCCACAGCTTCTCTGTTCCAACCCATTCCAGTGTCCCAGCACCCCCACAGGGAAGAGCTTCTGCTAAGAGCTCATCTCAATGTACCCTGTAAGGATCTAAAGCCAGCTTTAAATGAACTCAGCTGAAGAGCCCGAAGCATGATTTGGGCTAAAGAGCTGTGTTGCCAACAGCAATTTCTCTGCTTCACATCGACCCTGGCTGACCACAGCTGCACATGGCACATGAGTCACAATTCACTTTGGAGACCTGCAGCACCCTCATTTGAACAAGCTGGGTATTGGACCAGGCAGTTTCTTCAAACAAGGACTCACATCACCTCCTGACTACAGGACTGAAGTGCCCAGTACACCAGTGACGGGGGTTTATGAACTGGCTTTCTGCACAAGCACACAGGTAGGAAAGCCAGACTTCCATAACACCCTGAAGTGCATCCTGAGGGCAGGAGGAGTCATTCTTCACCTAGGAGAGGCTCATTCCATCAGATTCCAGTTACCTCCGTATGATCAAGATACTTTGGTGCCATCTTCTCCTTGCTGTAGCTATTCCTTCCCCAATCCAGATGTTTTGCCCATCTCTAGAGCTGAGGTATCTTTCAAAACCAAATACAACTGTGACCAAACCACCTCCAACCCCTTCTTCCAGATAAGAACGTTCCTCCTTGAAAACCACTCACCATCAAACTCCGGGAAATAGTCGACAAGGTGGGAATATAGGATCTTGTCTTCCAACAGATCTTTCTTGTTGAGAAAGAGGATAACAGAAGAGTTTTGGAACCATGGGTAAGTGATAATGGTTCGAAAGAGGGCTTTGCTCTCTTCCATCCGGTTCTGAAAGAGAGAAGAGAAAGCCTTGTTTCCACAAAGGAGCACACTGAGATGCTTTTCTGCTGCCTGCACTCCCATCTGTAGCAATCCAGAATCTTGGATACTGGATGCAGAATCCTTTGGCCCCAGGTAGGTTCTGGCTCAAGCTGCACCAGTAAATACAAAGGAAATGCAAGATCTAATGGATTCCAGCTTCATTTAATTGGCAAACCATTGAGATCAAAAGTCTTAGTAGTCATTTTTATGCTGTGAGAGTCATGTAAGAGGACTCTGTGGACATGTTTTGTCTGTAGAAAAGGAATAACTGCTGTTACCTAATGGCATTTTTTAGTCTCTTAGCAAGTGTAAAGATTCAGTGTCACACCTTCAAAGAGAGCAGGCACTATCTAAAAAGGCAGCAGTCACAGCACGGAGTCATTCAGTGTGGAAAGGAGGAACGGAGGGGGTTTAGGAGCATTCCCAGGCACACAGAACTCAGCAATTTCACAGTATTTCAGGATTACTCGACAAGTTCCCGATGATGCAAATGCTCCACACATTCTCCATCCTCAGGGACATCATGACCCATCAAGGCTCATGTTCCCTCTGCAACAGGATGAACTGAAGGCCAAAACCAGCAATAGATGCTAACCCCACTTTGGTACCAGCCTGCAGAAGCTAAAGACATTCCTCCTTTCTTTGCACCTTCCTGCTGAGTTCCCATTCTTTGGCTTACCTCGTTATCAGATTCCACCAGAACTTGGTCATATTCACTAAGTGCTACTAAAAACATGATGGAAGTCACATTTTCAAAGCAATGGATCCACTTCCTTCGTTCTGATCTTTGCCCTCCAACATCCACCATTCTAAGGAAGAGAAACACACATAGTAGCACAGAAGTGGCTGCAGTTCTCTAGCTGAACACAAAGGACCAGCATATGATAGGAAGGATCGTGGCTCTTTGCCACTCAATTTAACTTGGCATGGGGATGGAATATGTGTTTGCTAACAAAACCCTCAGGTTTACAAACCACCCTGCTCCAGAAATACATCCAACTGACAGGATGGCCACCAAATGCCACCTGGTGCTGCAGCAGCATAGGCAGTGAGCTTTGGTGTCATCCTGAGAGCGCAGGGAGGGCACAGAAAAGGATTTCTGCACGAGAAGTGGTCTCTTTTTGAAGGAGAAATAACTGGTCAAGGTTGGTTGAGCTCAGCGTTCTTAAAGGCAAATACATTCCACTCCCAGCCCAAGCCTTCCCCCATCCCCTCGGTGGCTTAAGCTCCCATCAGTTCACTCCTCACATGCAACACAATCCCTCCCAAGATCCCTGCAAGATGGTTAGTTGGGCTTTAAGTGTTACTGATTCTGTTCCACAGCTTGGAGCTTTCCCTTCATCAGAATAACATGTTACACCATCCCCACAGCAGGAGCAGCCTTCAGCAGATGCTTCAGAGCATCACACCACATACAGCCACTCAAGCACCGGCCCACTCTAAAGCCATCCTGAGTTCAGCTGTAACATGAATACACCTTCAGTACCTGAAGATAATATTCTCTAGGTCAAAGGGGTACTCTATGATCCCAGTTGTAGGAACTCGAACCCGTAGCACATCTTGCTGAGTTGGTAGATATCCCGGGGTAGCGATACGATCCACGTCGCTGAGATAGCTACAGGAAGGGAAAGACAAATTGCCCGAGGTTACAGCACATAAAGACCCCTATTTCAACCCCATTAGGCTTTCCATGGCTCAACAAGAAAAGCAAAAGTCACCTGAATCACTTCAAATATGGGAATAAATCTTTGGGGAGCAGTAATTCACCAGCCATCTGCTTCGGGGAGAAACAGGAGCAAGGACAGCAAAGGAGTGTGGCAGGCAGAGAAAGGTGAAGTTCAGGGATGCTTATGGTTGAGAATTAAGTCTCATCTGAGGTTTTCTATTTAGTAACAAGCAAACCTATGTCATCTGCCAAACCAGCCACCAGTTAAGTTACACATCCATGGAGACCAAAGGACAAACCTGAAGAGAGAGCAACACTTCTGCTACCTAAGTGCCAGGGCCACGCTAGATGGTGTAGGGTAGAGATTCAAGCCTCAGGCAGATCCAGAAGCAGATGTGCCTGTATCACCCTCCACAACCCATCTTATCCTTTACCTTAGGAAAGGTAGGAAGTAGGAAATGGTGAGGAATTTCCAGATCTGTATCTACCCCCAAAACAAACACAGCTTCTCTAGTGCAGCTCTTTGCCTTGTGGAGGCAGATTCAAACAAGTTCCCAGGTTCCTGCTCCCACTGCTCTTTCAGCTTCACTTTTCCTAAGGATATTTCTGCCTTTCTCATGTGCCTACAGCTTTCATCCCAATCCACGTGGCCAGCAGAGGCTGTGCAGCTTGTCTAAAGCACCAGCAAGACTCACCCACGTCAGGGAAACCGAGAGAAGGTACTTTAAATAACACAGGGAAATCCACAGCAGTATTCCTGCTCTCTGGAACCAACTCTAGGCTTCCATTAAACAACTGGACAGGTATTATTTGTTAGAGCATCACTCCCATCTACCAGTCAGTAGGTACTTACTATTTAGCTGAGTCAGAAAGCTGATATTCTCTTCTCCTGTCATAACACTCTTGGATTCCAGGGTCATTCCACAATGTTTTAATTGCACTTACATATGGCTGCTCAAATGTCATGACCTTTTCTACATCCACTTCCCGGATCAGCACTGCATTGGCCTGGAGATTGAAGAGGAAAGACAGAAAGAGACAGAGAAGTTCAAAAGGGGGTGTTGTCAGCAATCAGAAGCAAGGGCTATTGGTCACAGAGAGGCCAAACTGCCCTAAGAAGCAGTCCTTGAGCACACATCTATGGGAAAGGCTGCCCAGAGGTTGAGACTGCCATGCAGAAGGACACAAGGGAACAGAAACTTTGGAGTCAAGCCCTAGAATCCTCAGTGCCTAAAGATAAGTGCACAAAGTGGGAGCAACTTACCTTGTTCTGTTCATATTTGTACAGAATCTTCAGGGTTTCCATGGCCCTGATCATAGACTGCATGGCAGTGAAGATGTTCTGGTACACCAGCTTGGTGAAGCCTTTTTTATCCTCTTCAGAGTAGCCTGAGCCATGAATGATACGCATCTGCTTAATGAACGTGCTCTTTCCACTCTCCCCAGTGCCTACAGAATGCAAGAGAGAGTTAAGAGCCATCAGGAGCAAGGTTTGCTGAGGCAGAAAGCATCTACCATCCATCCCATCCCACCCCAAAGCTCCTCTTTGCTCTACCCAAGCACACACGGCTTCCAAGCACTGTTTGAGCTGCTTCCCAGGATCCTCAAGGCCACTCTGGCTGGTCCAGCTCATCCCTACCCCGAAGCTTAGAGCACAGGAAGACATCTTGTCCTTCCGAGCAGCCTTCACAAGCAGCTCTGGTTCTTCTTCCACCTCTCACGTTACAGCTCCTCCCACCCGTTCTGCGTCAAAAGGCCCCTGGTCCGTCACACCTGACCTATTCCCAGATACTCCAGTAAGATGCTACAATAATCCCAGCAGCACGCTCCACAACTGGTGACACTGCCAATGGAGAGGCTCAGGGGAAGCTCGTTTGCTCGGGTGTTTCGTTGGGGTTTGGTCTTCCCGAAAATGTGGCTTTTCTCTGGCCACAACCGAAATAAATCAGCTCTAAAGGAGAAAGGAGCTCAAGAAACAATTGGGTTCTCCAGCTGATGGGAGCAGCTACGGAAGGGCATCTGCTCAGCATCCCAAACTGCTGTGCAAACAGGATGTTTGGACTGAAATGGTAATCACCACTGGGGCAAGATACCTCTAGGAGTGCTTGTGCCCTCTGGGCATTACAGAGTTAACACGAGGGGAGAGCAGAGGAGGATGCTGCTTACAGCTCTCTGCACTGGGTCTTCAGCCCTTACAGACTGCAGGCTGCTCAGCAGGGCTACCTGCTCCTTCTACCATGGGGTTGCTGCTCCAGGGACACGAGGGCTTAGAGCACACAGGAGGGAAAGACACAGCACATTCAGCCTGGCCCTGTCGCTGCTTCCTGCACACTCAGCGAGGCAGGTCCTCCCACTCCTACATTTATGGCCCCAGAGAAGTGTTGCTGAACACGTGAAGGCCAACAGAGGAGATAAAGAGATAGGGGAGGAACTTTCTGACACCGTAAGTATGAGAGAAAACCATCAGCAGGTAAAGTGTCGATGCTGATACACGGCCTGGTTAGAGTCATGATTCCAGGGAGACCTTAGGGCAGCTCCCAAGGGAAACCTGGAGAGGGGCTTTGGACAAGGGCCTGTAGGGACAGGCCAAGGGGAATGGCTTGAACTTGCCAGAGGGGAGACTGAGATGAGCTCTTAGGCAGAAGCTCTTCCCTGGGAGGGTGCTGAGGCGCTCGCACAGGGTGCCCAGAGAAGCTGTGGCTGCCCCATCCCTGGCAGTGTTCAAGGGCAGGTTGGACACAGGGGCTTGGAGCAAGCTGCTCCAGTGGTAGGCGTCCACAGCCAACAGCTTAAAAAACATCTACCACGGATGCTTCTCTCACGTACTTTTAGTCAGTCTTTTAAACCTTTGCTATCCATATACAGAATATATAAACAAAGAAACCTCTTTAATACAGGGGCCCAACTCCCTGAGAGCAAAAACTAAAACCTATCCCATAAGCAACAAGTCCTTTCACCATCAGGTATCCTCACAGCAGGGACTCGCTGTATGAAGCCTAGATGTCATTCATCACACTCCACAGTTACTACTCAGAGGTAGATTCTCAGTTACTCCTGTTTGTAGTGCGAGGCTAAAAGACAAACAAATAAATATGCTCCCATAAGAGCAGGGAGCACAGAACCAGAAGCAGCACATTTAAACCAAACCAGCTCCCCCCATAGCTGAGATGCGACAGAAATCCCATCAGCAAGGAGAGGGATGAACATTAGAAACACCATTAACAGACAGCAAAGGCTCTCAAACACAAAGCTATCCCATAATATGGGAGAGGGGAAATGGAAACTGAAATCTTTTGTGGTTTCTCTCACTGTGGTGAGAAATGCTTCCTCGGTGCTTACCACAGCGACCAAAAGTGGGGGGGGGGAAGACAAGACGCTGTGCTTCAAAGCATTCTGACAGCACAAACCTAAGAGAAACCTCAGCACCAGTCACTCAGACCCGGATTTCTCCTGTCACCCACCAGCACCCATCTTTGGGGTGGGGTTTTTGGTTAAAAGTGCCTTTTGATCTCACCCAGCCGAGGTTTTGCAGAGCACAGTAACCTCATTGCATCTGCTAACGTTGAGGCAACGTGAATTCCCCATTTCATCTGGCAAAGGGGGAAAAGCAACAGTTCACCCTGCATTGGGAACAACCCCTGACTGGCACTCGGAGGTTCATTCCTCAGTCAACACGCTGAACCCCCCCTCCCCACCCAGTACAAAGAGGAACAACCACCTTATACCAGAGGGCAATGTCCAACACCTTGAAAGCAGAGTTCTTACTACCTCGTGCATCATCGATTCCCACTGTCGGTCCTCACCCCAGTGCTCTGGTTTAGGCTTCAACCACCAAACTGTCATTGAACAAAGTGACAAGGAAAATGAATGAAGTTTCTGGGAGACAGAAATTCCCTCTGGAATCAAGAGGGTTTGGGAGAGGCCTCTCACTAACACCATCCCTAACAGTGGTGGATGGAATTGCTCCACGTAATAGCAAGAAAGAAACCCCTGGAAGCACAGTTACGTCAAGGAGGGAGAACACTCACTACCTGCCACGAGTGAAGGTGGGAATTGTGCTGTCTCCAGTGCAAAGCACTCAGCAGACACATCCTAGAACCGGGAACGTTGCTCATTCAATATTAACCACCTCCTATAGAGCTTTTGTTCTGCAAATCTGATGCTGAATGGCCCAGAGCTGCAACTTGCAGAAAAGCAGAAAGGATTCTTGAGCAATTGGGATCATTCTTAAAGTGTAATCTTTAGATCCAGTGGGATCTTCTTAACCCAGATCTATCCTATAGTGCCAACCTATTTTGAAACGGCTGCTTCTGTGGGACCGCTGTCAGGAAGCAGGAGACACACGGAAGACATGTACCCGATGTCTTACAGCAGCTGCCCCAGCGGCTCTGCAGAGCACAAACATCAGGCCCTGGATTTTACCCTTCACCTGAAGCACAGCAACACGTTAACCACCCAGGATTCAGGGGGAGAAGGAAAGCCCTGGCCTTCCCTTCATTGCCACGCCACAACAATGGCAGCCCTCCAGAGGCAGCCCCAGCCTCACTTCACTCCTGTCAAGTTGGCTATTTGATCCCCCAGGGATCATTCCCAATCCATCCGCTGTACCTCAATGGGCAGCTCCCACCAGACCCCAATAAGCTCAATCCAGCAGATCCGCTCCACGGTTCAGCTCGAGACGACGGGGTATTTCAGACACAAAGCAGGACACATGCACAAGCAATGCTACATCACAGCAGCCATGAAAACTGAAACACAAGTCCAAATTGGGGGGCTCCCTGGACATCAAGCTCATTGCTGAAGGAGGACCTAAACGCCTCAAATCTTAGCTGGCCGCTCTTGGAACTGATCCCCCATCACTATAAACCTTACCTCAACATGGAATAGTTATTTACCCATCTGCACACCACTCCATTTCCACCTCACACCTACATCCTTATCGCTGCACAGGTGATTTCTACCTCCAAAAAGCACCAGAGCCATTTCCCCCTCAGACACAGCTCTGCTGGGCTTTGTTTCTCTTCAGATCCACTCCCCCCCAAGCTCCCAACCCCACCGGCCCTCCCTGGGTGGCGCAAGGGGAATTCTGTGCTTTAGGAGCTGGAAGATGATTCTTCCACACACATTTACCCAAGGCGTGGAAATTTTTCCCTAGGAAGAGAAGCTGTGGCTGCCCCATCCCTGGCAGTGCTCAAGGACAGGTTGGATGCAGCTTGGAGCAACCTGTTCCAATGGAAGGTGCCCCTGCCCGTAGCAAGGGGGTTGGAACTGAACGGGCTTTAAGGTCCCTTCCAACACAACCCACTCCATGGTTCTATGGATACCGAAAAGCATCAACTCCATCCCTGGATCCTGCCCGCTGATAAAAGGCCGGCTACGGGAAGCACTTCCTCGAGCCCATTTCCACACACACCCATCTCGGTGCCCGAGCCTCCAGAGCCCAAATCACTCCCGATCAATTGTATGAGTTCACCCTCACAGTTCCTCCCGATGTCAAACACCATTTGGACACCGAACGCGCCGCAAAACCCACACAAAGGGCAGCCAACAACACATCCCCCACACACACACACACACACAGACACCGAGGGCGAGGGGGGAAACAACCCCGGTCCCCCCCTTCCAACAACCACCGCCCGGGCGCGGCCACCGGGACCTGTCAAGCCCCGCGGCCGGGGCAGGGCCCAGGCCCCTTTGGCGCGGTCAGGCCGGGCCCGTCGCTTCTCACCCAGCAGCAGCAGCTTCAGCTCGCGGCGGGCGTCGCGCTTGTCCCTCCGCAACTGCTTCTCGATCTCGGCGTTGATGCGCTTCGACTCCTTCACCTCGTCGCTCAGGCAACAGGCCATCATGGACTCCAGAGTCATGGTGGCGCCGAGGCCGGGCCTCCCCCGCCCGCCCGCCCACCCCCCCCCACCACCACCACCACCACCACCACCCCCCCGGGGCACCGAGCACCGGCCTCCGCACGGCCGGGAGCGCGGCCCGGCCCCGCGCCCCCTTCCCTGCCCACCCCACCCTCCCTCCCTGCGCGGCCCGGCCCCGGCCCCGGCCTCAGATCCGACTACGTGCGGCCGGGCCTAGCGCCGCCGTCGTCGCCGCCGCCGCCACTACCACGACGACGACGACGACCAAAACCGCCGCCGCCGCCGGCCCCCTCCGCGCTGCCCTCTCCCGGCTGCGGCCGCCGCTCCCTCCCCGCACGGCCCCGCCGAGGCAGCGACGAGCCGGCGCAACCCAACCCGCTGCCGCCGAAAACAAGCGCTGACTGACAGCCGCTCAGCCAATGGCACAGCGCGGATTGCGGCGGGGGCGGGACTAAGCCGGCGGGGCGGGGCGCCGCAGCCAACCGGAGCGCGAGTTTGGTTGGCCGGGCACGGGAGGGGGGGGGGGAGCAGTGCGCGGACGCGCGTTCCCAGAGCGGGGCGGGGGCCGCTGGGCATTGTGGGACGGTGGCGGACCGGGGCGGGCGGCCATGGCGGCCCGTGGGCTTCTCCCCACAGGCCGGGTGCGGAGCGGGCACCGCGGCCTTGCCCGGCCCGGCCTCACCTCACCTCACCCCGCGGGGCCGCGGCTCCTTCCGCCGGCCGCCACCCCCGGCCCCGCTCTTGGGGAGCGCCCAGCCCGGGCTCAGGCCCCGCCCGCCCACGGCTGCGGCAGCGGGGGAAATGCCCGGCGGGCCCGGGGCCGCCTCTGAACCCGGCCCCGTTCCCGGCGCTCCGTGCACGGCCTCAACGCTGCCTTTAGCCTCGGTGCCCCCCTTGCTGCTTAGCAGGGCCCTGTTACAGGTAGCCCCGAGGCAGCCTGATGTCAGCCCGAGCCTTGGCCATCCATGCATCCATGCATCCATCCATCCATCCTCGCTGCTTTACCTTCATGAGGAACCCAACCCTACCGCAGTAGAAGACACACTTGGGACCCCCATCTTCCACCTGTACAGGCTGGTTCCTAAGCTCAGTTCATCCCGGAGCCCTCCAGAACGGGGGGGGGAGGGCGGGCTCAAACGGGACCAACGAGCCCCAGCCCTGTATCTCAGTCACCCCAGGACCGTGTTCCTTCAGTCAGGCATCACCCACAGAGCAGGAAGTGCTGACAGGGACCGCGGACCCAGTGCCCCAGGCAGCTGCATCCCCCTCCCTGTGCAGGAAGAGATGGAATTGCGGAAGCTCCATAGATTCTCTTTTACCATGGCCATGTCCACAAGCTGCAGCTCCCACCATCCCTTTGGATGGACACCAGGGTCCCTGCTGGTTCAGGAAGAGGGGAAGAGGCAAAGCAAGACCTCTGTGGCAAGGTAAAACTGGTGCACACAACATCCCAAAGGAGAAGTCTCTTCCCACCTTCCCCTTGCTCCATCTGGTGTTGTTTCTCTGTCTCAGCTTCCTTAACGCCGAGGTTCACCCCAGCTCTGCTGTTTGCAGGTGTTTTGGAGCCCGTATGGATGCCCAGCTCCATCACTGCCTGGTCTGGCTGCGGTCACTCCCCTTATCCTTGCCCTGTTCTGCCTGGAGCTCTGTGCGTAACCACTGACAGCAGCAGGACAGAGCTGCTACATCCCTGTCTTCCTGGTTACCTGCCGGTCCCTGCCCCGTGGCAGTCTGATGGAGACACAGACACGAGATGCTCCCAAGCAGCAGGCTGTTTCCCACTGCCATTCCTCCTGCTCTTCTAGCTGTGCTGCTCCCCTCAGCTCTTGGCCTCAATGAGCAGAAGATTTTCACTTCTTTTTCCAGTGGTCTCACCATAGTTTGGCTTTTCCCAGCATCCATTCCCTTCCATTCTTCTCCTGCTTTCTCTTCCTGGTGTCCCACCCCTCAGACAGAGCTGTTCCTCTCTCCTTACTGATCTCTGGTGAAAGACTTGTTCCTCTGGCAGGTGACTCCAAGTCACAGTGAGCTGCTCAGTGTCATCCTTTGGAACTCCAGCCAGGAATGGTGCTTAAGGAAGCAGGAAGCCTTCAGTTCCTACCACACTGCTCTGGCTTTAAGCAAGTCACTTCACCTCCTTGCCTGTCCTCAGGCTGTGAGTGCAAGATAGATCCTGGCTCAGGAGTTACCAACCAGGGCTGCCAGGCTGCTTTGCACCACAAGGTGCTATGTGCCAGAGGCTGTTGTTTGGGTTCTCTTCCCTTGAGCAGGAGCAAAACCTAAAGGCCAGAAGCTCCTGCACTGGTTGCCATAGGAAAAGGAGGAACAACATCTGCATCCAGCCTCTGGACCACTTGGCACCTGCTGCCAGGCATCAGCTCTGATGAATCCTGCTCCGTGGAGGTAGGAATGACAGAGCTGGTGGTCTCCAAGCAGCAATGCTCTGTCTGCTCCTTCCCTTCCTGCCCTCCTGGAAAAGCTGCTTGGAGCAGGGAGAAGCCAGCTGCAGTTTGCTGCAGCTGCTCCATCAGTTTTCCTTGCCTAAAGAAAAGCATCTTGCAACCAGACAGCGCAAACTGATCCCATCCTGCTGCAGAAACCAGGTGCTTTGGGCACCCAGTTCAGCTGCACACACACACACACACACAGGGGGATGTGCTGCAGAGGGGCAGCAAGAGGGGGTCAGGTTGCTCTGTGGGTTTGCTGGAGATGGCCCCATGAATTCCTGGTGCTGAAGGCCTATAAAGCAAGGCAAAGCAGCTCTGTTCCAGTGCCAGAGGATGCTGTCCATCCAGCCTGGAGCCCCACTGATGGTCCTGCAGCCAGCTCTGGGACCCCAACAGCAGAGAAGGACCTCTTGGAGGAGTCCATGGCTTGCCACTGCTGAGAGCACAACCCAGGCCCAGAGAGGATGTGCTCCAAGGAGGACAGCTTCCAGCACCCACCTCCATCAGCCCCAGCATGGAGCACCCACACCAGCCTCACCTCCCACAGGAGGGCACTGCAAGCCAGAGGTGCTGCCAGCTCCAGCACCTTTTTCTCCTCCAGCGCCAAGGGGAGCAGGTCAGGATGGGACCCTGCCACTGCTTAACGCAAGCCTGGGCAGTGCACGGTCAGTGGTTGCCATCCCAGCTCTCACAGGAAGGAAAAGGAAAGGGATGTATTGTTTAATGCAAGAAAGCATCTTCATACCAGTGAAGTGTGAGCAGTGAGAACCTTCTGTAAACCAGGACCAGCTCAGTCATCCCCTTCCCCATGCTGCAGATCCTGTTCTGTGAATCATAGAATCCCAGCCTGGGTTGGGCTGGAAGGGACCTTAAAGCTCCTCCAGCTCCAACCCCTGCCATGGGCAGGGACCCCTTCCACTAGAGCAGCTTGCTCCAAGCCCCTGTGTCCAACCTGGCCTTGAACACTGCCAGGGATGGGGCAGCCACAGCTTCTCTGGGCACCCTGTGCCAGCGCCTCAGCACCCTCCCAGGGAAGAGCTTCTGCCTAAGAGCTCATCTCAGTCTCCCCTCTGGCAGGGTCAAGCCATTCCCCTTGGCCTGTCCCTACATCCCTTGTCCCAAGCCCCTCTCCAGGTTTCCTGCAGCCCCTTCAGGCACTGGAGCTGCTCTCAGGTCTCCCCTTCAGGAGCCTTCTCTTCTCCAGGCTGCCCCAGCCCAGCTCTCTCAGCCTGGCTCCAGAGCAGAGCTGCTCCAGCCCTCGCAGCATCTCCATGGCCTCCTCTGGCCTCACTCCACCAGCTCCACATCCTTATACTGGGGCTGGATCCAGGACTGGAGGTAAATGCTTCCCAGGAGGCCACAAGAGGCACTACAGGAGTACCTATGAGATGCAGAAGGACCCAGACACAGCCTCCTCGTGCCATCAATCCTCATTCTCCGGTGTTTTGTCCTAAATTGAGGTCAGGAAGAAATGTTCCTCCTACCTGGAATGCCAAGTGCGGGCCCCCGCAGGGTGCAGCGATCTCAGTCCGTCTTCCCATTCCGGAGTCACTGCAAACCTCTGCACTCATGGCAATATTCCTTTGCTGGAGCTCCCATCCTGCAGACCAGCACTGATCCTGCCCAGGGGCAGCAGCAATGGGATGCAGGATCATCAGGAGGGATTATCCGCCTTGTGTTAGGCAGGAGGAAAGCCTGGATGATCCCTTTGACCTTCAGATTGATCTCTCATTGCTCCCTTTGTCCAGCAAGGAAAACAGGAGAGAGGTGGGAGGCCCTGCTGTGGCATTCCAGCCCCTAGGATCACCATCAGGCTCTGTCTGGTTTGCAGAGGGATTCAGGGATTCAACTCCTGCTCCTGGACACCCATGGTACAAAGGTCTGGATTCCCCTGGACCTGATCTAGCTCCAAGCTCCCTGTTTCTCTATTCTTTCCCTGGAGCTTGGTGCCAGCCCAGCCCTGGCCCAAGAGAGGCAATTCCAGCTGCAGATCCCTTTCCTGCTTCCTGTGAGGAGCATGAACCACTGCTCCTTGCACTTTGCCTGGGAAAAAGGAGGAGAATCACCCCTCCTGGGTCTGCAGCCAAAGCAGAGGGGAAGGAGAGGAATGGAGCCTTTCAAATCCCTGCTGAGATGGGATCAGAGGGTGGGAATGCTGCACCAGCTGTAAAAAGCCTGCCTGGAGCACGGCTTTTCCTTGGAGCAAGGCTCTTTCTGCCCACAGGCACAAGCTGGGGCTCACTGTGTGTCCCTGAGGGATGCAGCACCCACCTGCAAGGAAGAGGTGGGAAAAGTGGCAGTGGACAGGGGGAAGCGTGCCAGGGGACACGGATGCAGCCACCAGCACTGCTGTCACCACCGGTGTCTTAAGGACATTCCCTACCTGGGCACTCATCCACCTGCATGGGCATGGCTCAGTGCCATGGGGGGGGATCTGTCCTCCACAGGGCAGCCTGGAATGTGGGGAAGATTCCAGCTTTTCCCTACATCAGGAGGATTTGCCTGGCTGGATGTGCTGGTGGGGAGGAAGAGGAGGAAACAGCCTCTATGTCAAGGGGAGACCACAGAGATGCATGGCTTATAAATCACAGCCCTTGCCAGGCGCGCGGTCGATTGCATTAGGCTATCTGGAGAAGGTTTAATATAAAAAGCCAATAATCCCTCTGATAAGAGGGCTGATAAGGGCCAGCGTGGCCTCAGCTCCCACCAGAGCTGCTCTGGATGGGGCAGGGAGCTGGAGCTCAGCATTCCCAGGGAAGCTGGGCTGGGAAAACAGGGAGGCTGGAAGGGGAGAAGCACCAGCGGCGTGGCGAGGAGCTAACAACAAGCTCTGTGCCTCATAGGACACCTCCCAGATGCCTGGAGAGGGCTTTCCATAGGGATGGGCTTTGTTAGGAGCTGGTGGGTGGATGGCAGCTGAGGTTGGATGAGGTTGGTGGGACTGCAAAGAGTCCGCAGCATCCAGCCCATCACTGAGAGGCCAAGGAGGAGCCATTGACACCTCCAATGGTCCTGCCATTTTGGCTTCCTTCCTCTTTAATGCCAGGTAACAGAGCCCTTATTCCCAGGATAAAAGCAGGATCTCAGAGCCTGCCTTGCCATTGAGATGACTCAGTCCAGAGCTTCAGAGAAGCAAGTGTCTGTCTTGCACCAGCGCTGTTACATGGGATAGAGCTGAACCATTTACAAAGGCTCTTCATGAAACAGCTTTATCTGGGGCCCCTTTGTTGGAGTGCTCCTTTTGGGAATGAATGGAAAGTTGCTCCAGGCTCATTGGGACATCCTTGGATGAACCCTTCCTGCTGGGGCCCATTGGACAGCCCATTGCTCCATTAGCAAGGCTGAATATAAAGCCCCTGTCGGAGGTAACCGGTGCCCAGGGGATCTGGGGAGCACGACATGGATGTCATGGGATGTGGGAACATGGGGATGCTCCAGCCCTGCACAGGCTCTTGCTTCCAACCGGACACGCTCATGGTGGAAAGCAAAGCTCAGCGTGGGGAAGCTCTGGCTAGGGGAGGCCAGCAAGCACATTGCAGCTCTCCATGGGTACCACAGCGCCTTGCAGTGATGCTAAAGGCACAGCATCTTCCTCCCCAGCAGGTCGATTCCCAACAGGATCCCATGGGAGAGGTGCAAGCAGCTCCTCCAGCCCCCATGTCCTGCTTGCCCTGTGCTGGGGACCCTTTCCAGCCTCCAACACCAAGCCCTTGGACCAGGGGGGGTTAGGGATGCTCCTCCATGCGTGGTTTGCTGTGCCCAGGCCGTGCTCAGGGAGGTTAAAATCCCCCTTCTTCACACACAGATGCATTGCCCTGCTGGAGACAGACATTAAAGAGTCATTTACAAGGCACAAGTGAGTTTGTGTTCCCCTGGATTGGGATTTGCCAAGATTATCACATAAATTAGAGCATTTCCTGGAAGAAAGGAAGGAGAGAAAAAGAAAAAACAACAACAACAAAAAAAGAGAAAATGGAACATTTTGTAGCCACCATAAAAGCCTATAAAGGAACATTTCATTTCCCGCTTGGAAGGGAGCAACTGTGAGTTATAAACTCATGGAATCATGGAATAGTTTGGGTCGGAAGAGACCTTAAAACTCATCCAATGCCATGGGCAGGGACCCCTTCCACTGGAGCAGCTTGCTCCAAGCCCCTGTGTCCAACCTGGCCTTGCACACTGCCAGGGATGGGGCAGCCACAGCTTCTCTGGGCACCCTGTGCCAGCGCCTCAGCACCCTCACTCTAATGTTGAGGCCAGGCCAGGCCACCAGCACCACAACTGGGGGTGCTTCTGAACCAGGAGAGGTGCTGAGCATCTCCCCATGCGCCAACCCACTTCCTGCCCATTATTCCCAGGCTGGTGTCCAAGGATCCAATCCTGCCTCAGCTCTGCCCCGGTTGTGTGCGTGGCTTGAAGGAGGCCACGAAGTCCTTCCAGCAATGACTCTGTGGCTAAATCCCCAGCTCCCTGCTCTCCATAGGGATGCGGTTGATCCCCCAGGACACCAAGCGCTCCTCAGGCAGCGGGTTTAGGGCAGAGTTTGGCCTCCAGAGCAGGACGTTCTCTGTTGGGAGACGCGAGGTTTGCTTGGGGCCGGTTGCAGATGGATTCCCAGCCGCCTCGGATGGTGTTTCCCGCATGGAACAGTTCAAGTCCTACGGTGTCACACCAGGATTTGAGGAACCGGAGCAGCGGCTCCATTAACACTGAAGCTTCCCCTTCCCTTTAACGATGCCGGGATGCAGGCACCGCGATTCTCTCCCCTGGTTGGCCCAACGGTACCGGTACCGGTAACCCCGCTCCATCCCAGCATCACCCGGCTGTGGGGCAGCCCCAAGGCCTTGGTGGAGGTGGGGAGGGCTCAGCGGGACAGAGCCCCGACCCCGGCGGCGAGGAAGGACCCGGGGAGCTGCGGGAGCGGAGGGGGGGGGAAAAAGGCCCCGTCCGGTTGCGCGGCCCCGGTGCCGGTGCCGCGACGGGGGCGGGGACCGACGGGGGCGGGAGCGGCCGTGGGCCCGCCCGGGCCGGGGAGGCGGCGGCGGCTGCAGGTGGTGCCGAGCAGCCGCAGGACGGAGCCGGAGCCGCAGCCGCCATTAGACAATAGGCGCCGGCGGCGGGAGCGGCGAGGGGCGAACGGCGCGGCCGGGGCGGCCGCGGGCCCGGCGCGGACAAAGGCGGCGGAGGGGAGGGGAGCGGAGCGGAGCGGAGCGGAGCTGAGCGGACACCGGGGCCAACGGGGCGGGGAGCGGGGAGCGGGACCGGGCCGCTCCGCAGCCTGACATGATGTTTCCACAAAGCCGGCACTCGGTACGGGGCCGGGCACCGGGGTGGGTTTAGTGGTGGTGGGGGGGGGGGAGCAACGGGAACCCCTCGGGGGTCGCCCCATAGCCCGGTAGCGATGGGGAGGCCCCATCGGTGACCTTGGGCGCGTTGCGGGCCTGAGCGCGGGGCGGGGATGTGGGGATGGATGGAGGGGATGGGGGGGGTCCGTCGGTGCGGCCCCCGGCGCTGAACGCCGTGTCCGGTCGTTGCAGGGCTCCTCTCACCTGCCGCAGCAGCTCAAGTTCACGACCTCCGACTCCTGCGACCGCATCAAGGACGAGTTCCAGCTCCTGCAGGCCCAGTACCACAGGTACGTGCCCTCCGCACCGCTCCGCTCTGCCCCGGTGTCTGCGGGATGCGGGAGCGGCGCCCGTAGCACGGGGTCAAGCGCATCCGCACCGGGAGAGCGAGCATCCTCCCCTCGGCATCCTCGGCCCAGGCTCTCCTCCCTGGCTGCCATTCCCGGTGCTGCGAGGGAGCGTTTGGATCCAAACGCTCTCCTGGGGGAAGTGGGGGGGGGAATGTGTGTGGGAATCCCGCTGCTGACCCGCAACCGGCTCTGCCGCGGTGTGTCATTCCAGCACTGAAACTGCTGGGAAATGGCTGTTTCCTGGTGTTCCCAGGGCCAGTGGAGGAGCCTAAGGAGCATTCCCGCTGGAAAGGGAAGGCTAGCCCACACACCCCCCTTCCCCGCTCCACCTTCCTGGACTTAATCCGCTCGGGAAGAAGCAGGTTTTGTGTAGGTGAAGCTGTTTCTTGTTGGAAACAGAAAACCCCGGCCTGAGCCTCATAAAACATTGGGAGCAGCAGCACTTTCCTGAAGGGTGTGAAGAAGGGGGGGGGGGGGGGGGGGGGAATCCTTTCTCGTGGATGGATCCCTCCCACCATTCCCAAACGGATCTGCCTTTGCTTTGGAAGTTGGACCGGAGCATCCCTTTGAGTGCTGCAGGCAAGCCCGTGCCAGAAGCTGTCCCCAGCTGCCAGTTGAGGAAAGGCAAACCCCTTCCTGGGCTGGCTTGTGCCCAGCTTTCTGCTTCTCACCACTGGATTTGCTTGGAATGGGGAGGGAGAGGATGGTGTCCGGCTGTGGATAACCTCGTGCTGCTTCTCCTGAGCTCATCTTAGTGGGGCTGTAGTGGGAGCATCGCGGGCACAGCCTGCCTCTGCCCACCCCATAGAGCAGCCAGGAAGCAGCTGCTCTGTGGCCATCAATGCCTCTCGCCTCCTGGCTCTGGGTTCCTGACTGTTTTCTGGCTTTTCCAGCTTGAAATTGGAATGTGACAAACTGGCCAGTGAGAAATCCGAGATGCAGCGTCACTACGTCATGGTGAGGACCGGCCCCGGTGCTATGGGTATGGGGGGGGGACACGACACACAGCGGGATGCGGGTGCCTGTGTCCACATGGGCACGGAGCCTTTGCCTGGTGGAGTTCCAGGTTGTGAGGTCTGACTTGGCTCCAAATGGGGCTTTCCCTGTGTTTTGTGGGGTTGAAGTGCAGGGAAGCACACAAGGAAGTTGACTGCTCCATGATGGTGCTGGGAGGGGGTCCTTGGCCTTAGTCCCTATGGGCTGGGGGAAGTGAGAGCACGCAAGCACCTGCAGAAGGAGCTGCAGGTCCGGGGGCTCCAGGTTCGTCGTGGCCTGTGTTTGATAAGGTGTGGTAAGGATTAGCCATGATCCAAGGATAAATCTGCCAGGAAAGGGCTGTATTCCTGCAGGCAGGTAACACCTCTGTGCTCCTGTGCATGGAAGAGCCCTTGTAGGAGAGGGAGGGATGCCAGGCTGCTCTGTTCCCATCAAGTAGCTCCCAGGAGGTGTGGTACCATCCATAGGGATGAGCTGGTGCCCACTTGCTGCTGGAAGGAAGAGATAAGGTGTAGAAAGATGCTCTTTGGAGCGGTGTTAGGACCGGCAAACCAGGAATGAGGGAGTTGGTCCTTCCATCCTCCTGCATGGCTGGACTCGGGCTATGGGGACCAAAGAGTGCTTGGGGCTGGAGATGAGGAGAAGAGGTCACGGCTTTCCTTGTGGATTAACAGGGAGGCGATCGCCCCTGGGCCTCGCATGGATGCTCAGCTCAGGTGGGGCTGAGCGCCGGTGGGGAGTCCCCAGCATGGGCTCGGGTACCAGCAGCAGCAGAAGGGAAGGGGCTGCAGCTCCGTGTGCAGTGCTGGCGGCTCTGCAGGTGCAGCAGCTCCTGCCTCATCCTGCGGGGCTGAGCCGGAGCCGCCGTTTCCCATCCCAGGGAATGACGGGAAGCGGAGAGGAGGGATCCTGCTCCAGCTGCTCTGCCTGGTGAAGAAGTCACAATTAGGGGGTCGGGCTCCTGCTTCCTGCTCAGTCTCCAGGATGATGCAAAGAGGCCTGGAGAGAGCCAGCAGTGGGGTGAGAGCAGGCTGGGATCAGGGAGATGCCGAACCAGGCGCTTCCAGGCTTGTGGCATCAGTACCAATCCAGCAGCATCCTTCTCCTCGAATGAAACGTGGGGTTTTCCTTCCCTTTGGAAGCACCAGGCTTGCAGCCTGCAGGCTAAGGGAGGAGACGTTGAAACACTCTCAAGCATCAGCCTTCAACCAGCTTCTTCCAGGGGTCAGGAATTAGCTTCTCCTGCCAAGAGATTGCTCTGGAGCCGCATGTTGCTGCTGTGCAGGGAGGGGGGTCTGGGTGGTGTGGTTTGGGGTGAGGGGGGTTCCATAGGGCTTCTTCCCAAGCATCCGGAGCTGTGTGCAGCTGGATGTGCTGCTTGTACTTGTGAAGCCCGGTTGTGATCCCTTCCGTTTGCTGCTGGAGCAGCCACGTGGGCTTTAGGATGTTGGCCAGGCAGAGCTCATGGAGTCCAGCTGCCTCTTTTGGCTGTGGATATGGAAGTCTGTGGAGCCCTGAGCCTTGCCCAGCCTTTGTAGCAGACCTTGCTTGGGGAAGCAGTAGCAGTTCCCAGCAGTGCTCTATGGAGCTGCTTTACCTGGTGGAGATTTAACAGTTTCTCTTGCTCTCTCCTGTTCTGCAGTACTATGAGATGTCCTACGGGCTCAATATTGAAATGCACAAACAGGTAGGGGTAGAGGTGTTTCCAAGTGCTTGAATTCCAAGGGGAAGGGGGGGGGAATTGGCTGCTCTGCTTTGCCCTCAGTCACTCCAGGGGTATCCAACTGGAGGAAGGGACCCCTTCCACTAGAGCAGCTTGCTCCAAGCCTCTGTGTCCAGCCTGGCCTTGGACACTGCCAGGGATGGGGCAGCCACAGCTTGTGGGGATGGGGAAGTTGGGGCAGGCGGTGCTGAGCATCTCCTGATGCTTTTCCTCTCTGCTCCTGCCACCTTCCAGGCTGAAATCGTCAAGAGGCTAAATGGGATCTGCGCTCAGGTCCTGCCCTACCTGTCCCAAGAGGTGAGTCCTGGGCCTTGGGTTTGGGATGGGAAACCACGTCCCTTGCTCTCAGCCCTGCATGGGGACGGATTCAAGGCCTGGAGGCTTTTGAGCAGCTCCAGGGCTGGGGCCAGGCTGTGGTTTTCCTGTGCTTGGGAAGGACGCAGTGGCTTGCGGATCCCATCAGAGCCGCCTGACAGCAAAGCCACAACGAAGCCTTTTGCATCTTAATGCAAACCCTTCCCCAGCCCTGTCCTGCTGCCAAATTGGGAAGCAAAAATCCACTTGTTGGGAAGCGGAACCCACTTGTTGGGGAGCAGAGCCCACTTGTTGGGGAGCAGAGCCCACTTGTTGGGGAGCAGAACCCACTTGTTGGGAAGCAGAACCCACTTGTTGGGGAGCAGAACCCACTTGTTGGGAAGCAGAACCCACTTGTTGGAGTGTGATGGACAGGCCTGGAGCTTGGAGACCGTGTGCTCCCAGATGAGCAAGGGCAGTTGCCCTTTAGATTGTGTGCTAGAGCTGCTTTTCCTGCCTGCACCCAGGATGTGTCCCAAGGAGTCGGGAGCTTCCCAAGAGCTGCTGGGTTTAGGGCTCACTGTTTGCTCTGCATCACCTTGTGTGTGTCAGACCTGGGTTCTCCTTCCCTGTTCCCACTGGAACTGCTCCCGAATCCCTCTGTTTTCTCCTCGCTTGCAGCATCAGCAGCAAGTCCTGGGAGCCATTGAACGGGCCAAGCAGGTCACAGCACCAGAACTGAACTCCATCATCCGTGTACGTGATGCATGTTTAGCTCGGGTTTGGAGGGATGGGAATCGGTGCCTTTGGCCTCTGGGACGGAGCTGGGCAGGGCAGGTGGGAGCTGGGAACGGGCTGCTCCACGTGCATGGATGAGGAAGGGATGCGCTGAGCCGGTGTTTTCCGATGTGGGCACCTCCATCCCAGCGGGATGCAAGGAGAGGAGCTTTGGGATTGCAAGCACCATCTGTTCCCGAGGGCTTTAACTGCATCCTTGGAGCACCGAGGCCAGATGTCCTGCGGGCTCGTGGCTGTGTCCTGCTGCTCCAAAGCCTCGGGAATCTCTTTTTTCCCCTTCTCCCTGGAGGCTCTGCTACCCGCCAGGCCCCTGAATGAGCTTCCAGCCTGGCTCAGCCTCCCTTTAGCATCCCCATCCCTGCCTCCGAGTGCGCTCCCAAATGACGATGCCCCTCTGCTGTCTCCCTGCCTTGCCCCTCGTTCCCTACAGCAGCAGCTTCAAGCCCATCAGCTCTCGCAGCTCCAAGCCCTCGCTCTGCCCCTGACCCCGCTGCCCGTGGGGCTGCAGCCGCCGGCGCTCCCGGCTGTCAGCGCTGGCACGGGGCTGCTCTCGCTCTCGGCCCTGGGCTCCCAAGCTCATCTCTCCAAGGAGGACAAGAACGGCCACGACGGGGACGCCCACCAAGACGACGATGGGGAGAAGTCGGATTAGAGCGACCTGGGGAAGGGGGGGCAGCCGGGGTTGGGGTGTTGGGGGGGGTTGGTTGTGGGGTGGTGGGGGGGGAGGCGGGTTAATGCAAGATGCAGTATCTCTCTCTAGTTGCTGTGCAGCAGAAGCTGGGGAAAGGGGAAGGGGGGGGGGTGTTGGTGGCAGCTTTTCCAGGCCTGTTCCCATTGGAAGCAGAGCCTGGGGGATGATGTCCCCCATCCCCATCCCTGCAGCCGGGCTGCTCCGCAAGCGCCGTAGCAGTGACCGTGTGGCCGATCGTGCTCTCCCCCTGCGCCCAGCCTGGCTTCCCTTATCCCTGTTCCCAAGCCGCAGCCTGGCTTGGGCTGCTCCGGGGCCACATCCCTGCTCCTCAGTGGCTCCCCTCTGCTCTCTCTCCTCCGTGGTATTTAAAGCTGCCCCTTGAGCTGCACAATTCCCTGCCCCGATCCCATCTCCTCCTTGCCCAAGCGCTCTTGATCTCGTCGCATCGCTCCCCCTCCACCCCATGCTCCTCCTGCACTAACTCCAGGCCGGCACCTTGCTGTTCTGCATGTTATCTGTTTTTAACCGTTCCCATGGGATTGCTCCTTGGCCTCGGGGCTGGTGATGGAGCCTCCACCACCCGCTTCCCTTTGGGAACAGCACCCAGCTTGGGGCGGGGGGGGGGCTCAGGGTGATGGGGGCAGGCAGAGCCAGAGCCCATCCTGGTCCTTCCTCCCCATCCCTGTGTAGAGGATGCAGTGGCTTTTCTCTGTTCTGGTCTCCGTGCGCTAACGTCTCTTCTAAACACCCCACCAATGGAACGAAACCAGAGGGAAGAATTAGCTGAGGTGAGGGCCTGGGGTTTGTATATAGTCCTTTAGGAAGATCTCGGTTTGCTTTTTGTGTTTCATCACCTGTAATAAGAGGAACCTGAAGATGCTGTATCGAGGACGTACAAGCTGTGCCTTTCAAATAAAGAAATAAGAAGGTTGGTTAAAGCTCTGCTTTCTTGTCACCTGTGGGGTGGCTTTGAGGGGTTTCCTGCTCCTCCGCATGGGAATGGCAGTGGGAGAGCAGGAACCCCGGAACTTGGCCTTGAAGTCGCCATAGGAGGGGGGTTAAGTTGGTACCTCTGGTTCTGGCTTCAGAGCAAGGCGCATCTCCATTGCCTGCATCCCGCTCTGGAATGCTACAGGCATCCTCATGGAGCTCTGTGCCCATGCTAGGGCTTTGGCTGGACTCTGACAGAGCCATGGCAAGGAGGAATCCCTGGGCATAGCCAGAACAAGCTGGAGAGCAAAGGGAAAGCGGGTGATGGCAAAAGGGACCTGGAGTTCTCCGGATGGAAAGTGAGGAAGGCTGGAGCAGGAGCACTGTGCTTTGGTAACTCATGGAATGGGCCCTATGGGCTGCCCAGCTCTGCTCCGCGGGTTCATTTTCCCTGTGGATGCTGAGGCCCCTCTGGAATATCTGACCCATGGTGCCCTGAGGCTGGGATTGCTGTGATGGAAATGGTTCTCCATCATTAGAGCCTGGTAACATCATCCCCGTGCATCTCCCAAGCCAGATGGGAGTGGGAAAAGATCTTTCACTTGGGAAGGAACCATTGCAGGGATCTCAGTGACACCAATGGGATCCTGGTGAGAGCCAGAAGGGGAGCAGTGGCCACCGTGCATGCATCAGGATAAGCCCCGAGGTTGGGATTTAATGGGATTTGCTGGGATTCGCTGAACCAGCTCAGGCCTGGGGCAGGCTCTGTCCCTGGGGTGATGCTGTGGGTCTATGGAGTGAGGTGCGCAAACACCTGCAACACCTTCCCTGGTGCAAAGTGAGCATGGAGGGAATGGTGGGAGGCTCAATCCAGGCCTGGCACAGCCCTGCTGTGGCTTTGGATGGGTTACAGAGGCTATGGACAACGCTCCCGTTATCCCGCCTCAACCACATGATCCAATCCGGATCCCATGGTCCTGCGGCTGCTCCGAGGGCCTCACTGGTGCTGGGTGAGCAGGTTCCCGATGGGAACCCTTTGGGCTGGGGCTGCTCCTGCCCCTGCTCTGGCTGTTTCCTATGGGAGAACTGGGAATAAGCGCTTGGTGCTGGTGGGTGATGTGGGTTCTCCAAAGCTGTTCTCTGGGTGCTTTCAGCCTGGTTCCTGCAGAGAAACTCTTGATCCTTGTGTGGGATACAGGACGGGAAGAGGGCTGGGAATCAGCTCTCCTGGCACCGGGAGCCTTGGAAACACACGGCAAAACCTTGGCTCATTGAATGGGGATGGAGAAGAAGCCAGTGACAGCGTCCCACCGGTTGTGGAGGGCAGGACCCCGGCCATCAGCATCCCACAGAGCAGCCCAGCGTTTAGCCTGCGTTTGACACCAATTCCTGCTTCCAGCTGCCCTGGGCTTGGCAAACCTCTGCTCATTCCCGTCTTTTCCACCTGTCTGAGGGGTCATCAACCTGCATCCGAGGGGAGCCGGTGCCGGCTCTTCCCTGAGTGAAGGAGGTTCCTATCCCATAGGACAGACCCCACCGCATCCCCCTCCCGCTCCCACCCTCCTCAGTTTTCAGCTTTCCTTGAGACAATGGCCGAGCCTGCGAGCCAGGAATGCTGCGGAGCGGGGGCCTCCTTCCCAATCCATCACTAATGCAGGAACGCCGAGCCCCTGCCGGCAGCCAGCGCCAGATAAAAGCTAAAAGAGGCATCAATAATTCAAGCCCACTCAGAGCTGGGAAGTGCAAACAGGAGCCAACACCCGGATCGAAGGCAGAGCCAGAGACCACCCCCTGCTCCAAGGGCTCCCGTGTCCCTTCTGTGGGTGCTGTCCCCCCCAGTGGTGATGGGGAGACCCAGGCTGGGACCTGGGTTCGGTCCCTGGACAGCTTTGGCTCGGCTCTTGCTGCCTCGCTGCCAATCCCTTCCCTGCCTTTCCTTTCCCAGCTCGTGTTCATTCCGGGCCAGGCTCCAGCCAGAAGAAGGCTCCTGTTTGTGCCAGCTGCTGGTGTAAATGCCCAGGGACATTGATGCTGGTGCCAGGAACTGAGCTCCAGCGAGTTCAAGGCTCCTCATTCAAGCTGGAAACAGGATGGGTTAGAAGCATCGCGGTCATCTCCTGGCCCCGCAGCACAGAGCTCAGGGCAGGAGGTGCGGTGTCCCAGTGCCCCAGGAAGCACCCGAGAGGTGGAATCCTCGGGGCTGATCCCTGTTTTCCTTGGCTCTGGGTTCAAACGGCGCTTCCGGGCATCCCGAAGCCTGGGCTTTGGGTTGGTTATCAGCAGCAGGGGCTGTTTCCAGCCCTCGCCTCTCGCTCCTGGCAGCGATTTCAAACACCCGCATCCTTTGGGGCACAAGGGAGCGGCGGAGCCCGGGGGCCGAGCATCCTGTATCCCGAGGGAGGAGCGGGACCCGCTCCCTTCGCTGCAGCCTGGGGCTGCAAGGGGTTAACCCTGGCTCCTTCCTCCTCAACCCCAGCGCATTCACCTCTGGGTTAGAGCCCGTCCCGCTCCAGGGCCCCCGTCAATCATTAACGGAGGGTGATGAAGACGTGTGCGGCTTCCATCATTCCGGGTTCACCTGGAGCTCGGGGCAGGGAACCACCATTGCAGCGTCTCCTTCCCTCGAAACACGAGCCGGAATGGCTCCAGCTTGGGAATAAACCCGCTTTCCTCATATAAAACCCAACCCGGTGCGGGGAAACCCACTTAAAACAGAGCTCTAGGGCGGGTAACACGGAGGTGATAGCGCTGGAGCTTGGGGATGCCACGCACAGGGAACGCAATGGGGATGGAGACGGTCCCGTTGCCCGCTTGGGACCGTGTGGGTCCGGTTGGACCCCGGAGCCTCCGCCGGGCTCCACCGCCCCACGTTACTTTGAGTGGCAGCCGCAAGGTCTTGTGGGCACCGTAGTTCACTCGCTCCGCCCCCCCCCCCCGGGCACCGGGGTCCCGGCCCCGCCGCTCCGGGCCCGCAGCAAGGAACCGGCTCCAGCCCCGAGGGCCCCGGCGGCACCGGGCAGCAGGACCCGGGGCAGAGGCGGCGGCCCCCGGAGCCACCGGCAGAGAACTACAACTCCCAGCGTGCCCCGCGGTGCCTCCGCTCGCTTCTCATTGGGCTTCCCTGGGTGAGGCGTCACGAGCCCATGTGGGAACGCCGCAGGGCGATTGGTTAGCGCTGCTGCAGAGGCAGCCAATGGCAGGAGCGGCCGTCGCTGATGAGGGCCGTGAAGATGATTAAGGTACCGGGGGGGACGACAGGGGGGGCGACCGGGGCCACGCCCACACACAGTGAAGCCCCGCCCACATCCGATGAGGTCCCGCCCACAACAGACGAGGCCCCTCCCACATCCCCGCAGGGCCGGTCCCGGTCCCGGTCCCGCTCCCACTCCCACTCCCAGTACCGGTCCCAGTCCCAGTACCTGTCCCAGTCCCGGTCCCAGTCATGGTCCCGGTCCCAGTGGCGGTCCCGGTCCCAGTACCGATCCCACTCACAGACCCAGTCCCCGTCCCAGTCATGGTCCCAGTCCCAGCACCGGTCCCGGTCCCAGTCCCGGTCCCAGTCCCTGTCCCAGTCCCGGTCCCAGTCATGGTCCCAGTCCCAGCACCGGTCCCAGTCCCAGTCATGGTCCCGGTCCCAGTGCCAGTCCCGGTCCCAGTACCGGTCCCACCCACAGACCCGGTCCCGGTCCCGGTCCCTGTCCCAGTCCCGGTCCCAGTCCCGGTCCCAGTCCCAGTCCCGGTCCCTGTCCCGGTGCTCCCCCCCGGTCCAAAGCCCTGGGTCCCCGGCTCGGTTGTGGTCCCCGTGCCCCCGCCGGCTGCCGGTGCCGCTCCCGGGGGATACGGATGCTCCCGCTCCGGCTCCGCTCCGGACAGGCGGGAGAGGTGGTGCCGGTGCGAGGAGGAAGGCGAACAGAGCCCGGTCGGTTCCGTTCGGTCACGGCTCCCGGGCTGCCCCCACCCGCCCGCGGTGTCCGGTATGGCCCGTGGAGCTCCGGGGACCGGGGCACTCGGGGTGTTCCCATAGGGATGGCTCCCGGTACATACCGGGAGCAGGAGGGAGCCTGGAGATGGTGGAGGCGCAGCTTCAATCCCGTCGAATTCCCGGTCCTGGGAAGCTGTGAGAGCATCAATGAGGAATTTCAGTCCCTGCAGGCTCAATGCAACGGGTGAGGGGCGGGGGGAGCGGAGCTGCGGGTGGAGGACCCCCATTTGGGTGGAAGCAAGGGATGGGGTGACCGGGGGACTTCCAGAGAATGGGGTGTTCGGGCAGGATGGGGCTCATGGGGCTCAGCACAGAGGGAGAACTGGGGCAGGAGAGCTTGGAGAAGGGGGCTCTGGTGTGAGGGAATGGGCAGAGGGGTGGTGTGAAGCTGGGAATTGGGGTGGCAGGTCCTGAGTGAGGGTCCCAAGGGGAAACCACCCCAGTTTGTGCTGTCCATTGAGCTGGGTGAAGGTTGACATGAGGGGGGGGGGACACACAGCAGGAATGGGGACCCAAAGCCGCACGGATTTGGGTCCCCCAAAGGTGACAACACCATGGTTTGGGCAAGAGACCTTAGAGCAGCTCCAGTGCCTAAAGGGGCTGCAGGAAACCTGGAGAGGGGCTTGGGACAAGGGCCTGTAGGGACAGGCCAAGGGGAATGGCTTGAACCTGCCCGAGGGGAGACTGAGATGAGCTCTTAGGCAGAAGCTCTTCCCTGGGAGGGTGCTGAGGCGCTGGCACCGGGTGCCCAGAGAAGCTGTGGCTGCCCCATCCCTGGCAGTGTTCAAGGGCAGGTTGGACACAGGGGCTTGGAGCAAGCTGCTCCAGTGGAAGGGGTCCCTGCCCGTGGCAGGGGTTGGAGCTGGAGGAGCTTTAAGGTCCCTTCCAACCCAAACCCATTCTATGGTGTTAAGCAGCTCCCTGGGGCGCCAGAAGCAGGAGTGAGCCTGGAGGAAACAGCAGGAGCCGGAGCCCAGAGGCAAAGGAATTGTCTTTCTCTTTTCTTTCTCCTTAATCCCCTTTCCCTCTCCCGGAGCCCGGGGGGGGGGTTTCACCCTTTTCCTGCTTCCCCTTTTGTTCCAGCGTTAATTTGCTTTCCCTCTCCAGAGTTATCAATCCCGTCATCGCGGGCTCGCTGCCAGGGAAATTAGTTTGGAGCAGTGCCTGACAAAGTGCCAAGTCAACTGCCATGTTCCTCCAGCTGGCTCAGCCCCTCCGAGCTTGCTCCTTTTGTTAACGGCGAGAGAGGCCCCGGAGCCCCGACAGCTCTTTCCTGCCATCCCTACGCGCTCCCGGCTCCGCTGGGGCTGGGACCCGGCGCTGGGCTTGGGATCCAGGGCTGGCACCGCACCCAGGACTGGGATCCAGGGATATCCCAAGCCGTGCGGAGCCAGGACTCTGCCCACGAGGTGAGAAGTGCTTGAGGAGGTGATGAGGTTGAGGTGACGGCCAAGGGCTTGGAGGAGCTCATCCCATGTCCAGCTCCCGGCTCTGCGTGGGTGCAGGTCCCCTGTGTGTGTCCTTGAGTGCTGTTGCCCCCGTACACAAAGCAGAGGGATGAGATCGGGATTCCCTGCTTTGGGAGCTCAGGGAGATGCCGGGAGGGGGGGACTGAATCCATTCGCATCCCCCTTGGCTCTGGGTTGGATGTGCAGGAGGGAGCAAGCGGTGCTGGTGGCCCGTGGCCAGCGCTGGTGGCTCCGCTCCCTCCCTGCCAGCCCACAAAGCCAACATGGGATGGGGCAGCACTGACAGCTCCCAGACCTCGGCTTGGCCGGGATCCACCGAGGGAGTCAGGAGTCGGGATCCCTCCCATGCGCTGGGGATGGGGGAGCCGAAAGCCTGGGAGGGGGGGTGCTTGGGCATGGACCTCCCTTGGCAGCAGCTTGGGAAATCCCAGCAGGATGCACAGGGATTTACACTGAGGTGGGAGCTCTGGGCTCCTCCATAGAGGTGCTGGGAATTGGATGGAGGGGATGGGATGGGCTTGGAGCCATTCCCATCCCTCCATGGTGCTATCGGCTTCCTCTTGCAGGCAGGGATTGCCAAGAGGCCGAGCGCCATCTGCACCCAGGTGGCTCCTGCCCCTCTGGGGACACTGGACACAAAAGGGGACGTGGATGGGGACAACCGAGGTAAGGGGGAGAAGATGCAGGGCAGACATCCCGGAGGTGCACGGGGGGGGAGGGAATCCTGCTGCCTACTGTCCCTGTTTCCTGGTGCTCCTCCATGTCCCCAGCATGGGAACGACACTGGGAATGGCATTCCCAGATCCAGCTCATTAGATCTCTGCACCCCGGTCCCCCTCTCGCCAAGGTTTACACCAAGCAGAGATCAGATGCCTGAAGCCAAGGGAAGATGCTGCTTCGAGCCCCTGTGGGACCCCTAAAGGGAATTGAGGACGCAGAGCCCGGCGGTGCCTCGTCATTCCTCATCCCTCATCCTGACGGGTGCCGCCTCCTCTCAGGATCACCGAGTGCTTTACAAACAGCATCAATATTTAACCATCATTAAAGCAGCGCTCAGGATGCTCCTGGGTTGAGTTAACTCCACAGCCCAGCCTGGCTGCTGGCTCCATGGACCGGGAATGGGCAGGGATGCAGCAGCCGCAGTGATGCTCCTATGCAGGCTCCTCCAGGGACTGTTCTGGCTGCTCCTGGTGTGCTTCCAGCAGCAAATCCCCTGGGCACAGCCCGAAGCTGCCCCCTTGGCAGGGCTGGAGGGTGGAAAGCCCCCCAGAATAAGGTGGGTTAATCCCTGGTGCTGTGGCTACAGTCACATCCACGGTGTGGAGCAGGGATGCGGTGCTGAGCGCAAGGTACCACATCCCTCTCCATCCCCTTTCCCAGGGGAAAAGAGGCTGGGACCAGTTTGCTCTCTCCCAATGTTGATGTGATCCATAGGAGGCAAAACCATCCCCAAGTGCCCAGGTTTGCAGCAAACTCCTGGCCCATCTTCCCGGAGCTCCCAGAGGGGGATCCCTGCTGTTGTCCATGTGAAAAGCCTCGGAGGGTTTCCAAGCAGGGCTTTGGAGGTGGCTTCCTAAGGAATAGGGCAGGTGTTATTCGGGATGTCTCGGATGGGTGGATAGCTCATTCCTTCCACCGCTACGTCCAGGGAAGAGATTCCAAAGCACAGTGGATAGAGGTTCCTCCAAGGAGGACCCATGTGCTCATCCCCCCTTAGACAGCAGAGAATCCACACTGCCCATGGACAACGGGATGTGATTTCCAGCCCCTTCTCCTTGGTCCAGCCTTGGACCATGAGGCTCTGGGCAGGAGCATCCTCCTGGACCATGCGCCAGGAGCGGATTGATGCCAGCCGAGGCTGATCCCGGCTCGCAGCGCTCCGGGTGGAAGGCGGTGCCAGCCAGGGCTCAGCTTTGCCAGCCGCAGGCTTGGCTCTGCCTCACAATCCCTTTTCAGCCCCTTCTCCCATATGGAGAGGTTGATAAACTGGGATGAGAGCCCCAGGGAGCTGGGCTGGCAGCTTGTGCACATGGAGGTGGCAGGAACAGGCAGGGATGCTGAGCTGCCTTTGCAGGAGAGCTCACAGGGTATCCCATACAGTCTCATACAGTGCCTGGTCTTAGAGCAGCCTTAATATGAGCACACTGAGCTCCTGCCTGTATTCCAGCATGGAATTCCAGGCATTCCCAGTACAACCACCGCAGCAGATCCCAGCCCCAGCTATTCTTGGGTTTGGGGACATCTCTTTTCCTCCCCTGGAATCACTGCATGTGATTGGGATTTGATTCCTTTTTTGTCCTTTGCCACTTCCCAAGGAAATCCAAGCGCTGGAAGGAACACCAGGACTTGTGCATAACAACCCCTCTAAAACTGCTCCTTGGTGTAATGATGGTGATAAAGATCCCAGCCCTAATGGAGTGTGTGATTCCTGGTGGGTGGCCGTGCCTCTGGAATGCTGGTGAGGGGCTGCCAAGAGGCCCTTCCTCAGCTCCCTGCCTGTGCTGGAGCTGGAATTCCTGCCCTTGTGCAGAGGGAATGGGCTTCCTGCTCCCCAGAGACCTCTTCTTCCCCCAGGATCCCCCCTTGGAACCCAGCAGCTGGGAGATGCCTGGGAATCCTGTATCCATCCTCTCCAATCAGAGCATGATGCCCGTCAAGGATAAGGACCAGAGGCTGGTAGGCACCACGGGTGGGCAGCAGGGCTGGGAATGTGGCCCTGGATTCCTTTGTGGTCCATCCATCCCAAAGGAGAGCAAGGAGATGCCTGCACTGGGTGTTTGGTACCCAGCTCCATGCCCTCGGTGGGATGTGAATCATCTGCCAGGCAGCAGCCGGGCTCTGCAGGTATTTTCCGTGCAGCTGCCTGCAGAATTCCCTGGGGATGCTCAGAGAATTGATTTTCCTTTATTTCTTTCTTTTATTCCTTTTCTCCTGTCTAAGCACCAGCCCAAAGCTCAGATTGAAACATCATCCTGGAGCAATGCATCCCTGCCCCTTGAAGCCCATAGAACTGGAATGCAGGAGCCATTGTGGCGGGGGGAACAGAAGCTCCCATCACATCCCATCATGGAACAGGGGTCCCCAACCAGTGCTGCCCCATGTGGCAATTGGCTGGGAAGGGGAGTTGGGGGTCCAGGAGCAGCAGTGATGGAATAGCTTTTCCTGCCATGGCAGAGCCTCTGCAGCCCTGGCTCCATCCCCTCCTGGCTCCATCCCCTCCTGGCTCCATCCCGTGGCCACGCAGCACCAAGGGAGCTGCTCAGGACCAGGCAGAGCTCTGCTTTTGCTTGCTTTTATTATTAAATACAGCCCAGGAGGCCCACCCAAGGGTGCTGAGGATGGAGCCCATGGCCCCAGCGCCTCCCCCAACCAACCCCCACCAAAATAACCTCCCAAAAGTGAAAAAATAAACTAAAAAAAAAACCCCAAATAAACCCCCAAAATCCTTAAACACCCCCACCCCCACCCCCCAGGTCCCCCCATCCAACAAACAGAGCCCAAACCAAGGAGCAAGTCCCCATTGCCATCACCCAGCCCTGTGTGACATCGGCCCGGGGCCACCTCCAGCCCTGGCCACGCTCCTCTGCCTCGGCTGGCCCGGATCTGCTTTGGGAAGGCAGGAGCAGGGTGGGCAGAGCCCCCCCCCCCCATCCATCCATCCATCCATCCATGGGGTGTCCGTGTGTCTGTCTGCCACCTCCTGCTCTCAGTAGATGACCTCGTAGACCGTGGCCTTCTTGTCCCCGGAGCCGGTGACGATGAACTGGTCATCGGTGGAGACGTCGCAGCTGAGGACGGATGAGGTTTCCTTGGACTGAGAGAAGGGAGAAGGGAAGGAGAAGAGGAAACACAGAGCAAGGACCTGCCCCCATCCTGGGGAACCCCATAGGGACCACGCTGGTCACTGGGTGCCCCATCCCTGGCAGTGCTCAGGGCCAGGTTGGAGATGCTCCAGTGGAAGGGGTCCCTGCCCCGTGGCATTGGATGAGCTTTAAGGTCCCTTCCAAGCCAAACCATTCCATGATTCTCTGACTGCTAATACATTGCTATATACATCCCTATAGCTCTCTCTCTCTATTACTATGTACATTTAGATGCACTGAGCAACCTTCCTGTACCTGGAAGATGCTGGCTCCATAGGGCGTCCTCCAGGCGTTGAGCAGGTTGTCCTTCCCCGTGCTCACGAACCACTTCCCTATGGGAGGCACCGAAGGGATCCAGAGGATCATCCCAGCATCACTGCCACAGGGGTTGCTCCAGAGCACCCCTTCTCCCAAGCAATACTGGCATCCACATACGGAACCAGCGCTTGCTCCCCAGCAAGATGCATCCGGGAGAGGAGACCCATCCCAAGGTCCCAAATCCAGGTCCGGGGGATCCATGCCTACCACAGGAGGCGAATTTGAGGGAGAGGACGCAGCTCTCGTGCAGGTGCAGTTGGTACTTGTCCGGTTTGGTGACGTGCAGGATCTCCACGTTGCTGCTCTCCATCCCCACCGCCAACCACTCCCCCGTGGGGCAATAACCCAAGGAGAAGATCTGGGGTGAGAAAGCAGGGTTGAGGCAAGTCCCGTTTGTCCCCATGGGGCTCCTGGTTCAGCCCCATTGCTTTACCTGGGAGCTGAAGTCGTGCTGCTGGAGCTGACGGCCCTCGCGCAGGTCCCAGCACCGCACCGTGTTATCCAGCCCCCCCGTCCACAGCTTGGTGCCGTCGTTGGAGATGTCGATGCAGCTGGCTCCATCCGTATGGCCTTGAAACTGCCTGGGAAAGGGGGGGGGGTGGGAAACAGGACAGGGAGCAGGCAAGGACACGGCTGCCAACAGTGCTTAGCGTGTGCCCTGTGCCCCCCCCTCCCCGCAGCACCGCACTCACCGGACCAGGGTCTGGTTCTGCAGGTCCCACACCACGATGTTGCCGTCGCTGCAGCAGGAGAAGCAGACCTTGGCGTCGGGGCTGATGGCCAGGGCGTAGCAAGCAGGGGCAGAGGAGGTGAGCTCGGCTTTGATGCGGGGTGTGGGGGCCGCCAGGTCCCAGATGGAGAGGGTGCTGGCTTCCCCCCCCACGATCAGGCTGCGGCCGTCGGGTAGCAGCTTGCAGGAGCGGATGTAGTTGTCGCGGTTCTGGGGTGCAAGAGGCAGGATCCTGTTATCCCCCTTTCCCTTCCAGCCCTTCTGCACCCATCCCAGATGTCAGAACCGGGTGATCTTAAGGCCCTTTCCAACCCAAATTGTTCCAGGTCCTTAGGGACCATCACCCGCAGCATCCCCAAGAGATGCGGCTGCTGCAGCTCCGATGGCTCCGAGCACTAAACCATCATTTCCCCCCGTTCCTGAACTTCGGATGCAGCTGGAAATGATCATGACTCAGTCACTTCCTTGTTTATGCATCGGGATCTTCAAGGTCAGCGCCATCCAGGAATAACATTTGTCAGGCTGCCCAAGGCCAGCAAGTGGAGGGGAGGGTTTGGGTTTGGGCCCTTCACAACGGGCACAGGGATTCCCAATCCCATTGAAAACAAACCTCAAAGAACCCCGGTTAAAAAGAATCCCTGCTGATGGCTGTGCCGGGATTGGCAGCGGCATTCCCAACCTGAGGAAACCTCAGGATGCTGCCGGGAGCTCTTGAGACAGCAACTGAGGGGACCTCAAGGGCCAGGGCAACAGTGGCCAAGTGCCCACACCTACTAAAGAACCCTCCTAGAACAAGAGGAAACAGCCTCGGGTTGCATCAGGAAAGGTTTAAATGGGATCTTAGGGCAGATTTCCTCAGCCAAAGGGTTGGGAAGCACTGGGAGAGGCTGCGCAGGGCAGTGGTGGAGTCAGCATCCCTGGAGGGACTGGGGCCATGGTTTAGTGGTGGGTGGCATTTAGGGACATGGTTTACCCGTGTCCCCACTGTGCTGGCTCAGTGCTTGGACTCGATGAGCTTAAAGGCCTTTTTCCAACCTAAACCATCCTATGATTTATTCCTACACGGAATCTGAGCTCTCTCCATCCAGCCAGACCCACGCAGGCAGAAGCAGAACAGAGCTGAACCCAAGGGATGCCCCAGCCTGTAGGAACCAACTACAGGGAGGACTGGCACTGTGAGATGAAGCAGTGCCAAGCACTGGTGATGGAGAAGCATCCCCCAAAAAAGTTTGGGATGCTCGGAACAGCCTGGTCAGCTCAGCACCAGCAGCACGGAGCCATCAGCTTTCCCCAGCATCCACAAGCACTCTGTTTAGAAACAGGCTCCCAAATGATGCTCCAAATCACCCATGCCGAGGTCCCCATCCTCAGTGCAGGGAACCCAACCGGGGTGGCACAGCCTTACCAAGCAGTCGAGCTGAGCCACGGCCGTCTTGGTGCCCGGCTGCCCCACGTCCCACACCTTGACGCAGCCCTTGCCGCCGGTGTAGACGTGCCTGGTGGAGTTGCTGATGGTGACGGCACAAACCACTTCCCCGTGGCTCAGGGCATGGAGCTGCCGCGCGTGCCGGGGGATGCCGGAGCCGAGCAGGGCATCCGGGGGGAACGGCACCGGCTGCATCTGCCCGTCAGCGCTGACGTGGAAGGAATAAGCGCTGGAAAGGGAGAGGGAGGGTGAGAAGTAGCCCAGGAACATGCATGGAGCAGCCAGGGCCACGTCGGGCACGGGCAGCGTGGTTTGGAGGGGGAGCTGGGAGCAGCCTGGTTGGGCACAGGGCAGGAGGGTCCTGCTCCAGAACAGCTCCAACGGGAGCATCTATGGAGATGCTGCGAGGGCTGGAGCAGGTCTGCTCTGGAGCCAGGCTGAGAGAGCTGGGCTGGAGCAGCCTGGACAAGAGAAGGCTCCTGAAGGGGAGACCTGAGAGCAGCTCCAGTGCCTAAAGGGGCTGCAGGAAACCTGGAGAGGGGCGTGGGACAAGGGATGTAGGGACAGGCCAAGGGGAATGGCTTGAACCTGCCAGAGGGGAGACTGAGATGAGCTCTTAGGCAGAAGCTCTTCCCTGGGAGGGTGCTGAGGCGCTGGCACAGGGTGCCCAGGGAAGCTGTGGCTGCCCCATCCCTGGCAGTGTTCAAGGGCAGGTTGGACACAGGGCTTGGAGCAAGCTGCTCCAGTGGAAGGGGTCCCTGCCCGTGGAAGGGGTTGGAGCTGGAGGAGCTTTAAGGTCCCTTCCACCCCATCCCATCCCATGCTCCCCGCCAGCCCTGGGCACCCCATCCCCTGCCGCAACCCCAGCCCCACTCACGGTTTCCCTGACGTCCCCACTTGCATTCCAGCCGCCAGCCCTGGGACGCGCATGTGGGGATGGGGATCGTATCCCACCTGGAGGGGACGGCGGGTGAGAGCAGCTCACACCCCACAGCCCCCCGCCCACAGCCCCATGGCGAAGGGGCTCACGTACCAGGGGTGAGCGCCCGTAGCTGCTGGCAGTTGCAGCCCCATTGAGCTGTGGGGACATGAGGTGGAGGCTGGCGTAGGGTCCGGTCCCGGCCATGTCCCCGTTAACGGCTGCATGGGCCATGCCGAAGGCGGCTGAGTAGGGGCTCTGCACCCCCAGAGGGTTCCTCAGGCTCAGGGCTGTGGGGGGAGATGCAGGATGAAGGGAAGAGGTTGGAGCTTGGAGCCACCCACCTGGGTCCCTGGCCCGGCCATGCTCACCCAATGGGTCCACGGGGGTCTTGGCGGTGGTTGTGGGGCGAAACTGCTGGGTACCACTGGAGCCCGGGGCTGTGGCATCCCCTTGGGATGTGGGGGTGCTGGACTTGAGGCTGGGTGTCCCTGCCTTGTCCCCCTGCAAACAGAGGGGGAGGATGTGATGATCGCACTACAGCCCTGATGGGGGTCTCCATGGGTCCCTCCATCCTTGTTCCAGCACCATAGGGTCACCTCGATGGCACATGGGATGTAACAGAGCAGGACCCCCAGCGCTGCCTTCACCCCATGAGTCTGGAGGTGCAGCCCTGCGCAGCTGAGCCCAAGCAGCAAGATCACAAGGACACCCCCCAAGTGAACACGTACCGTGGGCACATCCTTGCTCCGGGTTGGGGATGTGCTGCTGGAGGAGGCCATGGAAGTGGGGCTGAGCGGTGGGGCCTCTTTCCTCCCCACAGGGACCTTCTCCACCCCGTTCTCCCGGGAGGAGTAGGAGTGGACGCTGTGTGGGGAAGAGGGGTCCTGTAGGGAAAGGGGGGGTCAGCAGGACAGGTTGGGATACCCATAGGCACGAGGGAGCCTGGGGTTCATCACTGCCATCAGCGTGAGTGGGGGGCCCAATGCTGCCCACCTCCACCTTTAGGAGCCCATTAGCCCCCAGCCAGGGGAGAAGGACCGGCAGCACATCCCAGTGCCAGCCCCATCCCAGCGCCAGCCCCATCCCAGCACTGACCTCATCCACCACCAAGTTGTCTTCGCTCTTGTCTGCGTCGCTGCCCTGCAACACAGGGGCCGATTGGAGCCAAAGGGATGCCCCAGCTCCCGCTTGGGATGCGCCAGGGGCACGGGTGGCTCTGCACACACATCCATGGGGACAAGGACACCCCATTTCCCACCCACCCCCCCCCTCCCAGCCCTAGGCTCACGTAGTCTGTCCCGAAGTCCTTCTCCTCCACTTTCCTCTTCTTGCTGCTGTTCAGGTACTCAGAGATGGTTCGTGCCCGCTCCCCATTGGGCAGCACCAGGGAGCTCTGGGATGGGGACACACACACACACAGGGTTAGGGGACATGAGCTGGCTCCCAGGGCATGCAGAGCCCCCCAGCAGTGCCCCCCAGCTTGGGGCTTCACTGCTGCCAATGGAGCAAGGAGGGGACACAGCGTGGGTTGCCCCTGGGACACGGGGAAGGGGTCCTTGGCAACAGGGACTTGGATGGGGAGCGGGACCCGTCCCCCCCATGGCCACCAGCTCCCAGCATCCCGGACGGAGGAGGATGGTGCGAGAGAAGGAAAAGGCACTTACGGGGCCGGGGTCTCGCTCTGTCGCCGTGGCACAGCAGGAGGATGAAGAGGAGGGAGGAAGGAAGGAGGGACACACTGTGCCACTGCCAGGAGCCCCCCAGAAAGCTCCTCCTGGGGTGCTCATGGGCCCCAAGCAGGGATGACCCCCCCCCACCTCCACACAGGAGGGACATTCACCCCAAACCCTTCATGGCCACCAAGCCCCTGACTCCACCAGCCCATTCAAGAGCCCCATGGCACGGACAAGCCCTGGTGCCACCCCAGGGCCCAGCACCACCCATTCCCAAGGGGGTCACACCAGACCCGACCCCCCCAAAGGTCTCAGCACCCCCAAACTCACCCCTGGGCTCGGGCTCATGGGCTCCTCGGTCATCTTTGGCCAGGAGCTGGGCCTGGGCCCCCAGTGCCCCCGAGAGCGCCAGCAGCCCCGAGGCGGTGCTGATGCCGGCGAGGCCGGTGGGCTGCATCCCGGAGGGATGGGGGGTCAGAGGGATGGGGGGAGCGTGGTGCGAGAGGTGCTGGGTCTGCAGCTGGTGCTGGGGAGGAGAGGAGAGGGAGAGAGCAGAGCCAAAGGAACACATCAGGATGGAGGTCGGGCTCCCAGCATCCTTCCTGCTGCTACCTCCCAGCTGCGACAGGAGCTACTGGGTTGCATGGGGGAACCCTACCTGTACCCATATGGATAGGGGACCCTACCCCTACCCATGCACTGTGATTTGGAGGGGATAACTGAGGTATGGGGATGGTGGTGACAGCCTCCCAACCCAGGCCACAGTGACACACACCGTGTCACCCAAGTGCCCTGCTCTGACACCGCTGCAGCAGCATCTTGGGACAGGCCAAGGGGAATGGCTTGAACCTGCCAGAGGGGAGACTAAGATGAGCTCTTAGGCAGAAGCTCTTCCCTGTGAGGGTGCTGAGGCGCTGGCACAGGGTGCCCAGAGAAGCTGTGGCTGCCCCATCCCTGGCAGTGTTCAAGGGCAGGTTGGACACAGGGGCTTGGAGCAAGGTGCTCCAGTGGAAGGGGTCCCCATCCTCCCCTGCCAGAGCCACAGAAGGAGGCAGCACGAGGGCTACCGGGGTGTGTGTCCCTATGGGGGAGCACGGGAAGCAGCGGTGCCTGCGGGATGGGGTGGGCAGAGGGTTGACATACCCCGAGCGCCGCGTTCAGGTCGGTCATAGTCACCTGCTTCGCTCGCTCCACGGCCTGGACGACCTGCTGCTGGTGCTGCGGGGAGAGGAGAGTGTGGCACTGGGTGATGCCGCAGCCCCCAGCGGGGATTCCTCATGGAATGGGGCAAAACCAGGGCTCCCAGCCCGGCTCAATGCGCAGGGCTCGAGTCCCCGAAGGGGGGGACGGACAGGGCACATGCTCCCTGTGCCCCAGTGGAGCTCTCCACATGCCCAGCTGGGGGCTGAGGGTCACCCACCTCCTGAGACAGGAACGGGATGAGCTGGGCACAGATCACGTTGAGTCGCTTCGCGATCTCCGTCTGGCGGGAGAAGAGATGCAGTGAGAGATGCAGCCAGAGCTGCAGTGAGAGATGCAGCGACAGATGCAGTGAAAGATGCAGCGACAGATGCAGTGAAAGATGCAGCCAGAGGTGCAGTGAGAGATGCAGCACCCATCAGGTTGAGGGCAGAGCTACCCCGCACTGCAGGACACCCCCTCCCATCCCCACCTCAGCAGCCACCGTGTTTTACATGTTAATAAACCGCTCTAACACGACCTAAGGCGCTGGTGCTCATTCCCCTCACCGAGGAGCCGAAACCCCCTGGGGGCCCAAGGAAAGCTGCCCTTCCTGATGCCACCCCTCCAGCATCCTCCATCCCCACCCTGAGAGCTTCAGCCTCCTCCTTGCCAAGGCCCACGGAGCCCCATGGCACCGACCCAGGCGAGCCCCCCCCCGGGGTCTCACCTCCGCCCTCCCACCGGCACCAGGCCCGGTAATTGCTGCCCTCCCGGCCGGCAGGAAGCCTGGAGAGATGCTCTCCATAGAGCTGCTGATTCCTGCAGCACTCGAGTGCCACCGGCAATCAGGAGCACACGGCGAGCAGAGGGGAGGGAGAGCGGCAGCCTTCCATGCTGTGCCGTGCTCCCACTGCACTCCACAGCCCGGCACAGGGGACAGCACAGGTTTTACATCACCCCCGGGCCCCACAGGCACAGCACTGGGGCTGTGGGGTGCCCGTGGGGGTCTTCAACTCTGCCAGAGAGGGGCAGAGACCTGGAGCCCTCCCCAAACGCAGGCATCAATCCCCGCATCATCCCTGTGCACAGGACGGAACCGATACGGAGCCAGCCCTGGAGGAGACGAGCGGGTAGAGCCTGAACCCTGTTGTCAGCCCCAGGAGGAGACCAGAGGCTGGGAAACCCAACAGTTGACCCTGCATCTTCCCACCAGGACCTCGGGCACGGCTCCAGTGCCGGGCTTGGCACCGCAGGAGCATGGTCAGGATGAGGACACAGACCCCGGTACCCCCATCCAGAGCGGCCACCGACCTGCATTTCCCAGACCCACACTGAGCAGCAACAATCCCACACCCGCCCTCGCTTCCCCTTCCCAGGGAGGGAAAACAGAGAGAAAAGAAAGAAAGGGAAGGGGAGGGAAAGGCGGAGGGTTGGGGGGGAAGGAGATTTGGCAGCCGGCAGTTCTGGGAAGGATTTAGCTGTCTCCCGGGGCCGGCAGTGATGGATTCTCTTCCCTAATGCACTGATGGGCAGCAGCTCCTTGGGGAGAGCTGCCTCCAATTCACTCGCACTCGTTAATGTGCAATTTACTGGCACTTTAACGCTCTCAGCATGAAAAACGATCGCGCTGTTTGCGGCACCCCCCCAGCGCCGCCACCTCCCCTCCGCCTCGGGGCGAACGAGCCCAAGGCCGGGCGCATCGGAGAGGTGGTTTTATGAAGAGCTCCGAGCCCTTTCCCCCGTGCCAAACCCAGAGCCACCACCATCAAAACGCCAACAGCTCCTGCTCGCTCCCTGCCTGCCGCTGCCCCACCGCAGCCAGCCCCAGCCCCACACGGCGGGGGCTCCCCGGGCTAAGCGCTGCATCGCCCGCAGCACCGGGGATGCTGTGAGAGGACCACGGCACCCCCCTGCCTTCACCAAGGGTGCTCAGGACCCCTGCCCGTGCCCATATGGGTGGGCAGCGCTGGATGTGGGGCAAAGGGAGGAAAAGCAGCGACCCGACCTTGCCATCGCGGTGATGGGGGGGACCGGCGGCTCCCGCACCGGCAGCTCCCGGTTTTCCCTCAATGGCCGCTGGCTGCTGGAGCAGACTTAGGGGCCCTTGTGAAAGGGCAGCACTTGGGACCCGCACACACCCCCGCACCCTTCCATGGCAGAATCAATCCCGGTAGGCGGATGAGGGGAGCAGGGAGGCCTCCGGGAAGGGGGCACTGGGATGAGGCCCCTCACAAGGGCAACTTCACACCTCCTCCTCATCCTCTATCATCATCCTCAGCCAGCTTGGCTGACGGGACCAGCCATCAGCCTGGGATGGGGGGACAGGGACCAGCATCCCAGTGCCGTGCTCCCGCGCAACAGTTGGCGGCGGGCACAGGGTGGGATGGGAAGGATGGGATGGATGGATGGATGGATGGATGGATGGATGGATGGATGGATGGGAGGGAAGGAAGGAAGGAAGGAAGGGAGGGATGGAAGGAGGCCACGGCTGCAGCGCGCCTCGCCCGGCTCCTCCGCAGCCTCTTTAAAAATAGATGAGAAGAAACCTTCTGTCTCCGAGCAGCTGGTGACCCGGAGCGCAGCGCAGCGGGAGGAAGGGAGGGAGGAAAGAGGGATGGATGGGGAGGCAGCAAGGGGGGGGGGGGGGATGTGCAGCCCCGAGCCTCCTCCTTCCCACCTCGGGGTGTTCCTCAGCACCCTGCATCCCTCACCGGGGTCCCCAAGTGGCTGCTCACGAGGTGATGCGCAAGCGCAAGTCCTGCACCACAACAAGTGCATGGGGAGACCCAGCCAGGGCCATGCAGCCTGGACCCAGTGAGGAGAGAGCTAAGGAGACAGGCCAAGGACATGATGACATGATGTAGAGCTTCTGAAGCACGGAAGAGAGATCCAGCCTTCCCTGGGTTACACCAGGGAGAAACTTCCCATGGGAAGGGATGACCCCGAAGGGCCCAGAGAGCAAGATGAGGACAGGGATGACAAAGCCGGGATGACAGAGCCAGGACGATGCTCCCATCCCACCCAGCCTCACCTGCTTGTGCATCTCGATGTTGAGGCCGTAGGACATCTCATAGTACTGCAAGAGAGAAAAGGCAGCGTCAGCATTGGATGGAGAGCCCAGGGGAATCACAGCCACAAAACCCTCTTCAGCGCTGGCACAAAGGCTCAGCCTGGCCATGGATGGCTGTGCTGGGGCCAGGCCAGGAGGAGAACATGGTCCCCAGGTCCCTCCAGCACATGGCTGCGGAATGGACACGATCCTCCCCTTCATTGCCCATGGGAAAGGAAACAACCAGCACGGGAACTGATCCACCACCACCACCATCCGCTTGCTTTGGGGGAAGAAGAACACCCAGCAAGAGCCGCAGGAACCGCAGCTCCAGGCCTGGCCACACAACCCGAAGGCAAAGGGAAGGCAAAGCATCCCGGGGCCGTGTCTCCTTTGATGGCTCAGAGCAGACACCCCCAGCACCCTCCTCCCCTCAGGTGGAGCGCACTGACCATGACATAATGACGCTGGATTTCGGTTTTCTCCGTTGCCAGCTTCTCACATTCTAACTTCAAGCTGTAAAAATAAAGAGAAGAAAGAAAGAGGGAAGGAGGGAGAGGAAGAACATCCCCCCCCCCCCCCCATTTCCAGACAAGGTATCCAAAGCTGGACAGAGCATGAGCCCCCCCCTTTGCCCCATGTGCTTCAGCCTCCTGCTCCCAGCTTCAATCCCATCTCCCAGCACAAGCCCAGAAAACCACCTGAAAGAGGATTGGGAAGGGGATGATAAAGAGGAGATGGACAGCAAAGGGAATCCAGGCGTCAGGAAGCCATCCGCACGGAGTTTTAACCCCCTCCCCAGCATCTGCTTCCCAAATGGAGCGAGCTGCAAAGCTGAGCTGTGTTCCAAACCTTGCTCTGCCCGGCACTGGTGTAGGGAAGGGGAGGTGATCCCGGGGGGGGAATGGAGCCCTGGAAGCCAGCACCCTCATCCCGGGGCTTTCGGCAGGAGGAGGCCGAGTTTCTCCCTCAAACAGCATCACTTCAAGGGACCATGGTGGTGCTTGGTCCTCTGATGCCCAGCGCCGTGGGGAGCCCGGCTCTCACCAGCACCGGTGATGGGCCCAGCACCACCAGAGCCCCCGAGCTCCGGCCGCTCCTCACCTGTGGTATTGGTTCTGCAGGAACTGGAATTCCTCCTTGATGCGGTCCAGGGTCTCCGGGTAAGTCAGCTTGAGGGACTGCGGGGTGCTGGGGATGGCGCTGGCGGCCACAGCGGCTCCCGAGGCAGCGGAGGGTGCCTGGAGATGGGCCTGGGCACAGGAGGGGACCCCGCGGGTCACTGCTGGTGGCCCTGAGAGGCTGCTGAGTCCCTGAGGGGGAGCTTTGGGCATCCAGGGCAGGAGCAATGGGGGAGCAGGAGTCCCTGCCCAGGGCAGCCCTGCTCCACCTTTGGCACCATAGAGCACCCGAGCCAGGGAAGGGGATCAACGCCATCCCCATCTGGCTCCATGGGACCCAGACCCCGCAGTGCCGGCGCTCGGCATCACTTAGGGATGAGGCACCGGCCCGCGGAGCACAACTTTCGGGGCCCAAAGCCCGTTATGTCCCGTCCCGTGTGGGGTGCCCGGGGCTCAGGGGAGGGGATGAGGCCGAGGTGCGGGCTCACCGGGGGCCGGTTCTGCGGGAACATCGTCGGCACCGGACTGGCCCAGGACCCCTTTGGCTGCTCCGGTCCCCACCGCAGCCTCAGGACGGGGCCTGGGGACGCTTCTCACCTCCGGATCAGGCTCTGGGAGAGAGACACCGGGAGTCACCACCGCAGGGCTCCGGTTCCGTGCACCCCTTCGGAACCCCGCTCGGCTCCCCCCGCCCTCACCCCAGGCCCGCGCCCTCCGGCACGGCGCAGACAATAGCCCCGCAGCAGGGACGGCTGCGGGGAGGGCTCCGCAGCCCCGAGTGGGGCCAGACCCCGGCCGGAGGGAGCCCAGGGGTAGGGCGGGCCCGGCCCCGGCTGCGGGCACCGAACCGGGATGAGACGGGACGGGACGGGACGGGACTCACCGCGGTGATGGACCCGGACCCAGGCGCGCACCCCTGCGGCGGGGCGGGCCGAGCGGAGCCGAACGGAGCCGAGCGGGACCGAGCCGAGCCGAGCCCGAGCCCGAGCCCGAGCCCGAGCCCGAGCCCGAGCCCGGAGCCGAACCCGAGCCGAGCCGAGCCGAGCCCGAACCCGAGCCGAGCCGAGCCGAGCCCGAGCCGAGCCGAGCCGAGCCGAGCCGAGCCGAGCCCGAGCCCGGAGCCGAACCCGAGCCGAGCCGAGCCCGAACCCGAGCCGAGCCCGAGCCGAGCCGAGCCGAGCCCCCGCCCGGCCCCGCCCCTCCCGCGGCAGCCGCTCTGCGGAGCGCGATCAATGAACGAGCGCCAGCGCCAGCTCCACGTGGGGCCTGGCCCGTGCTGGCGATCGCCCCGTCGGCAGCCAATGGGAACGCCGCGGGAGCGGCTCGCCCCCACGTGGGGTCGCGACGAGCCGCGTTCTTATTGGTCAGACGGGCCCTGCCGCCGAGGGAAGTGTCAATCTAAGGGAGGCCGAGCAGCCAAAGAGGAGGCGGCGCGGGAGGGGGGCGGGGATTTAACCCCTGCGGGGACCGGGGGGGTCCCTGGGGGTCCGCGGGGTCACGGGGGGGGTCCCACGTTACCGGTAGCATCCAGGCCCCCCCCCCCCCCCCCGAGCCCGAGACCCCCTCCAATGAGGGACCCCCAGAGACCCCAAATCCATAATGAACCCCCCAGCCCATGAAGGACCCCCCCATAAGAGACCCCCCCATGAGGGACCCCCCCAAGGGACCCCCCCATAAGTGACCCCCTCATAAGGGACCCCTCCATAAGTGACCCCGGATCCCTTCCATAAGGGACCCCCTCCATAAGGGACCCCCCCACAAGGGACTCCCCCATAAGTGACTCCCCCCATGAGGAACCCCACCCATAAGGGACCCCCCATAAGGGAACCTCCCCATAAGTGACCCCCCCCATGAGGGACCACTCCCAAGGGATCCCCCCCATAAGTGACCCCCCACCCCATAAGGGACCCCCTCATGAAGGGACCCCCCATAAGGGACCCCCTCCATAAGGGACCCCCCCATAAGAGACCCCCCCATGAGGGACCCCCCATAAGTGACCCCCCCCCCCCATAAGTGACCCCCTCATGAAGGGACCCCCCATAAGGGACCCCTCCATAAGTGACCCCGGACCCCCTCCATAAGGGACCCCCCCATAAGTGACCCCCCCCATGAGGGACCCCCCCATAAGAGACCCCCTCATGAGGGACCCCCCATAAGGGACCCCTCCATAAGTGACCCCGGATCCCCTCCATAAGGGACCCCCTCCATAACGGACCCCCCTACAAGGGACTCCCCCATAAGTGACTCCCCCCATGAGGAACCGCACCCATAACGGACCCCCCATAAGGGAACCTCCCCATAAATGACCCCCCCCATGAGGGACCCTTCCCAAGGGACCCCCCCCATAAGTGACCTCCCTCCATAAGGGACACCTCCATGAGGGACCCCCCATGAGGGACCCCCCGTAAGTGACCCCCCCCATGAGGGACCCCCCCCATAAGAGACCCCCCCATGAGGGACCCCCCCATAAGGGACCCCTCCATAAGGGACCCCGGACCCCCTCCATAAGGGACCCCCCCCATGAGGGACCCCCCCATAAGGGACTCCCCCATAAATGACTCCCCCATGAGGAACCCCACCCATAAGGGACCCCCCCAATGAGGGACCCCCCCCCCCAGGGGACCCCCCCCATAAGGGATGCCCCCATGAGGGACTGACCCCGGACCCCCCCATAAGGGACCCCCCCATGAGGGACCCCCCCCATAAGGGACTCCCCCATAAGTGACTCCCCCATGAGGAACCCCACCCATAAGGGACCCCCCCAATGAGGGACCCTCCCCAAGGGACCCCCCCCATAAGGGATGCCCCCATGAGGGACCCCTCCATAAGTGACCCCGGACCCCCTCCATAAGGGACCCCCCCATGAGGAACCCCCCTCATGAGGAACTCCCCCCCCCCATAAGGGACCCCCATTAGTGACCCCCCCATGAGGACCCCCCCATAAGTGACCCCCCCCCATGAGGGACCCCCCCATCTCTCACCAGCAAAGGCCTCAGCATCCCCCATCCCCAGTGCAGTTCGGCCACCCTCGATTCTCCCCATCCACCCCGTGTGTCCATCATCAAACCCACATTTGGGGGTTTCCAATGGGATTCCAATGGGAACTGAGGATTCCAATGGGATTTCTGGCTTTTCCTCCTCCTCTTCCTCCCCCTCAAGCATTGAGCAGGGAAATGTCCCGCTCGTGGCTCCATCCCCTTGGTCCTCGTGGTCCAGCCCCCTTCTGGACCCATCCATGTGCAGACACCGAGGGTGGGCAAAGCCTCTCCCGCAAGCAGGAGGCAGAACAATCAGAGCCCTTGGCTCTGGTGCTGCTTGCCCATAGGGACACCGGTGCTGGCCACAACCGGGTGCTCCATGCACCTTCCTGCACCCACCGCTTGTCCAGAGCAGGAACTGGGCTCTGCGCACGTAACGGGAAGGGGAAAATCCATCAGGAAGTGAATTACCCTGGAATACCCAGGCAGAGACGCAGGAACCGCGTCGGGGTGATGGGCAGGGAAAGCAGCAATGGGAAAAGCTGAGATTGATCCCATTTGGGTGTCTGATTTTTGCAGCCCCAATGAGCCCCAAGGGGCTGGGCTGGGTGTCTGGATCCCCATCACCATCAGGATCCAGGGACCAAGAAGCCAACCGCAGGGAGCACAGCTTGCCTCCAGGCCCTGAACCATAAGAATCCCCTCGGCAAACGTGGGAAAGCCCCAATTCCAGAGCTGGAAAAGGCTGGGAATGCCCCTGCCCTCGCTGCACCCACTCTTGGCTCTGCACCAGCCACCCAGACGTTTGTGCTCTGGGGAGGGAGGGAGGTTGGGGCTGGGGGGAGCAGCAGCAGAACCCTCTCCAGCCCTTCTTATATATTCAAATGGAATAAGAGCACAAGGTCTATTTTGGTGGCCAGAACGGATCCGCTCTGGAAAAGGGCCATAAATCCCAAAGGGAGGAGAAAGCATTTGACCAAGGTCATGGTAAGAGAAAAAGAGGGAAATCAAAGACCAAAAGGGGTCCACATCAGCTCCTCCATCCCATCCTGGAAACGGGGCTCTGATGGCACCATCCAGCACCACCATTCCCGTGCTTGTGCCAGCGCCTCAGCACCCTCCCAGGGAAGAGCTTCTGCCTAAGAGCTCATCTCAGTCTCCCCTCGGGCAGGTTCAAGCCATTCCCCATGGCCTGTCCCTACAGGCCCTTGTCCAAAGCCCCTCTCCAGGGCTCTTGTCACAGTGATCCCAGAGAGGGTTTGGTGGGGATGTGCAAGGAAAGGGCCAGGGGGGAGCATCCAGCATCCCACAGCCAACGCTTGCAGGGAGCACGGTCCCGGCCCTGGCAGCGCAGGGAAGCAAAGCGCTGCTCGTCCCCTCTGGCGGTGCCTCCGGGCCCGGCTCCGGCGCCTGGTGCCAGAGCAGGGACGGGGCTGCGTGGAGGGGAGAGCTCCCGGCGCCGCTGCCACCGCAGCTGCTGGTCCTGCAGCACAACCAGAACCAGGCCCGGCTCCAGCCCCAGCCCCAGCCCCCGCCTCAGCCCCAGCTCCAGCCCCAGCTCCATTACCAGCTCCCTTCCCAGCTCCATCCCCAGCTCCCTTCCCAGCTCCATCCCCAGCTCCATCCCCAGCTCCATTACCAGCTCCCTTCCCAGCTCCATCCCCAGCTCCATCCCCAGCTCCATCCCCAGCTCCATCCCCAGCTCCATTACCAGCTCCATCCCCAGCTCCAGCTCCATTACCAGCTCCATCCCCAGCTCCAGCTCCCCAGCTCCCTTCCCAGCTCCATCCCCAGCTCCATTACCAGCTCCATCCCCAGCTCCAGCTCATCCCCAGCTCCAGCTCCAGCTCATCCCCAGCTCCAGCTCCAGCTCCATCCCCAGCTCCCTTCCCAGCTCCATCCCCAGCTCCATTACCAGCTCCATCCCCAGCTCCAGCCCCAGCCCCAGCTCATCCCCAGCTCCAGCTCCAGCTCCATCCCCAGCTGAGCTCCATCCCCAGCTCTGTCCACAGCTCCAGCCCCAGCTCCGGCTCCATCCCTGGCTCCATCCCCAGTTTCAACCACAATTTCAGCCCCAGTTCCATCCTAAAGCTCCATTCCCAGCTCCAGCCCCATCCCCAGCCTCAGCTCCATCTCCATCCCCATTCCCAGCTCCTTCCCCATCCCCAGCTCCATGTCCACTCCCAGCTCCTTCCCCAGCCCCAGCTCCAGAGCCAAAAGCAGGATGTGGCCCCGCTCGCTCCCCGGGACATTGGCCTGGGCCAGGTCTTGCCTGATAAAGAGGCACCTCCTGCCCCACCTCCCACGGGAGGGTTTCCCCTTCTCCTTTCCTCCTGCCCTCACTGCTTAATTCCTCCTCTGCCCCCTCCTTCCCTTCCGCAGCCAGATCAAAGGAGGCGGCTGCACCCGGAATCATGGATTAAAGGGGAGAGGGGAGGCGGCACTGATGGGATCGGAGGAGGAGGAAAGGGGGAAGAAGGAGCAGGAGAAGGCAAAAGAGAAGGAGGAGAAGGCAAAAGGAGAGGGAGGAGCAGGAGCAAAAGGACGAGAAAGAGGAGAGGAGGAGGAGGAGAAGGAGGAGCAGCACCGGGTCCAGGCCTGCGAGGCCGCCGGGAGCGGAGCGGGCTCCACCGGGCTCCTGCGGCCCTCTGCCGCCGCCCCGCTCCGGACCACGGGCACCGGCCCCGGGGGCACTTCCCATCCCCGGTCCCGGCTCCGCTGCTGCCTCCTCCCGGGGCCTTGGGCCAGGGCACGGGATGTTTAGGGGATGAGTAACATCCTTCCTGGCAATGCCTCTGCCCGTCCCTGGAAGCGGGCACCGGGAAGCCAGGGGGCCGGGGCACGGAGCCAACAAGCAGGGAGAGAGCCGGGGCTGGAGGCAGAGGACCGGGACACGGCCCATGGAGGAGCCCCCCGGTGCCAGGGAGCGGGGAGGAGGATGCTGCGTGGCACAAGGAGGGAGGCACCGGCTGGGGGGAGGCAGCGCAGGGCCCCTCCGAGCGGGGCTGGAGCCGGAGCCCGGCTTGGGAAGGAGGAGCCTTGGGATGGAGCTGATGCCGCGGTCAAACGTACCCCAGCACAAGCAGGATGGGAGCCGTGGCTCCGGCAGTGCAGGCTGCAAAGGGCCTCGGGCACCCCAGTCACAGCCCAGGGCTGGAATGTGAGAGGAGCAGCCTGGGATCATAGAATCGGGGATGCCTATGGAAGGGGATCCATCGAGTTCACGCGGGGCATTGCATCCCACCAAGTGCAGGTTACTCCGGGCTTGGGATGCCACGAGTTTGGTCCGGTCTCAGCCCCTTTCCCGTGGCTGGCAGCGTGCATCCATCCGGGAAGGAGCAGCCGCGCTCCCTCGGCTCCAAGCCTGCCCTGCCCTTGGGAGCTGCACACTGCAGCATTGTGGCCCAGCTGGTTTTTCCAGAGCCGCATCCAAGGGGTGAAATCAGATCTCAAGGGAAGGGAACAGGCACGTTCCTGGCTGCACAGAGGAGCTGGTGGGACCGTGCCAAGATCTGGGGCAGCTGCTGAGCACCAAAGCCCAGGATAAAGGGGAAAAGGGAGCCCCGGCTGTGCCTCCTGCTCCCGATTCCAGGAGCTGCTGCTCCTTCCCAGACCTTCGGTTGCGATTCCTGCCGCATCTCCCCGGCTTTGTTTGACACCATCAGATGTTAACCCAGGAGCCTGGAGGGCTGGGAAAGGGGGAAGGATCCCGTTGTGGGGAGCAGGGAAGGATCTGCAGGAGCAAAGCAGCATCTGCAAAGGGCTTGTCCAGACTGGAGTCACTCACAACCAGCAGCACCAGTGAGTGGCTCCGGAGGCAGAGCTGAGCCCAGGATGGGATGATCCCGGTGTTCCCTGGTACCCTGCAGAGCTGGAAGGAGCCTACAGCATTCCCGGTGCCATAGCGGCTGACACGGGGGCAATGGAGGAGCCCCAGCTCACCCTCAAGCCTGACGCTGCCTCCCAATGCCCCCCATTGAAAGGCCCCTGGCTCCGCTCCTGCTGCTGCCACCATCCCCATCCCTATCCCTATCCCATGCCAAGGCTCTGTCCTTGCGCTGCCAGAGCAGCCAAGGGAGCTGCAGGCACAAAAACGTCACTTTTTCCAAGAGCTTCTCCCCTCCCTTCCCTTCCCTTCCCCCTTTGCTGAGGGCAGCGGCTGCGGAGCCGGGAATGCCGGAGGCTCCCAGGAGCACGGATGGGACCAGCCGGGATGGAGCCCGGATCCTGCGCTGGCCACGGCTCTTCTCACCTCTCCAAGGCTCGGCTGAGCGAAGGAGAAGCCTCTTGAAGGCAGCAGTGCGCGGGCACCGCGGGCAAGGAGCCCAGGGGGATGCTGCTCCCATGGGACCAGCATTCCCATGGGAATGGGGCTCTGCAGATTCTCTTCAGCCCCGTTCCATCCACCCCAAGGCCGGGAGCATCCATGGGGGAAGAGACCAGGCCTGACACGGACATTCTTTAAGGATGATCTCATTTAGAAAACGCATTTTTTCGTATCAAAACACATCGTGAAAACGTGTGGAATTGAGGAAGAGGCTCCAGAGCTGCGCTGGGACCCGCTCCGTGGCCCATTCCCCACCTTCCCGAGGTGTTCGGAACCCCACATCCAGCTCCACATCCCCATCGGTTTTCCTTTACCACAGAAAGCTTCTCCCTTTGCCCCCCCTTACCCCCTAAAGCATCAGCTGAAGCTGCAGCAGAGACAAAGGCTGGAGCATCCCCAAGCACGGTGAGTGCAAGAATCCCTTGCTCCCAGCATCAGGAAGTGGGAAGAGCCCTTCCCATGCTCCCTGCGCTCACACACACTGGAAACCAGCATTGCTTTCTAAGGGAATCAGGGAACAGAGAAAGGTCTGGATCGCTTTAATCCTTGCTAACCCAGCAGCCGCCCTCCTTGTGCTCATGAAGCTGGATCATTCGACAGGGATAACAGCCCAGGCAAGCTCAGGCTTCCCAAGGAGTTTGCTCTTCGCTCCGTGCCATTTGCCAGCCTCATAAATCCATCCCACGTGCCTCCCTTCCCCTCCCTGCGCATGGAAAGCCGGGATGGCAGCTTGGGAGCGTGACTCAGACACACAAGGAACCAAGGAGCTCCCTTCCCGCAGGGAGGATGCTGGGATCACCGGGCACCGGTGCCAGCCCAGGGGCACCACGGGCACGGAGAACACCAGGAGTGGGGATAGGCAGGGATAACCCGCAGGTACCTGCGGCAGCAAGCGGCACCGGAGCCAGTGGTCCATAGGGAGCCAGCGTTCCATAGGGAGCCAGCGGTCCATAGGGAGCCCGGTGCGGAGCGCGGCTCACGGCGCGCCACGGTAGCTGTAGTGATTGCGGTCGGCGTCGCTCATGGTGAGCGGGAGGCTGGGTTTGCGCTCCGGGTCCTTCCCATCGCAGGGCCTCGGGGGACGCTGCTTGAAGAAGTCGGAGACGTATCGGACCTGGGATAAGAGCATCGGGAAGGAGACGCATGGGGACCGCTGCTGCCCAAGGAGCATGGCGGGGTTGGGTGGCACCGGGGACACTCACGATGAGGATGGCGATGAGAGCCCCTTGGAGCAGCCCCACCAGCACATCGCTCCAGTGGTGCTTGTAGTCGGACACCCTGGTGTAGCCCACGTAGATGGCGAAGGTGATGAGGAAGAACTGGATGGTGGGACGCAGCAGCCGGGCCCACTTCCCCACCAGCCGGGCTTGCACATAGAGCTGCATAGGGGATTGGGGAGCCATCACCCAGTGTGTGTGTGGGGTGGGGGGGGGCACTGGGTAACAGGGTCCGTGGGGGCACTTACCGCCAGGAACATCATGCAGTACATCCCAAAGGAGGAGTGGCCAGAGTAGAAGGACAACCTATGGGGCAAAAGGGGTGGTGAGGCCCCCATGGCAGGAGAGCATCGCTGTCCCCCAGCCCCACAACTCACCTGGACTCGGTGACGTTCCTGCTCTCCCCTTGGCAGACGTTGTCCAGCTGCACGTAGATGGAGCAGTTCACCTTGGACCAGTCGGGATTGCAGACAGCCAGGAAGTTGGGCCGGAGACGGCCGATCATGTACTTGGCCAGGTCAGTGAGGGACTGGCTGATGGCCCCTCCGAAGAGGAAGGTCCCCACCACCTTGTAGAGGGCAGCCAGGTAGTTGTTGAATTCCGACTTGGAATAGAGACGCTCCGTGTAGACCAGGTACAGCTCCCCTGATGAGAGCTGCAAAGGACAAGGGCTGAAGGGCTTGGAGCTATCAAGCAGCTCCCCAGCACCATGGATATGGGATGCTCCCGGTGCCCGACCCCATGGGATGAAGGTCCCAAGGGAGCTCCCGACCCAAGGGCCCCATTGGCGTCTGGAGGTGGGTTCGCTGGGCCCCTGCTCCTGGATAACGCCTGGGGGAGCATCCCACCCCTAAGAGGGAAGGGGACGGCGCTTCCTTACGATGACGACGGTGCAGGTGATGGTGACCCCGGCCATGAGGCCGTGGGTGATGGTGTCCGCCTTGTAGGGGTAGCGGATGGAGTCGTCGTTGCAGTAGAAACCCCGTTTGTAAGGGGAGTTCACCAGCGTCAGGATGACGAAGGGCAGAGATGCTGCAAGGCAGAGGAGAGGTGAGGAGTTAGGGGGGGACGCAACACAGGCACCCCCTGGGGGACACCATCCGGAGCCACCCGCACCCCAGGGCCAGGAGGACTCGCCCTGATGCTGATAGAGCCCTATCACAGCCCACAGCTGCCTGAGGCGCCCAGATACCACAGGAGATGGCGGCGGGGCACCCACAGGGCTGCCCCACAGCTCCCCGGTGCTGATGTTGTGCCCTCTCCTCCCACTGCTCAGGGTCTTCCAGCCCAGGAGGATGCAGTTCGTTAGAACCGATGAGAAGAGGCTCTCGCAGCAGTGGGACCCTCACACCGGGCTCCAGGGGAGCCAATGCCTGGAGATGCAGGGGGGGGGCTGTGAGGACTCCCTTATCCCCTGCTCCGCTCCGGGCCCTGCAGGGATGCTGCAACCGGCCGGGACGGGCTGGTCCCCGGCATCAGCGTGGTTTGGAGTGGGGGGGCTCTGCCCCATCCCTGCCCATCAAAGAGGAACCTCCTGGCACCGGAGCACGGGGGATGCTCGGCCCGTCCTGACGCCGGGCTCCGATCCCGGTTCCGCCTTTCCCAGCGGCTTCCGCCTGCCCTTGTTCCACCGTCTCCCGGGAACAAGCGCCTTTGGCCCCGCCCGCACCAACCCGGGGAAACGGGAAGAAACGGGCGGAGCCACCGGGACCGGGACCAAGCCCCGGTGTGTGCATGTGTGTGTGTGTGTGTGTGTGTATGTATGCGTATGTATGTGTGTGTGTGGGGGGGTATGTATGTGTGTGTGTGTATGTATGTATGATGTATGTGTGTGTATGTATGATGCATGTGTATGTATGTATGTGTGTGTGTGTATGTATGTATGTGTGTGTGTATGTATGTATGTGGGTGTATGTATGTGTATGTATGTATGTGTGTGGGTGTATGTATGATGTATGTGTATGTGTATGTGTGTGTGTATGTGTATGTATGTATGTGTGTGTATGTGTGTGTATGTATGATGTACGTGTATGTATGTATGTGTGTGCATGTATGTATGTGTGTGGGTGTATGTATGATGTATGTGTATGTATGTATGTGTATGTATGATATATGTGTACATGTGTATGTATGTATGTGTGTGTATGTATGATATATGTGTACGTGTGTATGTGTATATGTGTGCATGTATGTATGTACATGCGTGTATGGGTGTATGTATGTATGCATGTATTATGTATGTGTATGCATGTGTGTAAGTGTGTATGTATGATGTATGTGTATGCATGTGTGTATGTATGATGTATGTGTATGTATGTATGTGTGTATGTGTATATGTGTGTATGTATGTGTATGCATATATGGGTGTATGCATGTACATGTATGTATGTATACGTGTATGGGTGTATGTGTATTGGTCCCCCCTCGCAACCTCCTCCTCATCCACCTCAAGCATCCCCCGTGGCTCGGATCAGACCCCGTATCCCTCCCTGCACAATCCCATGCTCCAAAAACGCTTCCCGAAAAACAAGAGCAGGGAAACGGGACCCAAACAAACCCGGGAGACACCGCCCCCCCCCCCCCCCGCCCCGCTCCTTGAGGCTGGAATTACGACCTGGGCCTTTATTTTTAGCCCGGTTCCATTCGCAGCTTCCCCGGTTTAGAAACGGGCGTTTGGAAACGCCCCCCCCGGGGCAGCGGCAAACGGGAACGGCCCCAGCCCAGACCCCTCCGGTCGCCGCTTCCAGCCCCCGGTTCGACGCTGACACCAACCCCACCACCCCCCCCCCCCCCCCCTCCGCTCCAAGCTCTGGGATCCCCGACGGGGCCCCGCAGCCCCGGGGTAGGGCCCGGTGCCCGCCGCGGAAGGGAAACGGCGCCGGTGGGGCCGCTCAGGTGCAGCCCCGGCACCGGGGGCACTCAGACCCCCCCCCCCCCGGTACAGCCCCACCGGAGGGAGGAGGGATCGGGGAAAGGACGGGGGGGAGGAGGAGGAGAAGGGGGGGGGGGGGTGTCCGGGATCCGCCGGTCCCGAGCCCTCACCGACCGCCAGGCAGAGCACGTCGAGCACCACGAACACTTTCCTGCGCTCCATGGAGCTGCCGGTGGCGGCCCTGCGGCCCGGCCCCGCTCCTCACATGGCCCGGAACGGAGCCGGGCCCGGCCGGGAGGTAAAGTCCGGGCGGACGGGACGGGACGGGGCGGAGCGCGGCTGGGGCGGGACGGGGCGGCACCGGCAGCCCCGCTCGGTGCCCCCGCCCGCGGGCTGCGGAGGGGCCGGGGCAGGTGTGGGGCGGTGGGGACCCCCCCCCCGGTAGCTCCGGTTGCCCCCGAGGAAAGGGGACGGGAGGGAGGGGGTGAGGCCGCTTGCGGGTTCCTCCAGCCCCGGGCTCCTTTCCCGAAGGAAAATGGGGGAAAAAAGGGGGAAAAAAGGAAAAGCCGAGAGTGGAAGAAGGCGGGGCCGGGGTGGGGGGGGTGCGGATTGCGGGGCTGGCCCAGGCCCGGTTGTTCCGTCTGGAGGAGCTCCTGTTTTAAGGCAGGATCCGACCTCTGGGATGTGGGACATCGCTTCCCCAAGGCTCAGGCGGTGCCGGAGCCTGCTGCTGGGATGTGGCAGAGCAGGGATGGGAGGAAAGGGTCAAACACGGGTCCCCATGTGAGCTCCCGGTGGGACCGGGGACAGCCGGAACCCGGCTCTTTTGCTCCAGGCCCGAGTCTCAATCAGGAACGGAAGGAAACAAATAACAGGGAAAGCACCCAACTGGAGCCGTGGGGCTGGTCTGGGGGGTGTGGGGCGGGCTATGGGGGGAAGCAGCAGAGCTGGAAACGCTCTGGGGTGCTCTGGGATTTAAGGAGAGGGCCAAGAGCCGCTTGCTGGGGTCTCTCTGCTCTGCTCCAACCCCATGTGCCCCGATGCAACTTCCCTCCTGGCCGCGGGTGCTGCAGGGCCCCGGTGCTGCTGCTGGGGCCCGGTTTGCCCCACACGTGCTACCTGTGGGCCCCAGGTCCTAGGGGTGGGAAGGGAAGAGCTGCGGGACAGGAAAGAAGCGGGATGCTGGGGGGAATGCAGGGGAGGATGCAGGAGGGGATGCTCGAGGGGATGCAGAAGGGGATGCTCGAGGGGATGCAGGGGGGAATGCTAGAGAGGATGCTCGAGGGATGCTGGAGGAGATACAGGAGGGGATGCAGGGGGGGGATACTGGAGAAGATGCTGGAGGGGATGCTGGGAGGGTGCTCAGAGGATGCAGAGAGGGATACTGGAGAAGATGCTGGGGGGAATACTGGGGGGGGATGCTAGAGGCAGGAGGGGCTGGTGGCACTGTGGGGTGCCCAAGCTATGCCCTGGGTGGGGAGGATGCAGGGTTTAACGCAGCCTCTCCCCACACTGAGCTCAGCCCCACTGCAGCCCCCAGCAGGCCTTGGTTGTGCTGAGCCTCCCACTAGGCTGTTTTAGGTGCTCAGATGTGGAAGTGGGGGGCTCAGCGAGGACAGGATGCGGCCTGGTGGGGTCACACAACCCCATGCTGCAGGCCCCTTGCTGCAGCAGGGCAGAGAGGGGCAAAATAAGGCAGCAGCTCCCGTGCCCATGGAATGGCCTCACGGAGCAGCCCCATGGGCAGGACTTTGCCCTATAGCGTTCTGTGGCTGCTGGAGACACCCCGGAAGAGCCCAGCCCCGGCTCTGAGCTGCTCTGAGCCCGGCCCCACAATCCCAGCTCAGTTGTGTGGTGCTGGGCAGGGGGCTGAGCAGTGCAGGGCCGCGGAGGAGGGTGGGGGGGTGCCTGGCACTTGGCCCCTATCCATTAGGTAACCATCAACTCCTCCTGTGCTTCCCGTAGGGTCCTGCACTCATTCCAGCACCAGGGCCCCATCCTGGGGGATGCTGATGCTCTGCTCCGAGGGGCTGCAACTGCAGCGGGATCCGATGTCCGGTGCCCCGGGAAGGAGCCGGTCCCGGTCCCGGTGCCCCCTCTGCCGTCGAAGCGCCGCTCCCGCAGCGTCCCCGCAGGATGCAGTGGTGATGGTGGGGGGTTTGGTCCCGCTGGTCCTGCACCTTCCAGAGCCAGAAGGGCCTTTAGAGGATGCGATGAGACAAAGGACAGGGACCCCCTAAGACCCAGAGCTCCCCATTGCACCCAGGGCCGATCCTGGGGAAACACGGCACCAGGAGAGCTCCCCAAACCCTTTTCCTGCTGGTTTTCCAGGTGAGGGATGGAGATGGGAAGCTGCCATCACCCCCAAAGCCCTGGGCAAGAGCTGGAGAAGGGAACTTAGGGAGTCTGGGACGAAACAGAGGGGCTTTGTGGGGAGCAACACACAAGGGAGCAGCAGCAGGAACGCTGGATGTAGTTTATGGCTGAAGCCAATGAGGGATGGATGGAGGGATGGATGGAGGGATGGGTCCCTTCTCCTCCTACCACAACCACAGGCTCTCCAAAGGAACCAGAGCACCTGTAAGAGCATCAAAGCCTCCTGCCCTCCACGCTGAACGGCCAACAGCCCCAGGGCAGGATGAGGCCGAGGTGAGGACCCTCTTCTTTGCTTCTCTTCAGCTCCGACAGCACAAGAGGCTCCTGCTCACTTTCAAATGAGGGGTTTAATTAAATAAATAGCGGCGAGGGGGCTTCAAGGCAGTTTCACTTCACAGTGTAGGGGTTGGGGGGGGAACGAGTCCAGCAGCGGGAGTGGCTCAAAGTGAATGTGCTTTGTAAAGGAGAAAGAAAACCCCACCAAACCCCTGCTTCCTCCCCCCTGGCCCAGCCCTTTCCTGCCCTCCTCTCCTTTGGAAGATGGGTGGGAAAAGCAGGACCCCGGTGGTGAAGGAGCCCATGCGACTGTAAACAGCACTGAAGAACATAAATAAGGGATCCCTGCCTCGGGAGGGCTTGAAATGAACCAAAGAAAGAAGGGATTGGGGAAAACTAAGCCTGTTTGTGGCTGGCAGAGAGGAGAGGCCGAGGTCTGGCCCTCCCCTCTGCTTCTCTTCCCTCCAAGGAGCTTCCTCTCCAGCCAGGAAAGAGGACTCGGAGCCGGGTGGTTCCACGTGTTTGCCTTCCCCTTGAGCCCGGTTATCACATGGTGATGGATGGAGCTCAGCACCCCTCATAGCAAAGCCCTGCCCATGAAACCAGCCTGGGGCTTGGAAGAGGAGCCACAAGGTATGATCCTGTCATCCCCCCCCTCCCGCGGGGCTGAGCACCACCTCCCAGGGCTGGCGACAACAGGATGCGGGTTAATGGGTTTAGTCACCGTCCAGACCCACTGATGGCAGCTCAAAGGGCTCAATCAAAGCGAGCAGAAAACCTCAACCCCTTCCCAAATGTGGAAAACAAATGGAGGAGGGAAGGTCTGCGCCAGCCGGACAGCATTCCCGCATGGATAAAAAGGGAAGGAGAACACGTGCATTGAAGCCAGTGGCAAACCCAAGCCCTGGAACACACCCGGGAAGCGAAGCGGCTCCAGCCTCCAGCACAGCCCTGTTGTCACCTCCCTGGGCACTGCTAATGGCAGTAAAGACAGACTTTCCTCTTGGAACACAGCTTTCCCTGTGCTGCAGTTAGGGGCAGGGATGCTCTCTCCTGCCCAGGATTCCATGCTGACACCACACTTGGTGCCCTCCTCATCTTCCTCCTCCCACAGCTGGGATGGCTGCACGAGCTGGGAAGTTCCAGACCTTTCCATCTGCATTTTCCCCTCCTGCACTGCAGGGCTCACAAGGATCAAGTCCTTCACTGCCGGGCACCGAAGCGGCATAGCTCTGGGGGGGGTGTCTAGAAACTCCCTTTCCTCCCAGGACAATTCCCTGCAAGGGAAGGCGAGAAGGACTTAAGCACACACAGGATCCCTTTGCCAGGACCTGAGGCCGGCCTCCAGCTGCATCCCACCCGCAGGAACACACAGCAGCGGGCAGAGATCACCATTGGGGTGCCAGGACCCACAATGGGAATGGGCAGGATGATTCCACGGCAACACGCTACCTGTGGGTGAAGGGCAAAGGCTCCTCCATCCTCCTCCTCTGGCATGGCCATGCCTGTCCCTTGGAACGTGCTTCCTGGGCATGTCCTAAGCTCTTGGACCTGCAGACTGCATCCTGCGCCCCGGGTCCCCATGGCACCGGTGACACATCCCTGCTCTCAAAGCATCTCTGGGGCCAAGGCCACTTCTCCTGTCCCAAGGCAGGGACTCTCCGAGCCTGGCATTACCTGGGGTGACACAGGGTCAAGGCAAGAGGGGGTGAGCGAGCTCCCCCCCCCATCACCACAGCCAGCCACCAGCTTTGCGGGCTGGTGTCAGAACACACTGGAGCAGAAAGGTGTTTGGTTTCACTTGGATCAAGGAGGATGGAAAGGCGGGTTCTGACCAACAGCTCCAAACTGTCCCTGGGGAGCAGCGGAAGCTCCCGGATTTCAGTCAAATCAGCTCAAAGTCCTTGCTGGGTCTGGGACAAGTCCATGAGCGGAGCCTTTCACTGTGACAAAGGCTCCGACCGAGCCACAGGAGCTGGACAAGCCTGGTGAGCACTCAGGAAACTATTTACATCTCCGATGCCGATGAGGCCAAACTCTGTGACCGATAAGGACACTTGCGCAGGGGCCACCTCTGGCTCTCTGTCCAAATCCACAGGGCCAGCGATTAAAGGCAAAGCCTCCTTAATGTCTGCAGGGAGAGGGAAGTCCATGCTTAGCGTCCCACCAGAGCTCTGCAAGGGCTCCTGCTTCTCCGCCTGTGCCGGGGCCGCCGGGGGCAGAGGGAAGAGCCGCGGCTCGGTGCTGGCGGTGGGGTGGCGAGGGCAGGGAGCCGAGGGGGTGCCTGAGGATGGCTCTTCCTGGGGGTCGAAGGAGCAGTTGGTCTCCGAAGGAGTGCTGCACTCGTAGCCCTGCCCCGACTCGCTCATGCTGCCCAGGCTGCAGGCAGTGCTCTCCACGCTCAGGGGCTCTGTGCATCCCATGGGGAGGGGAGAGGCAGACAAGAGAGACAGGGAGGGAGAAAGGGGGAGGGACAAGGGACAGAAAGCTGCAGTGAGTCCAAGCTTCCACTTCGATCCTGCCTAAACCCCAACCAGTTTGCTGGCATAAAGGTTTATTACAGCGACCGAGGGCCCAAGGAGGGCAAGATGCAGCCAGCAGATGGGAGGCCAGCAGTGTTTCTATGGAAATTAAAGGGAATCTCAGAGACACTCCAAGATAAAGCAAATCCGAAGTCTCTCCCCCCTCGTGCTGGCAGCCCCTGCGAGATGCCTACACAAAGGCCTCATCTGCAGTGGGACAATGAGGGAAGGAACCCATCTGGGACTCCCTGTGTGTCTGCTCACAGCCAGATCCCTCTGGGAGCAGTATCAGGTACAGCCCAACTCCTGGTGCCATAAATCAGCCTCTGGAGCAGTTTTCAGTCACTACTGGTCAAGGCAGAGCCAAAGTCTTCTCTGCTCACACCAAGCTCTGCTCTTTGGCACAGGGCAAAGTGAACCCATTGGCAAGGCAGGGGGAGAAGAGCAACAGCTCGATAATGGCAATGGGAGAAAGGCAAACGCAGCCCAGACCCCCTGAGTGAGGGAGATGAGTTATCCCCATGGCAGAGAGAACACAAAGGACATTACCTGTGCTCTCTATTGCTATCTGGTCTTGACTGAAGTGGGAATCCAGGCAGCCAGTTCCAGAGGGAATGGGAGGGGAGCTCCGAGGACGAGTGGAGTTTTCAACTTCACCCCCATCCAAGTCATTGTCGGTGTAATCCCTGTGGAGACAGACAGTCAGCACTGCCACCCCTGCCAGTGGGGATGCAGGCAGGGAAAACGGGGCTGGGATCACAGCCCAGCCACAAAGAAAGCAACAGGACTGTAGAGACCTCACTGGAACCAATGTCCATCCCTCCTCGGTGGGCAGAGCCCAGTTTAAACAGCACTGACGTGACTGAAGGTAGCTCAGGGTGGCCAAGATCAGCCTGGGAGAAACCTGAAGGGGCTCCGCAGCTTTCCCAACCAGAGCTCTGAGCCTCAGCCCCTTCCAAAGGGAAACAGATAGCCACAGGCCTTCCTTAAAGGGAACACCTCCTCCCCTTGGGTGGCTTGTGGCAATGCTGGCATGCCAGCAAAGGGAAGTGATGGGAAAATATCTTCCCATCCTGGAGGGATTTGGGATTTCAGCTATTTTCCTTTCTTGCATCACAATAAAAAGTGAGTATCTTCATCTATGGATTTAATGCATTCAACTGAAATACTTCAGTTTGACCTTTAAAACGTTTCTGTTTCCACCTCTCTGCGCAGTGCCTGCCCTACCTGCATGCATTTCCAAGTGAGGAATTTGCCTCGAAGGGTGGCAGCAGGGAAAGGAACGAATTCAGGTTCCAAACCACCAGAAATGGTAACTTTGAACTTCAAAAGCTCCCTTCCCTAAACCTCCCTGAACTGAGTCACCGAGCTCAGCCCTGAATCCCTGCCCTTGCCCTTCACTTGCGTGCTTCTATTTGCCTTTGCCTTGAATGTAAAGTGGTTTCTGACACCCAAAGTGCCCAACCAAGCGACTCATTGCTTCCTCTCCCCTCCCCACGCTTGCAGGGATCAGGTTGTGGGAGCATCCAGCGCATCCCTCCCCACTCCCACCCCAGCAACCTTCTAGAGGAGCAAGCGGAGGTGCTCTGCAGCAGGAATCTTCACTGGGAGCTTAGAGTTACTAAGTTTAGGGTGAGAATATTCCACGCACGTGGCTCCAGGGTGGAGGACGTACTTCTTCCTTCCTAAACGTGTCTGCTGAGTGAAGTAGTCGTAACGCTCCGACTTCTTCCACATGTAGTAATATTCCACGCACTCGCCCACTGACCGGGTACGGACCTGAGGGGAAAGAGATCCCAGTGAGACCTCCAGGTGTGGAGCAAGAAGCAGCTTCCCATTTAAGCAGCACAGAAAAATTCCAGTCATTTCTAGCACTACGGACACATCTAAGCTGCCCCAACAGCAGCACAAAGTGAGCTTTCCAAGGTGGTAATCGGCCCAAGAAAGGGCTCCCCACAGTGCACAGTTGTTCTTGCAGAGCCCAGTGTTGGTGCAGGACATCCCTGCGCTTCCAGCAGCACGTTTACCATCAAGAGAGCAAACCTGCATCCATTTTCACTGGCCAGCATCAACATGCCCACAATTAATCAGCAGTAGAACTGGACTCTCTGGTTCTGCCAACTCCCAGCACAGCAGCGTATGTCCTGGGGCCCAGCTCTTCCCTACAACAGCATCTTTGGTTCTAGAGGACCCCAGGGGACTTTACAAAACATCCACATGCTCAACTCACTCATTCACAGAAGCACTGCAAGGGCTGAGAGTTTGGAAAGAACTTTTGAGACTCCAGAAAGGGCTAATCAGTAATTAACTGACATCACTCATGCAGGTCAGTGGTGTTTGTGACTTCTCCCACCTGGAAAATAAGGCAGAGCAGGGCAGTGAACAGCCCATCACCTGCTATAGCATGAGTCAACACAAAGCCTGGGATGGGAACTCAGCAGTCCTGAACTTCCTGCATTAGCTGAGGCTCACTACATACCTCTGGTGCCAAGGCACGTGCCTCCTTTCCTCCGTCTTAGTGGGATGCGGTGGGGAATGCCCTTACCTTGTTTGCCTGGATAAGGTGGAAGTTTTTCCCATGGACCCTGAAGCCATGCTCAAAATTCCTACATTCTTCCTCGCTCCAGGCACAAAGCTCATCTAGAGCAGAGAGAAAGTGGAAGTGGAGGAGATGGAGCTCTTTCCAGACTCTACACATGCCTCAAGGTCTGGGGCAGACCCCAAGCAAGGGGGTTCTCACCTCTGATGACCTTCACGTTGAACCGTAGCCTCCGCAGTGCCTCTTCTGCATTGAAGTTGCATTTAACCAGCTCGTACAAAGCCTAAAAAGAGAAGGCAAAGACTCCCAGCGTGTACCTGAGCCACACACCCCAAACCAACCTGCTCAAGCCTCACCTTTGTCACCTCTTTTTCCCAGGAGCCACTTTGCCACTAACCCCACTGTGACCATCAGAGGAGATGCTTCTGCTTTTGGAGGCACCGGATCACAAACCCTAAGTCTGCAGCTCTGCAGGCCTCTGGGGTGCCTCTGCCCTCCTGCAGACGTAGGGTGAGAATCTAACCTGGCTACCCGGAGGAAACACAACTGCTCTCGTTTCTTAGCCAAATGTTTGATCTTCTGCTGGCTTCACAGAAGAATCAGACGCTGTTCTAGAGGACAGAGCCAAAAAGGTGACCCTGCTGCAAGCTCTGTGTTTGGGAGACTGGGAGAGTACAGTTAGAACAGTACCCAGCCTGTTACATGCATGCCACAAGCAACTGTGACTGCGTTGGGGGTACAGCACTGAGGCAGACAAGCCTGTGGCACAGGGTGCCCAGAGAAGCTGTGGCTGCCCCATCCCTGGCAGTGTTCAAGGGCAGGTTGGACACAGGGGCTTGGAGCAAGCTGCTCTAGTTGGAGGTGTCCCTGCCCGTGGCAAGGGGCTTTAAGGCTCCTTCCAACCCAACCCACTCTGGAATTCCATGGTTCTATGAAGCAGGAACAAAGGATCCCTGCAGGAAGCCCCACACTTACCTGCTCGTTGTCCTTCACCATCTCTCCTTCTGGCAGGCTGCTGCTGGACAGCTCGTCCCACTGCCGCTTCACCGCGCGGTACAGGAACTCCTCCACCTCTCTCTCGGGGAGGATGTTTGGGTCCCAAAGCAGCTGATCTTCATTCTCATAGGCTAACAGAAAAAGCACTGAAATAAGATAATCAAACAGAGAATTCCACTGCTTTTCAGGAATGGTCTGCACAGGAGAGAGACAAGGAGGGAGGAAACCTGGGCTTGGTCCCACAACCTGGCACTAGGGATGGCAACCATCGCTGGGAATACTGGAGGGGGAGATGCTTAATGCTCCCTATACCTCTTATCAAGCCCTGGCACAGGCTCAGCTTGCTTCCACTTCTTCAGAAGAGTTGGCTGATAAGGATTTTGTTACCATGTTCTCAAAGCTTGTTGCTTTGATTCATTATTAGAAACCCCTAAGTTCTAAGGTGTCTTTTCCTGCACACAGTAAACAAGAGGAGTGGGAGCTGAAGGCAGCTTTGAGCTACAACCCTGGCTTAGGCTCAAGCCCTTCTCCCTGTCCTAGACACAGAACTAGGCAGCTGGAAAGCTGCGTGTCCCCCCAGCAGCTTGTAACACTCCTCCAGGAGCTGCTTCACCCACAGGAGGCACACATGACCATCAAGTAATTCTTGCCCCTTTCAGCTTTCAAAGCTCTTTCTACATGAGAACACAGCACACAAGAATGCAGAGAGATGCTGAAGTAAAGTAACAGCACAGAGCAAGCAAGAAGAAAGACTCTGCAATAGGAAATCATCAGAAATGCTGAGATTTTTCTATTCAAATGAAGACATCAGCACTTCCTGGACTGAACTGGTTTCCACAGGCAAAGGAACCAACCCTTCTGCCCTGTAAAATCACTAAAATCAGGTCAGAGGCCCTTGACAGAGCAGAGAAGGCCCCCCACTGAGATCTGCTATCAGTTTACTTTCATTTCACACTGATGCAAACATGGAAAACACACACTAAATCTGTGTTCTTAATACAGAAGGCTGAGAGCACTGATAAGAGTTACACGGAAACCTTCTGAGAGCTGTACAGGTAAATGTGAAACAGGCCCTGCAAAACAGATCACTTTTATCCCCTTGAACTTATCTGCTCAGAGTCTGCAAGGATAAAAGACCTAAAGAGGAAACAAGGGATTTCTGCAGACAGAGCTTTCTGTCAGCTACCTCATTCAGAAACCCCACAAGCTGCTGCTGGTATCACCCTGGTTATCAGACACAACCTCCAAATGAAGGCCCCCAAATACAGCAGCCCTCCATCCAAACAGGGCACAGAAAGCAGGTGCTTACCTTTTTCCCCATGCCTGTTCAAGTGGAGGATGGGAACAGTGGCTTGGTACTGAGGTCCAACCATGATCTCCTGAAACATCACCAGAGATGCTGGTAAATGGAAATAGAAACAGCTCCACGCAGGCACAGAGGAGCACTTCATGATTTAGGGGCGGGAACACTATGAGGCTGATTTATGTATTGGTAGTCCCCCCGTCACTGTTCTAGGGAACCCTGAGTATTTTACAGGCTAACTAAGAAGATTTACTACCAACAAGATGGTACTGTGGGGACTGGAGGCATTTACATAGTTTTAACGGTGAAGATATATGGCAAGCAGCTCAGCTGGAGACAAAGTCATGCAGAAGCTCTCCTGCAACCTTCACAACTAGGATGTATTTGGAAGTCTGCTCCTCTCTTTCCTATGGTGCTGCCCCCTCTGTAAATCCTGCTGGGAATATTGCACAGCTTTTCACCTTTATAGGGCTACAGGCTGCAGTTTTCATTTGCCAAGGCACAGCAGCATTTGCCACAGCTGAAGCAGAAGATAACTTCAGATGCAGGTTTCAAGATTGGATTTAAAGTACCTCTTGTAACCCACATCTGCTGCCACCTCCCACAGAATACAAGGTGCTAAGGAAAAAGAAAAGAGATAGAATTCCTTGGTTTTGGTGTCACGCTTTCCTCAGGCTCAGGCACACTGCATTGGCTCCCCTTCCCAACGTGCCCCAATCATTTACCTTCTTACACTCATTGGATGGGATGGAATCCTCCTCCGAATCCTCAGCCATGGAGGAAGCACACGGAGATGAACAGGGCTCTTTGTCTTCATCAGCAAGGAAGTTGTTTGCTTTGTGGGAAAGGAAAACACCTATAGTTATTTCCCCCCCACTGCTCTATGTTCCCTCTCCTTCCCTTCATTTCCTGTCCTAAAATTGCTTTCACCAGGATCCACAGTGACAACTTACCCTGTTTAAATACAAGGATATGCCCCCTTGCTACATGGGTGCTGCTGACCAACCTGGGGGGCTCAGCCTCCTTAATTCTGCAGGGTAGCAGACGGGATAAGACCACTTTGTGCCGAGCCTCCCTCTCTGCACTTCGGTTTCCCATATGTAGGAACTGCCACTGTATATCACAGCACTCACACTACTGCATTTATTCACTTCTAGAGATGTCAGATCAAGGGCTGATCTCTCAGACTGCAACCACAGCAGGCAGCAAAGCAGTTCTCACTTTCTCAATGGTATGAGTTACACCCAAAGGCAATTATCCCTCATCTCCACTCTATCACGTCTTCACCAACACTCCTTAGCACCACTGGCACTCAGGTTTGGTTATCTGCAGCCCCCACAAGGAAAGTGATGTCAAGAAACCGAGTGATAAAAGACAGAAACCCCTTCTTGCTCTACCCTGCACATGACATCTAAGTAAGAAACCCCAATTACTTAGGGACACATACAGCCAGGCTGGTTTGGGAATAGGTCCGATGCATCGTGCGATGTGACGGATGGCGTCAGGTCGTCAGCTGAAGACTGTGTCTCCTCCTCTTCTTCCCCTGAAAGCAAATCCTTCGCTATTTGTTCCTTTTAACAACAACAAGAAAGTGAAAAATATGTTTAAATGAAGAAAATAGAGGAGGGGTGGGGTGGGGTATGAGGCCTAGAGTAAAGCATTCCTGGCCAATTCAAACCCCAAAGACAGATTCTCCCTCACTCTCCCCACCACCCCCAGATTATTTTCCTTAGAAGCTCTTTGACAAGTGTCAAGAGTGGCTTCCCACGGAAGCCAGAGAGAGGACAAGCAAGTGGTCCTTTCTGTAGAGCTCCCCTCATAGCAGATAGTTGCTGGAAGGAGAAAAAGAGCTTTCCATAGACTGTAGCTAGAAGAGGAGCCACATTTTCACCTGGCAAGGTGCAAACCCTCCCTGATTCTCCAGAGCCACACCTGTGTGCCCAGACTTGTAACCCAGCTTCCATAAAGAGTTTTTACAGTGGTCTTTTTAAACAGCTCTCTCCTCTAAACTCTTTATGTTCACATTGCTGCTGCTGGCATTCCTCACTGGGACACCAGACCTAGGCAGGCCCCTTCCCTTGGCATCAGTTGAACCCCAGCTGAAAAGAGCTCCTGGATGCCTCAAGCTCCAGACAGCCCAGTAACCAACAGCACTAAGAGCACACACCAAGCAGGGAGCTGCTCTTACCTTATCCAGAGTCATATCTGGGAGATTTGGAGTAATATCATTGCTCTCGCTGTCCTGCTCCGAGATGGGATCAGATGCCTCATAGCCATAAAGTGCAAGCAGCTCCTCAAATGGCATTTCACTGCTCTGAGCGAGAGGAGGACAAAGCTTCATCAGGAAGGGAACAATCACCGAGCACAACACCAGCTGCAGTGAACACAGAGATATGCAGAGGCAGTCAAGGCACCTCTGCTCTTCTGGGGGCTCTGATCTGCCTCGGGTCATGCTGTGTAAGGAAGGAGGCACTGAGGTCTAACAGGACCCACCATAACCTGCTCTTCTCAGGGGTGGGGAGAAGCCAGTAGCTTTCAGCCCAGCCAAGGGCATTAAAAAGCATATTTCTTTTTATATCTCTATGTTACATTTAATTACTTTGCATTTATTACACACTATTAAATCATTATCTTTACTTTTTATACTAGATTCCATGCTGGTGAAGAGATGCCAGACAGCACAGTTGTGTTTATACAGAGGAAGCGAAGCAAATCCCAAAGCAAACCCAAACCCCTCTTCCCTTCCCTCGCTGCCTTTACCTGAGGGGCACTGAAGCTCTTCTCCAGCTCTTCTAAAGATTTCTGCTTCTCCTGAGTATCATCTTCCTCCTCCCTTTCTTCCCGTACACCATAGTTCTGTGAAAGGATCTCTGCTAAGTTCAGTCGATGATCAGCTGAGCCCATGGACACAACTGCAGGGATTAAAAGAAGTTGGACACTAGCACCACCCTGGACCAAATCTGCAGCTGCAACAAAGCTTGGGATGATCCCTTCTTATGTGTGTGCAGCCGTGAGAAGGCAGAGGAGGAGATGAGGTAGAAATGGGCTGGGGAACACCAACTCTGAAGTCACTTCATGAGAGCCATATTGCAGAGCTGGCTTCTCTGCACATTCAAGTCCACAAGTGACCAAAAGCTGAGGGTTTTCTGGGTATTTGTGTGTCTGTCCCAACTGGATTCCCTGGTGTCACAACACGTGAATGGCTGAGGAAGCCTTTCCTTCACCTGAGGTGGTTTGAGGATAATTACCCCTTATAGAAAGAATGGGCAAATGGGCACTTAGAGCTCTGGCATCTCTAATACTTCCCTGTCAAATGGCATGGGAGTCCACTGACAGGTTTGGAAGATGGCAGAAGGAGAAGGGAACAGACAAGCTGAGCACAGGAGCTCTGCCTCCTCTGGAAACGGGGCCAACAGACAGACACAGACTTAAACCACGAGTACCTGCTGCAGTTTGAAGGGCAGGCTCTGCAGGACATAGGCTGCGTGCTGGGTACGGCACCACCCTTGGGCTCTGCCGCCCAACCGAGGCCTTGAAGAGAAGAGAAAACCACACCTGAGACATCTCCTCCTCGAAGGTGACCCCACCAGGCAATGCAACTCATGTCATCCCAAAGCCAAAGTTAACAGAACCCACATGGGCAGCATGAGAGACTGTGCAAAGAGAGCTCAAGTGTATCCCCCAGCTCCATCACCTTCCCCTGGCTCTCTGTGTATGGAGCTGTTTTCACTTTATCTTCAGCACTCCATTAACTATTTCTCCTCTCACCAGTTTAAGACCTCAGATCTTTCTGGCTTACATCTTCCCTCACAGAATTACTTGGACCCTTATTCTAAATGCACACATCATGCTTGTCTAAGGCAGCATTTTTAGGAGCTGCCCCATTGGAGGCAGTCGGAGACAGCCACAACTCAATGGCTTCTGCCTAACTCCTCACCACATCCAGAAGGCTCCAAGGGGTGAGTAAAGAGATTTAGTGCTGAGCAGGCAGCAAAGGAGCCTGGTAGGACTGGGAATGGCCCAGGCGAGGTGGGAAAAGGTGAGACAGGTAGACACTGAGAACAGGCACCTGCCCTCTGGCATTCAGTGCTCACTCGGAAGTTCAGGCAGCAGAATGGGCTGAGGCCTGGCAAAGAACCCAGGACATCTGCTGCTGCTTGGGCTGCTGTGCAGGGAAATGCTGTTCATCAAGCTCAGCTTAGGTGGGGAGCAAGCAGGGGACTAACCAGGGCCTTTGGGTGACTGAGAGCACCCGACTGCAGAAGAAAATCACAGTCCCTCAGTCACCACTGACACTGGTTTACGATGCTCAGCCATTAACAACCTCAGCCGTGCACTGGTGCTCCTCAGTGGGAGCCAGGACATCCACAGTGCTGCAGCATGAGGCTCTTACAACTGAAAGCACAGCCCAGCCTCACACCAAAATGCATCCTCTAACAATAAAGCAAAGTATACACCAGAAAAGCCACCCCAGACTTTGGGTCTGGAGTTGGAGCCTTCAGGTACCAACACATACAACTGCAAATTCCATAGCAACACAGAGGCAGCTGGTTTCTAGGTCTAATTATCACTAAGATGATGGCTGGTCTGGAAAGAGATTGCCATAGAAAGAAGGCTCAAGAAGGAGGAAGGAGAAGGATGTGTGAAGCAGCAGTGGAATTCCTGCTCCCTCCTCTACCAGGACCAGGGAATAGAGGATGCCTCTGGTTCAACGCTGCAGATCACTGTCCCCAGGCATGAGAACCCCACTGGAGACCACTGTAGCTGCAGGCAGAGCCCAGAGGTGGTCACCCGAAGAAAAGGAAGCAGTTTATGGGATCATGAAAGGAGAAGAAGATGGAAAGGAATCAGACAGGCTCCATTTGGAGCATGGTCATATCAGGCAACAGCTTCGGAACTCAAAGAAGTATCAGTGCCTCTTTTCTGGGCTTTGCTGGACCACAACCAAGTACAAAACCCTCTTGGGTAAAGCCTTCCATGCAAGCATCCCTGGTTTGATGAGCAGGATAAGGGGAAGCCCACACTCCAGTCCTCAGTGATCTTTGCTGAAACCCTCATCTTTGCATCTATGGATTGCACCTCCTTCACACAGGGATCGACAAGGAGCTGCATGTAAAGGACTCTGAAAGCAAAGCCTGAATCTGTCACAGTGGCTGGGCCAGCTTGAAAGGATGTCAAGAATCCTTCAGGAATTATGAGATCTTACATTAACAATCAGGTGCTGGAATGAAGAGTGACAGGCAATATGACAGGGTAACAACTTGGCAGTTTATTTCCCCACAGCAGTAACGCAGCATTAGAGCAAGTGGGAGCTGCTCTGAGCTGGAGTTGCCATGAAATAACCAGCACCACTGGATTTGGGATGAGAAGGGGAGAAATAAGTGACCAATAGCCCACTCCACCCCCAAATGTAAAGAGGTGTTGATCTTAATAAGCCTTCCAACGGTTTACAAACCCAGAGGCCCACAGAAACAAGTCAAAGGAGCACGGGAGAAAGGCAGGTCTGGCTTCAAAACATGAACGATGCCAGAGAGAATATTCCCAATCCCATTGACTCCTGATGCCGGGGGATGTGGAGCTGTCGTGTTTGAAGGTGAGGAGCTGCAGTCCAATGCTTCAAATCCAGGTATCACACAGGAAACAGAACACACAACAGTGTTACACAGGGCAGAAAGACATCAAGGTGCTGGTGGGGATCTCCAGGTCAGGAGCTCCTGGTCCAGATGGAGATGCTCTTCTGGCTGGTGGCAGGGTTGGTGTCCTGGGAACCCAGGACAGTTTGGTCAGCAGGGAAGGGTGCAGGGGTGAATTCCATTCACTTTGGGCAGTGCCAATCTCTGCTTCTCAGGCATGAGTACAAACTGGGTTTCTCCAGAGCACTACCAGAGAACACCTTGCAGAGAGTCACGGGGTACCCCAAGTTAGAAGGGATCCATAAGAACCATCAAGCCCAACACCTACAGGCTGAAACCACCCTCACAAGGAAGCGAGGAAGAAGAGTGCAGGTTTCCCTTTCCAGTGCTACATCTTCAATAACTCCCATGGCTCCCTGAGCTACTTTAACGCCTATTTCAGACCTAGTGAGAAGCCTTCCTTGTTCCTTTGCCTTTCCCCTACTGCTTGACACGGGTCCCTCCTCTACAAACTCCAGCTGTAGCCAGAGGGAAGTGGAATGGACGGAAACGGGTTCATCCTGCACCTGAACAAGCAAACAAACAGGGGACAAGAGACACAGAGCTCAGGAAAACCTGCATCCCAATCACTCACTGCTGCAGATACTCCAGCCTCATCTGTGGGACACCAGCAGCTCCTGCATCTCCCTAAAAAGAGCAAACCCCCCCTGGATAGACGAGAGACCAGATGGCACCTTCCTCCTCACAGTGCTGGAACACCCTGACAGTGAAATCTCAATCTCTCCCAGTGTCCTCTTCCCACATCGTGGTCACCACGAGGACCTCACGATGGAAACGAAGCACGGATGTGCCACCACGACCATTACAACAGCATGGGGATATCTCAAGGACGTGATAAGATGTGACAGCGAACGGCATCGGCAGCCGGAGCGCGGTGGAGCCATGGCAGCAGCGTTTCGGCACGAGGCCCCCATCGACCACCACTGTGGGACCCCCCTTTCAAGGTGGGTCTCCCTCTGCCATCACTCAAACCAATCCCAAAGCCTCTCCTGCTCCTATGCCCTGCCCGGCAGCGCTCTCCAACTGCTCGGACCCCATCATTCACCTCCGACCCTCCAGAGCCCCCTTCCATCACCCCTCAGACCCCGGCTCCCATCCCACCCCGCCGGGCCGAAGCCTCGGGGCTCTGCTCCGTCCCCGTAACCCCGCAGACCCACCCGCATCCCTCCGGCCCCGCTCCCGCAGGCCTGGCCCGGGCAGCCCCGCGGCTGCTCCCGGGGCTCGGCCGCTGCCCCGCCGGGTCCAGCCCTGGCCCCGGCCCCGGCCCCTGCTCGTTGCCCTCCGCCCGGCCCCGGTGGGCCCCGCTGCACCCCGCGGCCGCAGCACCCTGAGCCCGAGCGGCGCCGGGCTGTAGGCCTCGGGGTGCCGGTGCCCTGGGAGTGGTGGGGCCCGGGGTTGAAGGGACCGGAGGGTGCCGGGGCTCGGGGGTACCGGGACCGGAGGGTGCCGGGGCTCCGGGTTCCGCCGGGGGAGGCCCGAGGCCCATCACGAGCGCACCGGCGGCTCCTCACTCACCTCCGCCATGGCCGAGCGCGAGCGGCAGCGGGGCTCAGGCCCCGGATGTGGCGGCCGCCGCTCATTGGCTGCGGCGCCGGGAGGGCGGGGGAGCGCCGGGGGGCGCGGCCGTGCGGGGCCGGGTCAGGGGTCAGGGGCCAAGCGGAGCCGGCGGCGGGGCCGGGAGCGGAGGCCGCGGAGGGAGGGGGGGGGCCTGGAGGGGGCCCGGGCCCGGTGACAGCGAGGGAGCGGCCCGGGACACGGAGGCGCTGTGCCCGCAGCCAGAGCTTGAGTCAATCGATCACCGGAGTCAATCGATCACCAGAGTTAATCGATCATCAGTCAATCGATCACGGGAGTTAATCGATCATCAATCGATCACTGGAGTTAATCGATCGTCAGTCAAGTGATCACCGGAGTTAATGACCACCAGAGTTAATTGATCATCAATCGATCACCGGAGTTAATCGATCACGGGAGTTAATCGATCATCAGTCAAGTGATCACTGGAGTCAATCGATCATCAGTCAATTGATCACCGGAGTTAATCGATCATCAGTCAAGTGATCACTGGAGTTAATCGATCATCAGTCAGTTGATCACCGGAGTTAATCGAGCATCAGTCAGTTGATCACCGGAGTTAATCGATCATCAGTCAGTTGATCACCGGAGTTAATCGATCATCAGTCAGTTGATCACCGGAGTTAATCGAGCATCAGTCAATTGATCACCAGAGTTAATCGATCATCAGTCAATCGATCATCAGTCAATCACCAGAGTTAATCGATCATCAGTTAATTGATCATCAGTCAATCGATCACTGGAGTTAATCGATCACTGGAGTTAATGATCACCGGAGTCAATCGATCATCAATCAATCACCGGAGTTAATCGATCACGGGAGTTAATTGATCATCAGTCAATCGATCATCAGTCAGTTGATCACCAGAGTCAATCGATCATCAGTCAATCGATCATCAGTCAATTGATCACCGGAGTCAATCAATCATCAATCGATCACCGGAGTTAATCGATCACGGGAGTTAATCGATCATCAGTCAATTGATCATCAGTCAGTTGATCACCGGAGTCAATCGATCATCAGTCAATTGATCACCGGAGTCAATCGATCATCAATCGATCACCGGAGTTAATCGATCACCGGAGTTAATCGATCATCAGTCAATTGATCATCAGTCAGTTGATCACCGGAGTCAAACGATCATTAGTCAATTGATCACCGGAGTTAATCAATCATCAGTCAATCGATCACCAGAGTTAATCAATCATCAGTCAGTTGATCACTGGAGTCAATTGATCATCAGTCAATCGATCACCGGTGTTAATCGATCATCAGTCAATTGATCACCGGAGTCAATCGATCATCAGTCAGTTGATCACCGGAGTTAATCAATCATCAGTCAATCGATCACCAGAGTTAATCGATCACGGGAGTTAATCGATCATCAGTCAGTTGATAACCGGAGTTAATCGAGCATCAGTCAATCGATCACCGGTGTTAATCGATCATTAGTCAGTTGATCACCGGAGTTAATCAGTCATCAGTCAATTGATCACCAGAGTTAATCGATCATCAGTCAGTTGATAACCGGAGTTAATCGAGCATCAGTCAATCGATCACCGGTGTTAATCGATCATCAGTCAATTGATAACCGGAGTCAATCAATCATCAGTCAAGTGGTCACCAGAGTCAATCAATCATCAGTCAGTTGATCACCGGAGTCAATCAATCACTGGAGTTAATCTATCACCGGAGTCAATTGATCACCAGAATCAATCGATCACCAAAGTTAATTGATCACTGGAGTCATTTGATCACTGGAGTCAATCTATCACCAGAGTCAATTGATCACAAGAATCAATCGATCACCAGAGTCAATCGATCACCAGAGTCAATCAATCACCAGAGTCAATTGATCATCAGAATCAATCAATCACCAGAGTTAGTCAATCACCAGAGTCAAATCGATCATCAGTCAATTGA